GATGGATCGCGCTGGATCTGGGAGATGCCGATCGATGCGAGCGTGGAGACTGGGGATGCGAATATCCCTGGACTGGGACGGCTCAATGAGATCGCTATGCTGTCTTGCACGCTTGCGGGGATGCTGAATGTGATTGTCTTCCTCGATGCATTAATGCCGACGGGGTATGGGCGGCGACGCGAGGATGCTGGTCAGGGGACTGCAGAGGGGGTTGGGGCATGAGTGGTTTGACGCTTGCGTATCGGCCGTTTATTGACGCGTTGTCGATCCACGATCAGTGGTATTTGTTGATTATCCCGATGGTGGTGTTCGTCGCGATCGGGTACAAGGCGGTGCGCGTTAGCGAGATGAAGGGGTACTGGCGTAATGTGTTCGCGTTTGTGGTGCAGGTGCTCGGGGTGATGGCGGTTTTGGCGATCGCGTTTACGATTGTGATTACGGTTTTGGTTCCGATGCTGGCGCCGATGCCGGGGTGAGGGGAAGAGGGGATTGGCCACTAGCCATTAGCCACTAGGGGATAGACATGAGGCGTGGGCGGTTACGATCTTGTTGGCGTTGGGGCGTGACCCTTATTGCGGCAGTATTGGTTGTTGGGACAGTTCTCTCTTGGTTCTATTACTTGCGTTTGGGTTACGCAGTTGATCAGCCACGCGTGCCTGGTGAGCAGCGAGTGTGGAGCGAATATTCTGCTGTGGTGGGTGAAGGGCGTATATGGGTGGACTTGCTTCCTAGGTGCAGTGATGTTTTTCGATCAGAACCAAGTTCGTTTGGTTTTCAGTCTGATTTAAATCCACAGCGTCCAATATATAGGGCGGCATATTTGATGTATGGCGATCGGATTTGGGGTCTGGAGATTGATCGATCAAATCAAGGCGGTTCCCACACTCGTATCTATCTATCAGGATTTGTTCCTGCTGGGATGTTTGGGCTGCTCTCGGCATGGTCGTGGGTTGGCGTGTTGAGAAGACGGAACAAGTTGCGTGAGGGTCGTTGTCTTGGGTGTGGGTATTCGCTTGCGGGATTGGATGGTGGGGTGTGTCCGGAGTGTGGGGCTGGAGCGGAAGGGGCTAGTTGAGGTAGGTAGATTTTTTGTGGGTGTAGGGTTGCTCAAGGTTTTGGATCATGTAGCGGAGTGCGTCGATGGCGTGGTCTGAGCCGTCTTTTTCGGGGGTGGGGGAGAGGGGGTTGTCTTGGGGGTAGTGGTAGGTTTCGAGGCATTGGATGAGGTGGGTGCAGTTGTTGTGGACCATGAGTGTGGGGTGTCCTGTCGCGGGTTTGAGGCGCGTGCGGATGAGGTCGAGTCCTTGGTGGATGGATGAGCGTGCGTCGCGGACGGTGAGTCCTGCTTTGCGGAGCGCGGCGATGTCGGAGATTCCGGTTTGGAGTCCTCGTTGTCTTCCTGCGGGGTCGACACCGATCCAGCTCAGTGGGGTGAGTGGTTTGGTTGCTTTGATGGCGCTGATGTGTTCGTTGAGTGGGACTCCGGCTTGGAGGTATTCGTGGGTGATCCAGAGGGTGTTGTGTTGATCGAGTGATGCGAAGAGGACGACTGTTGGCGCGCGGATTCCGAAGTCCATGCCTGCGATGGATTGGGTGATGGTGTGCTTGTCGGGGAGTTCGGTTGCGATGTGGATCGCGCTGTTGAACTCTGGGAGGACGCAGTCGGAGCGTCTGGGTTTGAGGCAGAGCATCTCGGCGTTCCAGGTGGATTCGGAGACGCGGGACTTGAGTGCAATCGCGTTGTTGATGGTCAGGTGTCCTGGGGTGTCGCCGGCGGCGTCTCTCGCTTTGGCCTTTCCTGAGCATTCTGGGGCGAGCGGGCATGGGCCTGATTCAGTGAGGCATTCGTGCGAGTCGTCGCATTGGTCGAGGATGTCGACGACTCCCCACTGGAAGAGTTTGCGGTGTTGTTGGTTGGAGTCTTTGGCGGAGGTGACGAGGTCGTGCATGAGTCCGAAGGGGACGTGGAGTGTGGAGAGGCATTCGATGGAGCCCGGGACGGGTTGGTCTTTGCATGTTTTTTCTCGGATGGTGAGTTGTGCGGCTTCCCAGACGTCGGGGTCGAAAAGTTCGACTTCGTCGCATCGGAGTTTTTGGACGCGTGTTCCTCGGACGGAAGTTTGTGATTGTGCGAGGAGTTCGACGACTGAGCCGTTGATGAGCTTGATGCGTCGTTCGGTGATTTTGCCTGCGATGAGCTCGTCGAGGGGTTCGGTGGCGAGGAGGGCGCGGAGGTGGGTGTGCATGCGTTTGGCTTGGTCGAGTGATCCGGCGAGGATGCGGATTTCGATTCCGGGTTTGAAGATGAGGTCGAGGAGCGTGGCGATGGCGGCGTAAAAGGTTTTGCCGCCGCCGCGGTTGGCCCAGACGACGCAGTCGCGCGGGTGTCGGTCCTCGAAGAACGCGTGGGCGAGGTATTCAAGCGGCGCGTTGTGGTTGTCGATGAGGGGGGCTGTGGGGACGCGGATGTGGAGGTGTTGTTGGATCCAGTGCGCGAGTTGTTGGTCGGTTTGTGGCGCGGCTCCGGCGATAGCGAAGACGGCGTCGTGGTTTGGTTTGTTGTTTGTGCTTTCTTGTGTCATGTGTTCCCCCCTTGGTTTGTTACTTGATGTTCAGTGCGTTCATGAGTGCGGCGGTTCGGTTGGGGTCCAGCGCTTTGAGGGCACGGAGGATCTGGGTACGTTGCTTTCTTGTGAGGAAGAAGGTGAGCGCGGCGGGGAGGTGATGCTGATTGGGTTCGTGCTTTGGTTGTGGGGGGTGTTTGAAGACCCCCTCCGTCTGCTGCGCAGACACCTCCCCCGCAAGCGCGGGGGAGGAGAGTGGTGATTTGTTCATGCGCGTGGCTCCTTGTGCTGTTGGTGGACATGTGTGTACGCGCGGGGTTGGGTGAGGAGTTTGAAGGCGGCGTATTGGGGGAGCGAGTTGTGATGAGGGTTGATGTTTTTGGTGCGCGCCCAGGTCTTGAGCTCGCGATTGAGGAGATCGGGGAGTGGTGGGTTGTTCGGGAAGACCCCCTCCGTCTGCGAAGACGCAGACACCTCCCCCGTCAGGACGGGGGAGGAGGTTGTGCTTTGGAAAGGGATGAGATCGCTCGGTGACATGTCGAGGTGGTGGAGGCAGTCGAGGAGGCGGAGGTCGGATGGGGTGTGCGGGACTTTGTATTCGGTCATTCCAGCTGACTTAAGGAATGGGTTTGTGGATCCCATCGCGGCGAGGGCTTCGGTCGCGGGGGTGAGGGGATTGGCGAGGTAGTTGCGGACGAGTGTTGAGGCGATGGAGAGAGAACGCGAGCGCGGATCGATGATGATGCGCGAGAGTCTGCGGAGCTCGGCGTTGACTCTTTTGGCGTTGGTGGATTTGCAAGCGGTGGTGTAGCGCCTTGGCCAGGCGCGGTCGCGCCAGGATGCGTTGAGGGTTGGGTACGCGACGACGAGGACGCCTGCGAGGATTGAGGATTTGGTGACGGGGCAGGTGCGCATCGCGCGATCGATGCGGACGATGGAGGCGGGATCGGCGCCGAGGTAGTGGTGGTGTTTGAGGGTGTGGTAGTCGTCGATGGTGCCTGGCTCGTAGGTGATGGTTTCTGGGGTGTATTGGTTGGGGAGGATTGAAAGATCGTCGGCGCTGATGAGCAGGTCGGTGTTCAGGTATGTCGGCAGGTCCTCGTGCGCGGCGGCGGCGATGATGTGCAATGCGGAGTTGTGCGTGAAGAGTTTGTTGATGGAGGCGCACAGGGAGCGCGCGGTGAGTCGGTCGAGGGGTGTGGCGAGCTCGTCGATGAGGATCGTTGCGTTTGTTTTGGCGGCGTCGAGGAGGCGCGCGAGCTGGAGGCGGGATTGCTCTCCGGTGGAGAGGGCGTGCGCGGGGAGGGACCAGAGGTTGGGTTGGGCGAGGCCGACTTGGGAGAGGAGCTGGAGGGTTTGGGTGAGTGGGGTGGTGAAGAGGTTGACGATGGGTTTGGTTGGGTCGGGGAGGGGGAGGTCGTTTGCCGTGATGGTGTTGGGGAGTGAGCGATGGAGTGTGTTGAGGAGTGTGGACTTTCCTGATCCGGAGTGTCCGGTGATGAGGGTGAGGTTGGCGCGGGTGATTTGGTTGAGGAGGTGGTGCGGAGTTGTTGTTGTGTGTTGTGATGAGGCGCGGTGCTTTGGGAGGAGGCCGAAGGGGAGGAGGGCGCTGGTGGCGCGGGGGGTGATGCGCGCAGGTGTGGGGATCGCGCGGGGCGCGTGGAATGGGCGCGTGTGTTTGGTTGTGTCTTTGTTCATGAGTCCCACCCCGGTCTGTTTTAGTGTTTGTGTGTGGTGTGTTTCCAGTTTCGATCGGGGGCTCGCGCTGGGGCGGTCGGGTTTGATTGGTTGCGGAACTGCTCGAGCACAGCGGCGCGGTGGTGGCGGACCTGGTGGACTTTGAGCGACAAGTGCTCGGCGGTGGCGCGGATGGAGCGTCCTGATTGGAAGAGGGAGCGCGCAATCTTTCGGCGCGTCGGGGACCAGGAGTTCGAAGACGTGACGACGAAGACGAAGAGGGGGTCGTGCATGCGCGTGATCGCGTTCTTGATGAGGCGGCGGACCTGGCGCGGATCGAGATCGCCGAGGCGTGCGATCTCGGCGGCGGACTTCCCTTCGCTGTACATGGCGTTGATGAGGTGGCGCTCACGTTTGGGGAGCAGGTGGGATCGGGTCAGGATGTGCTCGGTGAGGGCGTGGGAGCGAGACTTTCGGAGATCGATGGAGGATGAAACTTGGTCGAGCCAATCCGCTTGGTAGCTCTTCTCTCGCATTTTGACTCCTTTTTGTGCCGAAAGCACTTGACATTACACAAACATGTGTTCACAATATAGAGAACAAGGATTTTTATATTATACTCCAAGTTGTGAACAATTTGCAAGGGTATTGTATGGTACTTCAGAAGAAACGCGCACAAATGGGGGCACTTGCTCCAAACAGAATCCGACTGTGAGAACCTAGTTTGACATGTGAATCGGATCAGTATTGATTGTTCACATGTTCTTAGATGAATGTGCATTCATGAATGAGATGGATGGAGAGCTTGGGTTTGGTGGGGTGATTCATCGGCGACGGTCGGCGCTTCGGCTATCGCTCGCGGAAGTGGCGCGGCGTGCGGGATGTGCGAAGTCCTACTTGTCAGCGATCGAGAATGGGGTGAAGGGCGCGCCGGGCGAAGAGCTCGCGGCGCGATTGGAACGCGTGTTGTCGTTTCGTGATGGTGAGCTCGTGGAGATGGCGCTCTGGGCGCGGACACCCGCATCCGTGCGGGCGGATGTTGAGGAACTCAGGGCACGCGATGCGGCGGGGCGGGAGCTCGCAAAGGCGCTGATGCGTGACGGGATTGACGCGGCGCACAGATCGGGGAAGCTCGCGGAGTTGATCGCGGCGCTTGAGGGTGATTCTGTTGGAGTTGTTGATGATGGTGAGAAGGCGGGGGTTGAGCGTGTGGAGCTTCCGATGGAGATCCCGCTGATAAACAAAGTTACAGCGGGGTATCCGGGGTCGTTCACGGATCTTGGGTATCCGGCGCGGGTCGCGGATGAGTATGTGCGCGCTCCGGATGTGCATGATCCCGATGCGTTCGCGGCGCGGGTGGTGGGGGATTCGATGGAGCCGATGTATCGCGAGGGGGACATCGTGGTGTTCTCTCCCGCGAAGGTGGTCGAGAGCGGGATGGACTGCTTTGTGCGTCTTGAACCAGATCACGAGACGACCTTCAAGCGTGTGTACTTCGAGGAGGATGAGTCGGGGCGCGAGGTGATCCGGATACAGCCGATGAACAGCGCGTATGGACCTATGGTGGTGGAGCGGGAGCGCGTGGCGGGGTTGTACGCGGGGGTGAGCGTAACGAGGTCGATAGGATGACACAAAACGCCGCGTGTGCGTGCGCGGCGTTTTGATGCCCTCTTGATGGGCGTGGGGTTGTGTGGAAAAAGAAGTTATCCGGTGGTGATGTATTGTCTCATGGTTTTGACTTCGATGGTGAGGTCGGCGTTGGTGGCGGCGTTGAGGTCTCCGATGGAGATCATGCCGAGGAGCTGGTTGTCGTTGTTGATGACGGGGATGTGTCGGATTTTGCAATCGGACATGAGGTGGCGTGCTTCGGTGAGCGAGGTTTCCGGGGTGCAGTGGATGACTTCTTTGGTCATTGCTTTGGAGACTTGGGTCTTTGCGGGATCGAGTTGTTGGGTGACGACGCGGGTGAGGATGTCGCGTTCGGTGATGATGCCTGCGATGTTGTTGAGGGTGTCGAGGACGATGAGTGATCCGATGTGGTGATCGTTCATCATGTTGGCGGCGTCGAGGATTGATGCGGCTTGTGGGATGGTTTGGATGTGCTCGATGCGTTGGTGGCCGTGGTCACCTTCATTCCATTGCTGTTTGTTTGCGAGGAGTTGTGCGACGGTGTTCATGATCGATTCCTTTCGAAGCGATCAGCGGCCGGTCTCCCTTGGGGTGTACAGATTGGAGTGGTGGCCGACTTGGTCATTGGTTGTGGAGCGGCCGATGATCTTGACACTCCATTATGCGCTTTTTTGGGAGGAGATGGAATGGGAAACTATGGGTTGATGGTGGATGAAGTGGTGGGTGTTTGGGGTGTGGGTGGGCGTTTGTTCGTAGTTGCGCGGAAATATGAGCTTTGAGTGTCCGCTGTTATCGTGATCCAGATGATTCTGGGTTGATCAGGATATTGAGAGAAACAGTGCTGAATTGATGTGCGTACGGCTTGTGGTGGGGAGGGTTTGGGCGCTATTGTTTGGGCTCACTGAACTTGAATCACGGCTCGCGGTCCGCGGGCTTGTTGAATGAATCGGAGCGGATGACCTATGGCGAAGATGTTCTACACGATCGATGAGGCGGCGGCGAAGCTTGGGATGAGTGCTGAGGAAGTGCAGGCGCTTGTTGAGTCGGGGCAGTTGCAGGAGTTTCGTGATCGCGACAACCTGATGTTCAAGGTGGACCAGGTCGATCTGCTCGCGGGTGATGATGACGATGACGAGCTTGGTGAGATCACGCTCGCGGATACGAGCGGCGGGACTGGTGGTCTTGAGCCGATCTCGTTGAGTTCTTCTGGGAGTGGCAGTGTGCTCTCGCTTGAAGCGACGGGTGATTCGACTGGTGTTTCGATCTTTGATGCTGAGGAAGATGATGCGGCGGACGCGAACGCGGAGACACTAGTTTCCGATGGCGGTCTTGGAGGCATCTCGCTCGGTGGTTCTGGCGGCGGCTCCGGGTTTGGAATGGATGCGGGCGCGAGTGGTTCGGGTTTGGCGCAGCTTGCGTTTGAGCCGGACGATACTTCGCTTGGTGGGAACCTGCTCGATGATCTTGCTGCGGATTCGCAGGGTGGTGCTTCGGCGCTTGGTGCATCGGCACTTGGAGAGTCGGCGCTCGGCGCTTCTGCGGGTGCGGGCGCGCTGTTTGAAGGCGCTGAAGAAACCGAGACTTCGTTCTCGTCGCAGAGTGCTGCTCCGATGATGGTCCCGATGGGCGAGGCGTACGACGGTCCGGCTTCGGGACTGTTCGGCGGGATCGCGCTGGGATCGATCTTGGTGCTCATGCTCGCGATGGCGGTGATGATCCTCGGGCTGAGCGGTGGATCGGAATCGGTGCTCGCGATGGTTGATCAGAACATGCTGTACATGGTCATGGGCGGCGGGTTCGTCGCGATGCTGATCTTCGGCGGCGTGGGCTGGGCGATGCTCCGCAAGAGCTGAGCGGGATTGAAGGATTGATGTTTATGAACCCCGGCGTTTGCCGGGTTTTTTTATGTGTGATGCGTATCGCTATGATTGGGCATGGTGTATCTGGATCACAATGCAACGACGCAGCCGACTCCTGGGGTGGTTGAGGGGGTGCATCGCGCGATGACGGAGCTGTGGGGGAATCCGTCGAGTGTGCATCGGTTTGGTCAGGAAGCGAAGCACGCGGTGGAGGTGGCGCGGGGACAGATCGCGAAGCTCATCGGCGCGGCGGGCGGCGGGCGCGGCGTGGTGTTTACAGGGACTGGGAGCGAGGCGATCGGGCTGGCGATCCGCGGCGTGATGGGCGCGCTGTCGGTCACTGGACGGCGCGTGGTGGTGACGAGCAGCGTCGAGCACTCGGCGGTGCGCGATCTGTGCGAGCAGCTTGAGCGCGACGGGATCATCGAGCATCGCGTGGTTGGGGTGGGTCATGACGGGGTGCTGCTGCGCGATCAACTGGAAGCGGCGCTGGATGATTCGGTCGGGGTGGTGAGCATCCAGTGGGTGAACAACGAGACGGGGGTGGTGCAGGATGTGGGGATGATCGGCGAGATGTGTCGGGCGCATGGGGCGGTGTTCCACTGCGATGCGACGCAGTGGGTGGGGAAGATGGAGACGCGCGTTGATGGGGATGAGACAGCGCTTGGATCATTGATTGATGTGCTGACTTGCTCTCCTCACAAGTTTCATGGGATCAAAGGGGTTGGGGTGTTGTGGGCGCGCAATGGTGGGGGGCGGCGCGTGCGGATGGTGCCGATGATTCCTGGGAATCAGGAGCTTGGTCGCCGCGGCGGGACGGAGGGGGTGCCTGCGATCGTGGGGGCTGGGGTTGCGGCGCAGGAAGCGATGGAGTGGCTGGCGTTGGGAGAAGTCGAGCGCCGGCGCGTGGCGTTGCTGCGAGATCGGCTCGAGGGTGCGATCGTGACGCGGTGTAGAGCATCGGGGATGGATGTTGAGGTCAATGGTGCTCAGAGCGAGCGGATCTGGAGCGCGACGAATATTGGGTTTGGGGGACTCGAGAGCGAGGCGTTGCTGCTTGCGATGAGCGAGCGTGGGCTCTGCGCATCGGCGGGCGCGGCGTGCTCATCGGGATCGCTCGAAGCGTCGGCGGTGCTGACGGCGATGGGGATCGATCGGAAGATCGCGCACGGGAGTGTGCGTTTGAGTTTGTCGCGCTTTACGACGGAGCACGAGGTTGATGAGGGGATCGAGATCGTGTGCAAAGCGGTGGAGACGGTGGGGAGGTCGATGGTCTGATGGGTCCAGAGGAGCGTCCATCTGAGCATGGGGTCGGTCGGTTCGATCCGTTGTCGCGTTTACGCGGATTCCGCGTGCGCAGCGATCGTGGGCGCGGTGTTTCGGAGGAGTGCGATCAGTTGATGCGTTCTCTGAAGCGTGTGAGCCGGGACCAATCCGCGGCGGTGGAGGCGTGGATGACGGGGGCGCCGGATGATCTGCAAACACTGGGATGGGTGAACGGGCTCAAGGGAGGGAAGCTTGAGATCGGGGTCGAGAACGCGGGGGCGCGCCATCGCGTCGATCGTTGGCTGCGGAGTGGTGGTCTTGAGATGATGCGCGAGCTTGGGAAGGTGCGGATCAAATCGGTGGTGCTTCGGATCGGAGAGCGTCCTGAATCTTGATTTGGTTCGGAAGACAGCCCCGAATTGGTGTGGGGAATCCCTGAATCATGTTGTGAATCTGGGTAATCTGGGGCGTATTGGTGACTGTGTGGGTGATTTTGCTGGTTTGGCTTTGACAGATCCAATGAAATATGCGAACATGCAGCGTCGGCGTCGTGGCTGACGGGTTATGTGGTCATTCGATCGCAGCTCGAAGTTGTCTGAGGTTGGTCTTTTGGACTGACTATCGGATGATGGGTCTTGTCCAGCGTGAGCTCTCTCGTTGGGTTTGAAGGGTTGCGAGTGAATGGTCGAACGCATCTTGAGCTTCGTGGTTGCAGATCCTCCTGTGCAATCACGCTCGGGACAAGGCAGCATTCCTCGTGGGGTGCTGCTTTTTTTATACATGCATCAGAAATGGAAGTTGCGTTCTCAGTAGCGGCGCGATTGTTCGTGGATCGACCAGTAGTGATTGAAGCTTGCTTCGAAGCTGAAGTTCTTCATGTGCTCGACGGCGTTTGATCCCATGCGCTTGCGGCGCAGTTCGTCGAGCGCGAGTTCGACGAGCGCGTCGGTCCATTGCTTTGGGTCATCTATCGGGAGCACGAGTCCGGTTTCGGTTTCGTGGTTGGCGTGGTTGATGACTTCTTTGGGGCCGCCTTGATCGGTGGCGATGACCGGGACGCCGGAGGCTTGGGATTCCATGACGACTTGTCCGAGTGTGTCGGTGGTGGAGGGGAAGGCGAAGAGGTCGCAGGATGCGTAGAGGGTGGCGAGTTCGGAGCCGTGCTTGAATCCGAGGAAGTATGCGTCGTGTTGTTGCAGGCGCTTTTGCATTTCTTGTCGGTATGGGCCGTCTCCGATGATGATGAGCTGCGCGGGTTGGTTGGTTGCCTGCTCTATGCGTTGTTTAATGCTCGGCCAGTACTGGGTGATGATGGGGAGGTTTTTCTCTGTGGAGACGCGGCCGCAGAAGAAGAGTTTGAAACCAGTTTCGGGAACGCCGAGCGGTGACCAGATGGAGGGATCGCGGAGGGACTGGGAGAACTGTTCGTTGTCGAATCCTGGGGTAAGCCTGTGGATTCGATCGGGTTTGATTCCGAGGTTGATGAGACGCGACGCGTAGTCGTCGGAGCGCGAGAACACGGCGGCGAACTGTTTGTAGAAGGTGCGCATGAGTGTTCGGCATCCCCACGACATGAAAGAGGAGTTGAAGAGCTCGTCGATGTATGCGGGGAAGTCGGTGTGGTAGACGCCTGTGACTGGGACGCGCATGAGTTTGGCGGCGAGCATCCCGACCATCCCGACGGCGCCGGGGGTGGAGATGTGGATCACATCGGGGCGGTGGTCTTCGGCGGCGCGGAGCATGGTGAGCATTGGTGGGATCGCGAGGTCGAGCGTGTCGTATCCCGGCATGGGGCGCGCGTAGAGGGGGGTGAAGTTCTTGATGTTGGGGAGGGGTTTGAGGTGGTCGGGGAACTCGATGCGTGTGGAGGTGAAGACGGTGAGGTCGTGGTTGGTGCGGTGCGCGGTGGCGGCGGTGTTTTGGATGAAGCGGCAGACGCCGTTGATGTCGACGAGGGTGTCGGTGAACTTGAGGACGCGTGTGGGTGTTGGTGATGGGTGTTCTTGCACGGCGTGATCCTGTGGATGGATGAGGGTAGCCGACTGGTTATTGGGGGGGAGGTTGGATGTGTTGTGGTTGTATGAAGATGCTTTACAAATAAAAAAACCCCGCGTCGGGGGGATCGACGCGGGGCGTTTGCGGGCGATCCCGGCATTTGCGGCTGCTCGGCACGGCCGCGGTTGTGGGCGCCGGGGGAGAGTGTGCCCGCTGGGACTCGTGATGAGTATGCGTATCAGCGATCGCCGGGGCGCGTGGATTGGTGACGCGGTTTGATGTGGGGGTGGGATTGTGCGGGCTGTGTTGTTTAGGAGGGTGCAAAGAGAAACCCACGCTGATGCGTGGGTTTGGGGGAGATCTGGTTGGATGTGGCTTGTTGCTTATTTATTTGTGGTGGGTGGGTTTTAGTACGGCTTGATGTTGTTGTGCAGACGCGATGGGCGGTTGAGGTGGAAGACGCGGTCGAAGTCGTTGTGCATCGCGCGGAAATCAGTATCGATTGTGTATGCGTGTGTGTTGGCGCGATCACTTGAGCGGCGAGCGAGGGTGTGCATCGCGGGGCTTGGGTTTGAGCGCACGGAGCCGACATCACCGGCGTGTGAGGTGGATGAAGATGAGCATGCGGTGAGGGAAAGGAAGCATGCGGTAGCGATGATGGAGGCGGCTGCTTTGGTGGTACGGGTGATGGTCATGTTCGGATGTCCCTTGTTGGTGATACAGAATTGGGGCTTCGTGATGGGGTCACGATAGCGCCTTGTGCGGCTGTGGTTCCACTATACGGGCAATTGTGGGTGGATGTTTCTTGTTGACTGGTGGGAGTTTGTGTGGATTGGTGTTCTTGGGGCGTATGGGACTTGATGCGGTGAGGGATATCCACTTGTTGTGCTCAATTGTGGTGAATTGTGGATCGGTGGGGTTGTGCGTGCGAACAGGTGTGGTAGGATTTTTGAGACGATCCGTCGAAGCCGGCAGGGGTTGATATTCGATCCCTTTGAACCTCTGATCGGGGGCCGAGGCGTTTCCGGGCGAAGATCATGCCTCCTTTGAGTGGACGATCGGGATCCGGGCTGAGGCACCCACCTTGACATCAGGGCTTCGGATACTGCTGCTGGCTTCGGCGGGTCGTTTTTTTGCGCTCTGGGGAGAGGTTGGAGGGTGGTCGAGCACACTGCCGGGGTGGCAGGGGATGGGGATCTGGCAGTCGCGGCACTGATAAATCGCTGGTTTTCGTACGATTTGTGGGGTTTGGGGGTTGGCGCGCGGTTTGCAAATAGTCATGGAGCAGAAATGAACGCTCGCTTTGCGGGCAAGGAGGTGCTTCATGATGGATCGGATGACAACTTTGGCTCAGCAGGTGCTCGCTTCGGCGCAGCAGTCGGCGATGGGTGCGTCGCATCCGGAGGTGGGGTCGCTCCATGTGTTGAGCGGTCTGATCGAGGATGAGGCGGGGCCTGGGGTTTCGATACTGAAGAAGATCGGGGTGGATGTTGGGAAGGTGCGGAGCGAGGTGAGCGCTGAGCTCTCGAGACTCCCCAAGACCAGCAGCGGTTCGGGAACGAGCGGTCGCGAGATCATGGAGATCATCGGGAAAGCGGACGCGAGTGCTAAAGCGATGGGTGATTCGTATGTGTCGTGCGAGCATCTGCTCGTGGCGCTGACGCAAGCAAGCGGAGCGGCGAGAGACCTGCTCAAGATCAACGGCGTGGAAACCAAAGAAGTTCAAAGCGCGATCAAAGCGATCCGTAAGGCATCGGGTGTCGAGAACATCACGGATGCGGGGGGCGAGGGATCGTTCGAGGCGCTCAGTAAGTACTCGATTGATCTGACGGAACAAGCGACGAGCGGGAAGCTCGATCCGGTGATCGGGCGCGACGAGGAGATCCGGCGATGCATGCAGGTGCTCTCGCGGCGCACGAAGAATAATCCGGTGCTCATTGGTGAGCCTGGCGTGGGGAAGACGGCGATCGCGGAGGGGCTGGCGCTGCGGATTGTCAACGGCGATTGTCCGGACGGCATGCGCGACAAGCGGATCATGGCGCTTGATGTCGGTCAGCTGCTCGCGGGCGCGAAGTACCGCGGTGAGTTCGAGGATCGGCTCAAGGCGGTCTTGCGTGAAGTGGAAGCGAGCGATGGGCGCGTGATTCTGTTTATTGATGAGCTGCACACGATCATCGGCGCTGGTGCTGCGGAGGGCGCGGTGAGCGCGGGGAATCTGCTCAAGCCTGCACTGGCGCGGGGCCGGTTGCGGTGCATCGGCGCGACGACGCTGGATGAGTACAGAAAGCACATCGAGAAGGACGCGGCGTTTGAGCGGCGTTTCCAGAAGGTATTGGTTGGCGCGCCGAGCGTTGAAGAAACGGTCGCGATCCTGCGTGGACTCAAGGAACGCTACGAGACGCACCACGGCGTGCGGATCCAGGACAGCGCGATCCTCGCGGCGGCGTCGCTGAGCGATCGGTACATCACGGATCGGTTCCTCCCTGACAAGGCGATTGATCTGATTGATGAGGCGGCGAGCTCGCTCAAGATGGAGATCGAATCGATGCCCGCGGAGATCGACGAGCTCCGTCGGAAAATCATGTCGCTTGAGATCGAGCGCGAGGCATTGAAACTTGAAGACAAGTCCGATGTGAACACGAGCGAGATCGAGCGTGTCGAAGCTGAGCTTGCGGGACTGCGCGAGAAGAACAACGCGCTGAGCGCTCGCTGGGAAGAAGAGAAGCAGGATCTGGATGTTGCTCGGACGATCAAGAACGAGATCGAGCAGAAGAAGATCGAGCTTGAGCGGGCGCAGCGGGTCGGTGATCTGGAAGCAGCAGCGAAGATTCAGTATGGTGAGCTGATCGAACTCAACAAGCAGCTTGAAGAAGCGGAGCGGATGATTGATGCTCGTCAGTCTTCTGGTGAGGTGCTGATCAAGGAAGAGGTTGATCCCGAGGCGGTGGCGCAGATTGTTGGTCGCTGGACTGGGATCCCTGTCGCGAAGCTCATCGAGAGCGAGCGCGAGAAGCTTGTGCATATCGAGGAGCATCTGAAAGAGCGTGTTGTTGGACAGAACGAGGCGCTGCGTGCGGTGGGTGATGCGGTGCGGAGGAGCCGAGCTGGTCTTGGTGATCCGACGAAGCCGATCGGGAGCTTCTTGTTCCTTGGTCCGACTGGGGTCGGGAAGACGGAGACCTGCAAGGCGCTCGCGGAGTTCTTGTTTGACACTGAGGATGCGCTGGTGCGCATCGATATGAGCGAGTATATGGAGAAGCACGCGGTCGCTCGATTGGTCGGCGCGCCTCCGGGCTATGTCGGGTATGAAGAGGGCGGGTCGCTGACGGAAGCGGTTCGGCGTCGGCCTTATTCTGTGATCTTGTTTGATGAGATCGAGAAGGCGCATCCGGATGTGTTCAATGTGCTGTTGCAGTTGCTTGATGATGGACGACTGACGGATGGTCAGGGACGGACTGTTGATTTCAAGAACACGATCGTGGTGATGACCAGTAACATCGGCAGCCAGAAGATCCTGAGCATGGCTGAGAGCGGTGCGGAGGATTGGGAGATCGAGGCGGCGGTGCGTGATCTGATCCGCCGTGGTCCTGGCGCGGATCTGGATGCGAAGGGTCTGACGCCGGATCTTGAGACTGGACGCATGAACGCGAATCTTGATGTGGGGATGCGCGAGCAGTTCTTCCGTCCGGAGCTCTTGAATCGGATCGACGAGACGGTCGTGTTCCATCAGCTCGGCAAGGAGACGCTGCGAGGAATCGCGCAGATCCTGATGAACGGGCTCAAGGCACGGCTCGCGGATCGCGGGATGTCGCTGGAGCTGACGGACTCTGCGATCGAGAGATTGCTCGCGGAAGGGTACGACCCGGCGTACGGTGCACGACCACTGGCGCGGACGATCCAGCGGCAGATCGAGAATCCGCTGGCGACCAAGATCCTCAGCGGCGAGTTCGAACGCGGCGATCGGATCGTGGTCGATGATCACGGCAGTGGGTTCAGCTTCGTCAAGAGCGCCGCGAATCACGCGGCTTCGTAAGAAGCATATTCATTAGAAGTAAGACGAGGGGCGACCGATTTTGGTTGCCCCTCTTTGTATGATGGGGATATGGATGAATCAAAGGCAACACCAGGGCAGTTGAAGCGCGCGGATGAACTTGTTCGTTTGGCGGAGGAGGAGTTTGGGGAACTCTCCACTGAGGAAAAACTGTTACTTAGATCGGCCGCGATGGGGGTTGGGACATGTTTCGGTGATCCGCTTGAAGACAGTTCTGATTGGATTTGGGAGACGCTTCGTGTAGGAGACGCGCCGTGGGACAAGTGGGATAGAAGATCTGTTGTAAAATCTAGCTTCATACAGTGGATGTGTACCCAACCCACTGCAGTTGATTTGATTGCAAAACAGGGTCTGATTTTGCAAGGAGCGTATATCAAAGACTTGCTCGACCTACATGGCGCGGCAGTACCATTTCCAATTTCATTTTTCAACTGTGCATTTCCATGCGGGATCCGATTGATCGATACAAAGCTATCTACTTTGATTTTGGATAGTTCGTATGTAAAGAGTATGGACTGTGATCGGATGTTTGTTGATGGTAATGTTCATCTACGGAATGGATTTTGCAGCACTGGCGGAGTTCGATTCTCAGGAGCACGCATCACCGGCAATTTGTCTTGTGTAAAAGGAGTGTTTGCGAACGAAAAATCGAGTGCATTGAATTTGAATTCGTGTAAGATTGATAATTTTTTACTTCTTGCAAAGGCCAAGTTTCCCCTTGGAGGGATTGAGCTGGTTTTGTGTAGTGTGGAAACTTTAGTGGATGATTTGTCCATTTGGCCTGATGACATTGATCTTACAGGGTTTAGGTATGGGGCAATCCATCCAGAATCAATCGGCTCTTTGCATCAACGCTTAGCATGGCTTCAAATGCACGATCAAACTCACGGCGGAGCTGTCAGATTTGATCCTCAGCCTTACCGCCATTTGGCAAAGGTTCTTCGGCACAGCGGGCATGCGAGTTTTGCGGACGAGGTGATGTATGAAGCGAGTCAAAAACAAGCGAAGGCAAGGGTTGAACGAGTTCGGTCAAGTGGAGGGTGGGATGGTCTTGTAGCGAGTTGGATTTTGAGTTTCTTGTATGGGTCATATGACCGGCTCGTGGGATATGGGTACAAGAGGGCGTATCCGTTTTTTTATCTTGTGATGTCGATTGTTTTAGGATCGCTCATCTTTAGTGGGTTTAATGTCGGAGCGATCTTTGGGGCAAATAACCCTTCGCCGGTAATCATGCAACCGACTCAGGGAAAGGCTGTTCAGGCTGCGTTTGATGGTGAAGCATGGTTTGAGGATTACCCCGCGTTCCGGCCGCTGGCGTATTCAGCCGATGCGTTTTTGCCGCTTGTGGATCTGCATCAGGAGACTTACTGGACGCCGAATCATTGGTTGGTGAAGAGGGTGTATTTGCCGTTTCATATTTTGATGGGCTGGGTGGTGACGACGCTGGCGGCGGTATCGGTGACTGGGTTGGTTCGGCATGAGAAGGAGTGATCGGTGGTGTGCTGACTTTGTTTAGTTCTGGTGTGGATTGCGGATTCGTGATCTGTGAATATATGAGCACGGCCCCGGTAAGCCCGGGGCCGTGGTTTGTTTTGGGTTGTGAGTTCTGTTTTAGCGGCGGCGGCGCGTAGCGGCGATGCTTGCGAGTCCGAGGATGGACAGTGCGGATGGTGATGGGACGGCGCCCCACGCGACATCGTCGAAGGCGACATAGTCTGCCGAGAACTCTTGTGAGTTGAGGACTGGGATATTGATGCGGATTTCGTCGAACGCGTCATCCATGATGAAGCCGTAGAACTCCACACTGAAGAGTGCTTGATCGGAGGGGACGAAGAAGTCGGCCATCACTTGACCTTTGTAGAGCGTAGTGACATTGAATCCGTCAGCGGCTTGAGCGGGTTGGAATCCTGAGAGGTCAAAGCCGAAGGCGCGGTTGAGTCCTGCAAACGAGAAGGAGGCTGAGAATGATCCTGTCTCTGGCATGTCTGGAGCGCCTGGGACCATGACTTGTTGTCCGAAGCGGAGGTACTTGCGTCCGCCGTCTGTGGTGTTGAAGAAGCCGTAGTTGTCTGGATCTCCGGCTTCGATGGATGCGGTGACGGCTCCGGATGCGAGTCCGGCGTTGAGTCCTGAATCGAATGCGGCGGGGAGCATGAGTCCGCCGAGATCTTCGGATTCGAAGTCTTCGAGGTTCAGTGCGCCGGCGTCTGCGTTGAAGAGGCTGCGGTCGTCGTAGGTGGATCCGGCGATGACTCCTGCGAGCGATGAGGAAGCGAGTGTGGTTAGCGCGAGCATGTATGCGGTGGTATTCATTTGATATGTCCCTGTGTTTGAGTGCGATTTGATCCCGACCGATAATCGGGGTCCTGTGTTTCCGAAATATGCCTTGATATGGGACGATTTGCGAAGAAAGTGGCGAGAAATTCGTGGTTCGTCGAGTTGGATCATCTGAATTGGTCTTATTTTGTGAGGAATTGGGGAGAGTGAGAAATTGGGGTTTGTGTTGCAACCGGGGGTTTGGGGGTGCGTATCTTTGGGTGAGGCCCATTCGGGTCTGAACTGATGAGCGTTGAGCCGGTCTGTTTGAACGGTGCGAATCAGGGATTGAACGAAGACATTCAGGATGGTTGTTGGACTCCGGGCACTTGTGTGTGCGCTGTTTGCTGATGGCTTGTGTGGGTTTGTCCTTCGAAGGAAGGGCGGGCTGGTTCATCCGACTCCGGGTGGGTAGGACTTCTCGGAGCATTCCTGTGGCGCTTGACGCGTGTGTGCGGTTTCTTAAGTGTCGCGTCATGGGAGACATATCTGAGCGGGCGAGTGCCGCCTGGGGAGAGACGGCACCCTGCTCAGACTTGAGCGGCTGGTTGGATGACCGCCGACTCTCTGGCCGGGTTGAGAATGTCCCCCTCAACCCGGCCTTCTTTGTTTTTACTGGGCGCTGATGGCGTAGGGTTGGGGTATGAGCGATCGGCTCTTCTATCGCAAGCGGCATCGGGTGCGGGGCTCGGATGAGTTCAGCGCGGTGTTTGATTTCAAGGTGCGCAAATCTCGCGGTCCCATCACGGTGTTCGTGATGCCCAACGATCACGATGAGCATCGGTTGGGGTTATCGATCGGAAGGCGGGTTGGGAATGCTGTTGTGCGTGGTCGAGTCAAACGGATGATCCGAGAGGCGTTCCGGCACGAACGCAGTGAGCTTCCATTAGCCGCGGATGGGACGGGGTATGACATTGTGGTCACGGCGAGGGCACACGAGGCGGCAGGTCTTGAGCAGTGGCGCGAGTGGTTTACTGGAGCGACCAAGTCTGCGATTCGGGTGGTTGAGAAGCGGGTGGATGATGTGCAATAAGGCGGGGCGCCAAGAGGACGGGGTTCCGATGGGGATCGCGGCTACGCGTCTTGTCGAGAGTCCGCTCGGATTGTTCGGTCGGATCGGGAATCTGCCGTTTGTGGGATTGATCCGGGTGTACCGCGTGGTGCTGTCTCCGCTGATTGGCGGGCAGTGTCGATTTGAGCCGACTTGTAGTCTCTATGCGTTGGAGGCGTATCGGCTCCATGGGCCCATTGCGGGGACGCGGATGACGGTGGGGCGGATCTGTCGATGTCATCCGTGGAACAAAGGTGGGTTTGATCCGGTGAAGATCCCGGACGGAGCGTGTATTGTTCGTGAAGATGGTGTTCAGGACGAGCACCGATTGGCGTCTGAGACGCAGCAGGAAGGTGAAGGCGATGGGCAGACTCCCAGCGGCACAGAGGCGTGAACAGTTGTTGGATGTCGCTGCGGAGCTGTTTGCGACGCGTGGGTATGCTGGCGCGACGACGGCTCAGATCGCGAAGGAGGCGGGGGTTACTGAGCCGATTATCTACAGGCACTTTAAGAGCAAGCGTGATCTGTTCGTCGCGCTGATCGAGCGGACTGGGAAGCAGACGCTTGAGCAGTGGGAAGCGGATCTGGGGAGGTCAGAGAATCCGGCGATCCGATTGGCGCGGTTGCTTGGTGAGAATCCGATGGTGTCGGGAGAGGGGCGCGTTGGGTATCGAGTGATGCTCCAGTCGGTGTCGGAGATCGATGACGAGCTGATCCACGACGCGGTGTCGAAACACATGGCGGCGCTGCACGCGTTTATCACCAAAGAGATCGTGCGTGCTCAGGAGCACAAGCAGGTCGATGATCGGTTTAGTGCTGAGGTCCTCGGATGGGTGCTGGTCAACATCGGGATGGGCTACGGCGTGCTTGAAGCAATGGGGGTCCCTGGACACGGACGCGACAGCGAGGGGATATCGGTGCGCGAGGTGCTGGCGCGTGTGCTGGTGAGTCCGGCGATGAAACGCGGCGGGGACTGATTCCAGTTTCAGGTTAATTGAGATTTAGAGTTTGTTTGAGATCGGCGCGGTCGCGGAGATGGCGCTGGTCGATTGTGTCAGCAGTCCGAGCATGGATTCGACCTGTTTCTGCTGGGTGAGCATGGTCTGGATGGTTGCTTGCTCGAGGATCTGGGCGCGGACGAGGTTGGCGGTTTCTTTCGCGTAGTCCGCGTCTTCGATGAGTGAGAGCGCGTCCTCGGTGTTGGTGAGCTCGGAGAGCAGGGCGTTTGTTTCGGATTCGATCGCGTTGATTCGGTTCCCGATCGCGCCGCGTCGTCCGGCGATGGTCGCGACGGCTTGCTTGGCGAGGTCCTGCGCGGCTTCGGGGTTGTTGCTGAGGAGCTGGGGGAGATCCGCGAGCGTTTTTTCGGTCAAGACCAGTTCACCGGTTTCGGGATCGGCTTCTTCGACGAAGATCGATCCGATGTCGGACGCGGAGAATCCGGTGAGGAGGGTGTTGCCTTGGTAGGTAGAGGTGTTGTGGATGTGGTTGATCGCGGTGATGATCGATTGGGCTTCGTCGATCTTGAGGTCTTGTTCCTGTTGGGTCAATGCGCCGGTGTTGGCGGCTTCGACTGTGACAGCATCAAGTTTGATGACGAGATCGGAGAGGACGGAGAGGGCGCCTTCCTGCGCGCCGAGGAACGAGGTCTCACGCTCGAAGCTGGTGAGCCTGCGATCGATCGAGAGTTTGGATGCGTGGAGTTTGTTGGACGCGATGAGACCTGAGGGGTCGTCGGAGGCGCGGTTGATTTGCTTACCTGTCGAGAGGCGTTCGAGGGATTGGTTGATATCGGCTCGGTGTTGACCGAGTTTGGAGATCCCGAACGAGAGGTTCGAGAGACTGAGGGATGTTGTGCCGTAGATGGGCATGGGGTGGATATCGGGCTGATTTGGGGGGTGGTTCAGTGAAGACGGGAAGAAGTTGGGGTGAATGGAGTTATGATTGAGGACTGGAGGCGTGTATGGCTGGAGACAACTGGGATTTGGGCGAGGGGCTTGATCCGGAGGGGCCGAGCGGGGCGGATCTGGATCGGTTCGGGGATGAGTTGATGCGCTGCAAGCGGTGCGGGGCGCAGATGTACGATCAAGCGTCGGTGTGTCCGGAGTGCGGCGAGATTGTTGAAGAGGGGGAGAAGACGCTGTCTGTTTGGGTGATTCTTGGTGTTTTGGGGTTGATTGTGCTGATGCTGGGGTTTGTGTTGTAGGGGTCAAGTCACGCAATCTTGGGTCGATGGCATCCAGAAGTTCGTTTGCGGCGTATAGAGTGCGGGGATACGCTGTGAAATGGCGGCTCGGCTGATGGCCGGGTCGTTGCTCACAGCGCTCGTAGGCGGGCTACTTTCTAGTTGGAGTGCAGGTATGCGCAGCGATCGTGTTGATGTGATGAGCCGCGGCTCGGGCCGTGATGGGGCGGGGTTCAGTCTTGTAGAGATGTTGCTGGTGATCGCGGTGATTGCGGTGCTGATCGCGATGTTGATGCCGGCGTTGTCAGGTGCTCGTCAGACGGCGATCCGTGTGAAGACACAGTCGATGATGGCGGATCTGAGCAACGCGGCGCAGCGCTTTGGGAATGACAATAACGGGCGCAATCCGGGCTACTTCTCCGAGACCTTGATGGGTCACAGCGACAACAACGCGATCGGGATGTCGGCGATGGAAAACGCGATGCTCGAGCTCGGAGGTACGCGAGCGGTGCTTGGTTCAGCGATGGACGACAACATGCCGAGCGTGAATCCTGAGGCGGGGATTATTCAGATTGGTCCATCGGCAGACGAAGAAAATCAGGTTATTGTGAATCTGAATCTGATCGGCGCTGAGGGTGCGTATTACGTACCTGAGGAGCAGTTCTTCCGGCCTCTGATTCATGACGGGACTGCAAATGCGCAGCAGAATGGGGATCCATCCGATATCAGTCAGCGTTTGATGCCTGATTTGCTTGATGCTTGGGGGAATCCGATGCTGGTGTGGTCGCAGGATCCTGGCGCCCCAAGCTCGCTTGTGCTGAGCGGGGGAGCTGATGAGATATATCCACAGATTGCTCGTGTGAGTAGTGACAATCCGAGTCCCAATCCAACAGATTTCACTGGTCCGGCTTGGTTCTATCTTGAAAGCAACTCTGCGTTTCTTGAAGCTCAAGCGTTTGGTTCAGCGGGTATCAATATGAGTGGTGATCCAGCAGTTGGGAGCGCGAGTGCGCTCGGCACAGGGGTCGCCGATGGAGATCGAATCCGCACGCTCGCGTCGGTGCTCGCATCCTCGAACTCGTACCAGCTTGATCCAACGGTTGATGGACTCGCGGACGCGAACTTTGATGAGATCTTCCCATCTCGTGCACGAGGTCGATTCTTAGTGCATTCGGCTGGAACAGATGGCATTTATCTGAACACATCAGATCCGGGTTGGGCAGAGAACTCAATCACAAATGGGACATCTGTGTTCTATCTCGATTTCGGCAACTCCTACATGGATCAGAACAATGCTCGTTACACAGATAGCAACGGTGCGTTCACGAACATTGATTTGTTTGAGCCGTTTGATGATCTGATGTTCGGGACGAAGTAAGGATTGATTTACGATATTTGAAGACGGCTCGGGCGTTGGTCCGGGCCGTTTTTACGTGTGCTGGCGTGGACAGAATGGGGTTTGAGGTGCTTGTGGAGGGGGATTGGGGTGGTTTGTGGGGACGATCTCGGATACTGTGGGTCTATGACACAGATGCAACAGTTTGACGGGACGGAACATATCACGATGTATCATGAGCCGGAGCGGACAAGCATCGCGGCGATACTGGGGCTTGTGTGCTCCTGTATCGGGTGCTGCTTTGGGGTGACGGCGATCATTGGGATCTTCCTGTCGATCTTTGGGATCATTGGGATCTCGCGCTCCAAAGGACGCGTCGGCGGGATGGGCTTTGCGATCGCGGGCTTGCTCGTTGGTCTGCTCATGGCAGCACTGTGGGCGGGGATCCTTGGTATGACCAACTTTGGTATGGGCTGGATGCGCACCAGCGTCGCGGCGCCGACTGTCCAGATCCTGCAGCACATCGAAGCGGGTGAGTTTGACGAGGCGCGTTTGGCACTCGGCGCTCCAGCTTCGCTGGTTCCCGATGATGTCATGGTTGAGTTCCGAGATGGGTACATGTCAACGCTTGGAGGAGCGGTTGCTGAACCAGGCGGGATCGGTGAACTCTTCGAGGGCTACGGAGTGATCGGTCAGCAGATCCAGAACTACAACGGGCGTCCGAATCACATTCCTGTGCCGGCGATGTTCGATCGTGGGTTTGGGTTGTTGGTCGTTGAGATGGATCCGAATCTGCAAGGCAACGCGAACACGATGAATATCGTCCCGATCCGCATCTTTGTGGTTGATGCGGATGGGAATGAGTATGTGCTCCCTCCGCACGGCTGGGTCGCTCCGCAAGTGGACACAAGCGCCGACGACATGAGTGGTGTGGATGTAGAAGATTTCTCTGATGATGGCGACGATTCGACCGATGATACTTCGGGCGATGACGGCCCTTAAGTTCGATGAGGTCTGAGCCATCGGGGATCCATGAGTCAGGATGATCTACATCACGGACGCACAGAAGCACAGCTCGCGCAGGAGCCTGTGGTGTGCTGCAAAGAGGTGATCAAACAGTTCGGTGATCAGACTGTGCTCAAGGGGATCAACCTGGAGGTGTATCCCGGCGAGACGATGGTGGTGATGGGTGGCTCGGGTTCGGGCAAGTCCACGCTGCTGCGCTGCATGATCGGGACACACAAGGTGAACGGCGGATCGATCGAGCTGTTCGGACAGGACATGGGGAGTTTGGACGAAGACGGGCTCAACGATGTGCGCAAGAAGTTTGGGATCTTGTTCCAATCTGGCGCGCTGTTCAACTCGATGACGCTCGCGGAAAATGTGGCGCTCCCATTGCAAGAGCACACGGATCTGGATCAAGAGATCATCGATATCCAGGTGAAGATCAAGCTCGAGCTTGTGGGACTGCGCGAGCACGCGGACAAGTATCCGGCGCAGATTTCGGGTGGTATGAAGAAGCGTGCGGGACTGGCGCGTGCGCTGGCGCTGGATCCGAAGATCTTGTTTTATGATGAGCCGAGCGCGGGGTTGGATCCGGTGACGAGCGCCCAGATCGATCAGTTGATCATCGCGCTGACTAAGCAGCTCGGCGTGACGAGTGTTGTGGTGACGCACGAGATGGACAGCGCGTTTACGATCGCGGATCGGATGGCGATGCTGGATCGTGGGCGGATGCTTTGCGTGGATAAGCGCGAGTGGTTCGAGCATTTGCGAGATCTGGATGATGAAGCGACGGCGAAGCTGGACGAGGATCGTCAGCTGGTGCGTCAGTTTTTGCGTGGTGCTCCGGACGGCCCATTGGCCGCTCGTCGTGATGAGCAGGGGTATTCCGAGGATCTGTTCGGGATGACGGTGGATCGCGTGACGCGGACGCCGAGTGTGGAGCCGACTCGTGGGTGAGCGGCTGATGAAGAGAAGCGACGGCGGATGCTGTATGATGATGGTTGGCCGGGAGGTATGAACGGATGAGCATGCGTGCGGTGAATCAGAACAATGTGCTTGCGGGAACCTTTGTGATTGCTGGGATCTTTCTCGCGGTCGCGATGTCATTCATCTTGGGTGATATCGCTGGTAAGTTCGGGAGCAAGAACGAGTACATCGTCCGCTTCCCAACAAGTGTTGGGGTGGTTGGGCTCGAAGCGGGCGCGGATGTGACCTTCGCCGGATTGTCGGTCGGGCGCGTGACTTCGGTGTCGGTGCATTATGAAGATGACCAAGACACTGGTGCGAAGGTCCCGAGCGCGATGGACGCGGTGATCGAGGTTCAGAGTGATCTGGTGATTTATGAGGATGCGATTGCGGATTTGTCACCTCCGATTCTGGGTGGGATCTCGCGGATCAATATCGCTTCAGCTGGGACAGGATCGGTCGGTGTTGACGACGAGCGTCACGCGTGGGCATCGGACCCCAACTCGACGCTTGATAGCGGCGAGATTTTGACTGGGCGCTTTGCGCCATCGATCCTGACACAGATGGGATTGGGTGCAGAGGAAGCGGAGAAGATCAAGGCACTGATCGAGCGTTTCCCAGAATGGTCGGATCGTGTTTCGAGCACAACAGAGCACGCTGAAGAGACCATGGCGACGGTGCGCCGGATGACAGAGAAGCTCGAACCCAACTTCAACAGCGGTGTGGATGATGGGAAGACAACGATGGAGAACATCCGGATCTTCTCGGAGCGTTTGAGCGCCGAGGGTGGGTGGCGCGATCGGATCGATTCGATCATGGAGTCTGCGGACAACGGCGTCGCGAAGTTTGAAACGACGCTCGATGACGCGAATGAGACCATGGCGTCGGCGCGCGAGCTGATCGATGACAACAGCGGGAAGATCGGGCGGATCCTGGACAATGTCGAGAACTCGACAGAACGCGTGCGGCTTGAGACGATCGATCGGATGAATGATCTGTTGGCGCAGGGGTCGCTTGCGGTCGGATCCGCGCAGGACACGATCGATGAGGTGCAGGGGGTGATTGTTGAGAATCGTCCTCGCGTCGGCACAACGATGGTCAATGTGCGTCAACTGAGTCTTGATGCGAAGCTGATGGTTGAGGAACTCCGGGCGCAGCCTTGGCGGATTATGAGCAAGCCGAGCAAGAGCGACCTGCGGCGTGAGCCGTTGTACGAAGCAGCGCGTTCGTATGCTCGAGCGGTGTCGGATCTGCGTTCAGCGAGCGAGTCGCTCGACACAGCGGTCCGGCTCGCGGGCGGCGCGGGGAGCGATCCATCCAAGAGTGCTGAGGAGCTGACGACTGAGCTCATGCGTTTGGCGCAGGTTGTCGAGCAGGCGTATGGGCGCTACGAGCAAGCCGAGCGTGGACTCTTGGGGTTGTTGGCTGAGTCGCCATGATCCGCGGTGGGAGCGGGAGTTCAGCGGCGGGGGATCTGATGGGATTGGTTATTGGTGTGGTCGGGGTGCTGTGCGTCTGGATCGCGGGGGCTGGTCCTGAACAAGCGATGACATCAAGTGTGAGCGTGTCTCATGAAGACGGGCATGTGCGATGGTTTGATGGGGTTGGGTGGTCTGCGGACTCAGGTGTCTGGTCTGATGGTGAAGCAACTGTGGTGTTGGTGCACGGGCTTGATGAGCCTGGCGGAATCTGGGACGAGGTCGCGCCGGCGGTGCACGCTGAAGGGTTCCGTGTGGTGCGATTCGATTATCCCAATGATCAGTCGATCGCGCGGAGTGCGCTGGGGATGAGCAGGGCGTTCGCGGCTTTGTCGGACTTGGGGATCGATGAGGTTGATATCGTGGCGCACTCGATGGGGGGGTTGGTATCGCGCGAGGCGATGACCAATCCTGCGCTTGGAGATTCGAGCGGCGCGATCTCTGGTGTTGAAGTCGATCGGCTGATCTTGTGCGGGACGCCGAATGAAGGATCGGGTTGGGCGCGATTGCGCGGCGTCGCGGAGGTGCGCGAGCGCCTGCAGCGATGGATGGGGTCGGACGATTTGGATTGGACAATTCTGAGCGATCTAGGAGATGATGGGGACGGACAAGCGGGTGTGGACTTGCTTCCTGGATCTGAGTTTTTGAGCGCGCTGAATGCGCGCGAGATGCCTGAGGGGGTCCGGGTGACTTGTTTGGTGGCTCGGATCATCGAGCCGACGATGACGAAGGCGAGTGAGGGGTTTGAGGATGCGGCACGAACGCTCGGAGACGGGGTGGTCACGATGGACTCGGCGGCGCTGGACGGCTGTGAGGATGTGGTGATTCTGGTCGCGAATCATCGGAGCATGCTGCGGACAGTGGAGCTGGAAGAGGGCTGGAGGGCGATGGTGGGCGGAGAGCAAGCGCCCGAGCCTGTGGGAATTGCGGTAATTCTGGATCGTCTGACGGCGGATCGGGATTGAATCCGAACAAAAATTGACAAATACCATACAAAATCCGTTTAATTCGAGCCGGTTTGGGGTATGCTTGAGCGATGGCACAGCGGCGTCACCATTACGAGCGTGCGTTTGAGGGGTATTTGCGAGAGCAGCGTCTGGCGTATATGGCGGTGAACGAGGCGCGGAGAGCGCTGCTGCCGAGGGACGCGAAGCTGGTGCTTGAGCGTGGGAAAGACGGCTCACAGGATCGCAGAGCGATCAAGAACTTCGATTTCGTGGTCTACGGCGATCAGCAGAGTGGGACCGAGGACGCGTTTGATGGGTGTTCAGCGGACAACTTGCTGGTCGAGATCAAAGGGAGACGGCTCCCAAGACTGCGGCTCAAGGACGGTGCTCCAGCAAAGGCGCGGCTCGAATCGTGGGTCACGATGGATGATGTGGACGCGATGCGAGCGTGGGAGGGGTTGTTTGGGGTTGGATACACGGCGGTGTTCGTGTTTGTGTATTGGTGTGATGATGTGCCTCCAGATGGATTGTTTACGGAAGTCTTCTCGCACGGTGATCGGTGGTACACGCTCAGAGCGGTGTCATTGCGGGATTACGAGGCGCACATGAAGGTGCGTTCACCGAAATGGAGGACGGTGAATCTGTCGAGCGAGGACTTTGATCGGCTCTGGAGGGGGTTCTGTGGGGGTGGATCGCGCCGAGTGATGGGGCTGGAAGCGTCCATGGAGTTGAGCGGCGCTTGAGAACGCGTTTGATTGAGGGGGTCGGGGTGTGTAGCGTAGTGCATGATGGAAGTTCTTCACCAACGGGTATCGTCGCTCAGTGCGAAAGCAATGGCGTGGTTCATGATGGCGTCGGTCGCAATGCTCGGCTCGGATGTTTGGGCGCAGGCGGAGGATGCGGAGCCGTTGCGTCCGCCTCGTGTGGGTGATGCGCCGAGCTCTCCGAAGTTCTTGGTGATGGGCGTGATCATCGTGCTTCTGGCGCTGGTTGTGGTCGCGGTGACACTCAAAACCAAGCGCGGGCATCAGGACTGAGTTCAATTAGTTCATCCGGACATTGGCAATGAACTGAATCCATCACGCTTTGTATGCGGATGGGGTTGTAAGCACGCACATCGGTGTGGTACTCTTGCTGCTACAGACACTTTGGTCAAAGTATGGGGATGATGATATGAAACGAACTGACAAAGAGAGTCGATCAAGAGTTGGTTGGTCTCGCATGAACTTGATTCTTGCTGGAGGCGCGGTTGTGCTCGCGGTTGTTGGGATCGCGGGCGCTCAGCCGAGTGACTCGCGGCGCGTCGGTGGTCAGTACACCTGTGTTGGTGGCAAGACGATCGGTGGATACACCAATGTCATCTATGTGCTCGACTCGGCGAATCGTGAGATGGTCGGACTGAGATGGAACGACGGGACCAAGCAGCTTGAGGGCATCGGGTATCGAGATCTTGTGGAAGACATTACACAGGAGAACGATCGATGAGCCAGACAATATACAACACACAAGACACACGAGAGGCTCGTCCGGCGCTGTTCTCAAGCGGATGGTTGACCACGGCGTTGTTGGTTGTGGTCGTGTTCCTGCTCGCGAAGGTTGTTGGGGGGATCGAGCAGCCGGCGTATGCGGAGATGGCGATCAACGACAGCGGATACACGATGATGACCACCAACGGCGGCCCTGACGAGATTCTGGTCTTGGTGGACTCGCGTCAGGAGTCGATTCTGGTGTACCGAGCAGCGCAGACGGGCGGGATCGAGCTGCTGGAGCGGGAGTCTTTGGGATCACTGTTTATGCGTGCTCGTGCGCAAGCGATCGGCGGGCCCTAAAGTCTTGCCGTGACTATTTCGCCTTTACCCCAGTTTGAAGCCGACCTCGCGGAGTACCTCAAGGAGAAGGAGGATCGCGAGGCGTACGAGAAGCTCAACGCTCCGTCGTCGATCGTGGTGCGCTTTGGGTACTCGATGATGGTGGGGGAGTTTCCGTACAACGGCGAGGTGAAGCCGGGGTGCGGGAGCAAACTGGTGGTCAAGACGCAGCGCGGCACAGAGATCGGTGAGATGCTCACGAGCACTTGTCGCAACTCTGGATGCTCGAAGAGTGTGAGCCGGAAGGAGATGCTCGAGTACATCGAGAACTCTGGTGGGCGCAAGTATCCGTTCTACGAGCAGGGACGCGTGCTGCGCGTCGCGACAAAGGAAGACCTCGACGAGCAGGCGCGACTGGAGCAATCCAAGCACGGCATGCGGACGATGGTGCGCGGACGCATCAAGGCGCATGGATTGGATATGCGATTGGTGGAGGTGGAGCCGATCCTTGGTGGTGAGCGTGTGGTCGTGTATTTCAGCGCCGAGGATCGTGTGGATTTCCGTGATCTCGTCAAGGACCTGCAGGTTGATCTGAAGAATCGCGTCGAGCTTGTGCAGGTGGGGTCGCGTGATGAGGCGCGGATCGTTGCGGATTATGAGCGGTGCGGTCAGTACTGTTGCTGCAAGAACTTCTTGAAGGTCTTGAAGCCGATCAGTATGAAGAGCGCGAAGATCCAGAAGGCGACGCTCGATCCGCTCAAGATCTCGGGACGCTGCGGGCGATTGATGTGCTGCTTGCGTTATGAGGATGAGACCTACGAGCAACTCCGCAAGAATCTCCCTCATCGCAAGAGCCGAGTCGGGACACCTGAGGGTGATGGGATGGTGATTGATTCACAGATCCTGACGCAGCTGAGCAAGATCCGATTGGATGACGGCACGATCGTCGCGATTCCGATCGAGGAGTTGACGGAACCCAAACTTGCGAAAGCGCCGGAGGTGGGTGAGCGGAGCATGCGACGCGAGCCGAGGGGAGATCGTCGAAAAGGCGAGGCGAAATCTGAGCGTACGGACAACTCATCGGGTGAAGGCAAACGAAAGCGTCGTCGGCGTCGCTCTGGTGATGAAAGTGCTGAGCAGGCACAGGGGGCATCGAGTACACGCAACGCGGATTCGGACAGTGCTGTTTCTGAGGATGGCGTGGAGCGTCCACGCAAGCGTCGTCGCCGGCGCAGCAAGAAGCGCACGAATCGCGGATCAGGTGAAGGATCCGCGCCGGCTCAATCGAGCGGTGGTGATTCTGGATCGGATGCTCCTCAGGCGAACGGATCTGGGAATGATTCGGGTGAGTCGTCAGGGGGATCGGGTCCCAAGAGGAAACGCCGTCGGCGTAGAAGACGACGCGGCGGTGGTTCTGGAGATGGTGCGTCTGGTGGTGGGGGCTCGAGCGGCGGTGATTCGTAAAGAATGAACGCTGAGGGGATTGGTTGCGTATTGTTGGGGCAATGAGCAGCAACACCACGAGTAGCAAATCATCGGACACGCACCACAAGCCTTTGGGTTTCAAAGAGACGGCGACGAGTCTGATCATCGCGTTCATGATGGCGTTTATCTTCCGCGGCTTCGTGGTCGAGGGGTTTCAGATCCCCACGGGATCGATGGCACCGACGCTGCTTGGGAAGAATGTTCGATTCTCGAGTCCGCACAGTGGGTACGACTGGACGACTGGTCCTTGGACGATGACCTCGCCTCGGAGTCGCGTGCCGGCGCGTGTGCAGGGGCCGATCGAGGTGACCGATCCGATGACGGGGCTCGATCAGGCGGAGACGAATCGGAAGTTGTCGAGTGGTGATCGTGTGTTCGTGCTCAAGTATCTCCCGATGCTGCACGAGCCGGAGCGGTGGGATGTGGTGGTGTTCAAGAATCCTGGGACGCACGAGAACTACATCAAGAGATTGGTCGGGCTTCCGGGTGAGCAGATCGCGTTCGTGGACGGCGATGTGTTTACACGCAGATATGTAGAGGGGCAGACGAGTACTGAGGGATGGGACTCTTGGGCCGAGGAGAGCTGGAGCGTGGCGCGTAAGAGCGAGCGTGTTCAGCGTGTAATGCTGCAGGATGTCTCGGATTCGAGGTACGCGCCTGTCGAGGTGACTCCGGAGTATCGCTCTCCTTGGGATGGGGTCGGGAGTGGTTGGGACGGCGTGCGGACTGATTCGAGCTTTACCTATGCGGGATCGGGTGAAGCGAGGTTGGTGTGGAATGGTGTTCGTCCGATCACGGATCGCAACTCGTACAACCAAATCTTTGCGGGGTTTGACCTCAATGCCACACCTTTGATGGAGCAGTTCTCTCAGGGGAACTTCCGTCCGTTTTATGTTTCGGATATTGCGTTGTCTGCGGATATCGAGATGACAGATTCCGCGGTCTCGGCGACTCCGATGGTCTCGGCGCGTGGTCATCAGTTCCGCGGGATCGTGGATCCTGGTGCTGGCGCGGTGCGTGTCGAGATGCGTGAGGATGTCGAGGGCGCGGAGTGGCGCGTGCTCGATTCTGGGAGCATTAGCACACGATCGGGTGGGGTGATCGGTGTTGAGTTCTGGCACATCGATCAGGCGCTGTGGTTGTTTGTGGACGGCAAGCTCGTGTGCGGCGGTGCGGAGAATGGGGCGTACGACATGACCCCTGTTGAGCGTGCGGCTGCCGCGACTGGGATGAGTCCGGAATTGTTGGCGCGTGATCGTGAGGTTGGTGATGGCGTGCGTTCTCCGGGGGTTCTCTCGCGTCCTGAGATCTACAAACCTGCTCAAGTGGAGTGGTCGTTTGATGGCGGCGGGTTCACGCTGCACAATGTACGCGTTCGCAGGGATATCAGCTACAAGAACATGTCACGCGAATCAGCGGTGGGACGCGCGACGCGAGGGGGACATCCCAACAACTATCCGACGCTGCATGACGACGAGTTCTTCATGTGCGGCGACAACTCGGCGCGTTCAGAGGACTCGCGATTGTGGACTGACAGCTCGATCGTGCCTTGGGTAGAAGAGCTGATTGATGATCGCGCGGGGATGGTCAACGAAGACCTGATCGTGGGCAAGGCGTTCGTGGTGTACTGGCCGAGCTTGCTCAAAGAGGGCAAGGTGCCTGCTCCGGATATCGGGCGCGTGCGCTGGATCTGGTAAGCACGCTTTAGGACAAGACGATATCGAGCGATCCCATCACGCCGAGGGTGAGGGAGATGATGCCGTTGAGCGTGAAGAACGCGATGGGGATCCCCGCTTTGCCTCGCTGAGCGAGGATGATGTGCTCGTAGATCAGCAGCAATGCGGTGAGGATGATCGCGATCAGGAAGAGTGTGGAGAGGGATGATGACTGTCTCCAGGTCTGCAGCAGCGCGAGGAGCGCGAAGAGATGGAACAGCCTTGCGATCCAGATTGCAGACTTCCATCCGAACTTTGCGGGGATGGAGTTGAGGTTGGCGCTGCGGTCGTGCTCGAGGTCTTGGAGCGCGTAGATGATGTCGAATCCCGCGACCCAGAGCAGGACCATGAGCGCGAGGGTGAAGACCTCGGGGGTTTCTGGGAGCAGGGTTGGGTTGATGGCGATCGCGGCGGCGATCGGGGACGCGGCGAGGGCGCCTCCGAGGAAGAGGTGACAGAGGAAGGTGAAGCGCTTGGTGAAGGAGTAGAACCCGATCCACGCGAGGACGGGGATGGAGAGCTGGGTGGGGAGCCAGTTGTTGTAGAAGAATCCGAATCCGGCGGTGGTGATGACGAACGCGATCGCGGTCGCGGAGAGCAGGAGGAAGCCGTCGCGGCGCGAGAGTTGTCCCGATGCGAAGGCGCGTCGTTTGGTGCGCTCGTTCTCGGCGTCGAGGTTCATGTCCGCGACGCGGTTGACGAGCATCGCCCAGGTCCGCGCAAAGACCATCGCGAGGATGATGAGGGTGAGAGTGATGGGGAGATCGGAGAAGTCGATCGACCCTGATTCAGTCGTAGGCGCGACGATAAAGGTCGCGAGGATCGCGAAGGGGAGCGCGAAGACGGAGTGGGCGAGCTTGATGTCCGCGAGAGCGATCGAGACGCGCTTGGTCCAGCTCAGGGTGGGGGCTTGGGCGGTGTTGGCGTTGATCGTGCTCATCGGGAGGGATTGTAGGGGAGGGCTATTTCTGTTTCAGATTCTGGGTGAGATGATCGAAGAGGGCTTGGGTGGTGGTGAAGGATGAGCCGCTAATCGCGAGGATCTTTTCGGGGTTGGTGTGTCCAGAGTGGATCTTGACGGATGATGCTTTGATTCCGAGATCTTGAGCGATGAGCGAGCAGATCGCTTTGTTCGCTTTTCCGGCTTCTGGAACGGCAGCGATGCGGACTTTGAGGCGGTCTCCGAGCATGCCTGCGATCTGGTCACGCGAGGCGCCGGGGACGGCTTTGATTGGGAGGAGGATTTCGCTCACGCGGAATGCTTGAGGGGGTTACTGGCAGGCGTTGTTGATCGCATCGATGAAGTCGAGGACGTCTTGGAACTCGATGATGCCGTCGTTGTTGAAGTCGGCGCTTGGGTCTTGCGTGCGGTACGCGGTCAGGAGTAGGCTCGCATCAAAGTAGTTGAGGCGAGCATCCTGATTGACATCGGTCGGATGGTACGCGTTGACGGTGATCTCTTGGTTCGCTGGGATGTTGTTGAGGATGGTTGTTGATCCGTCGGCCCACTGGATTTCGAGTTGTTCGACTTCGGTCGCGAGCTGGAGACCGATGTGCGTGGTGAGCTCGGATTGGGAGAGGTAGGACGCGTTGTTGTGGGTGGCGTGGAGTTGTGTTTGGCCGTTGACGGTTGCGATGATCTTGGTCCCGAATCCGTTTGGCGCCAGGCATGGGTGCGTGGAGGTGTCGAGGTTGACGCGGAGGTAGTTGTTGAATCCGTCTTCGATGGGGAGATCATTTCGGTAGAAGCGGATCGGTCCTTGGTTGTCGATGAAGATGAGGTCGAGGTCGCCGTCTTTATCGTGGTCGAGTGAGACAAGTCCGCGGCCGTTGATGTTGAACTGGAGTCCTGAGAGGATGGAGAGGTCGGAGAAGAAGGCGTTGCCATCGTTGAGCCAGAGTTTGGTTGGAGAGTTGGGCCATCCGGGCCAGCCGTTGGTTGCGACGAGGTCTTGGTCGGTGTCGTTGTCGAAGTCTCCGGCGACGACGCCCCAGCCCCACGCGATGTCTTGGACACCACGGTTTGCGGCTTGGTCGAAGAAGATGGGGTCTCCGAGGTTGTCGATCTGCGAGCACATGTAGAGGGTGTTGCCTCGGTTTTCGGAGGCGACGTAGATGTTGGTCTGGTACCAGTCGAGGAGTCCGTCGCGGTTGAAGTCGGCGACGGCGGCGCCCATGCCGTTGTGGTCGGCGTTGATGTTTGATTTGTTGGTGGTGGTGCGGAAGGTGGCGCGTCCGGATTCGTTGACGCCGTTGTTGACGAAGAGCTCGGAGGTGGTGAAGTCCGCTGTCAGCAGGATCTCGGGGTAGCGGTCTCCGGTGATGTCGACGATGTGGGGCGTGAATCCGCGGACGACGTCGAAGCGCTGGGGGGGAGACATCGAGGCGTCGGTGATGTCGATGAAGGTTGGTTGACCGGTTTGCATGAACTGGTTTTCGAAGAGGCGGTTGCCTGATCCTTCGAACATCCATGTCGCGACGAAGAGGTCGAGGTCGCCGTCGAGATCGATGTCTCCGAACGCGGGGGTCATCCCGGCGGGGATGTTCATGACCTCGTTGACTCCTGATGTCTTTGCGATGTCGGTGAAGGAGAAGTTGCCCTGCTCGTCTGGACCTGAGTTGAGGTACATCTTGCAGAGTCCGGGCGCGGTGCCGTCGAGTCCTGGGGCGCCGAGGGAGACGACGTAGAGGTCCATGTATCCGTCGTTGTTGATGTCCGCGGCGGCGGTTCCCATCCCGAGGTGGGTCTCGAGGAGTCCCCACTGCTGGGTTTGTTCTGTGAAGGTGCCGTCTTGGTTGTTGATGTAGAGCTTGTTGGGGTTGATGCCGAGCGAGGGGATGAAGATGTCGGGGTAGGTGTCGCTGTTGAAGTCGGCGACGCAGATCCCGCCGGTCATGCGGTTGTGCTGTTGTGGGTACCCCTCGTCGGTGACGGACTCGGCGGAGATGCCGACTTGGGAGGTCGAGAGGACGTATTTGGGGTTGGATGCGAGCGTGTCATGGGTCATCACGGCGGTCGGCATGATCGCAGGGAAGATCAGGCCGAGGGACGGGAGCGTGATGCATGCGCGGAGACGGCGCTGTGTCTTTGGTTGGGAGGGGCTCGTCATGTCTATAGGGTGGCTCGCAAATGCATGGTTTCAAGCAATTTGGATGGGTTTTGGGGTGAATTGGGGTGATTTCAAGTGCTCTTGGACGCTTGAGGGGTCTTCTTGCGTGTTTGGGCTCGGTTCGGAGCGATCGCGGTGGAGATTCCCCTTGCACTCCCCAGTTCGCGGACGGGTCCCATTTGGACGCGTTCCATCGCGGTTTTAGCGTTGTCTTTGGAGTATTCGGTCCCGATGAAGTGTCGATTCATCGCGGTCGCGACCACGGCGGTGGTTCCTGATCCCAGGAATGGATCGAGGATCGTGTCGCCGGGATTCGAGGTCGAGGCGATGACGCGGTGGAGGTAGGTTTCGGGGAGTTGGTTGTCGTGTTGTGGTCGTCGTTCTTTGTTGTTGCCTTGGATGCGTCCCCAGTATGGGCCGTACCAGACGTCCATCGGCACGCGGAGTCCGGCGGGCATCCCGTCGCGTTTAGACTCGGTGCGCGCGTCGGCGTAGATGGCGCGGCGGTCGGATTCTTCGAGGATCGGGTCGGGGTTCCAGGTGCGGTTGTTGGGGTCCTTGGCGAAGTAGAGCGCGTGGACTTTCGAGTTGATGAAGCGGGACTTGGTGTTTTGTCCGAAGCGGTAGTGCCAGACGCACCAGTTGATCATGGTGAGCTCGCGCTTCTTGAGATGCACGACGATCTCGGCGGCCCAGTCGTCTGGGATGTTGACCCAGATCGCGCCGGTGGGCTTGAGCGCATCGACGCAGAGGTCGAGCCATTTGTAGGTGAACTGGGTGTACTCCTCGGTGGACATCGAGCTGTCGTCCCAGACCTTATTGGATTTGGTATTGGGGGTCTCGTGCTTGTTGTAGTCGCGGTTCCAGTTGAAGGGGGGGTCGGCGAAGACGAGGTCGACTGCGTGCTCCTGGACTTCCGGGATCTTGGGGAGTTGTGTGCGGCAGTCACCAACCCAGACGCGCGCGGTGGCGTTGTTCTTGAGGGTCAGGGATCGGGTTGGTTTGGTCGGAGGCATGGGTTGAGTGTATTTCAGTTGTCGGTGTCGCGCAAGCCCCATGCGGATTGAATCATGCGGTATCCATCGGGGTCGTGCGCTCTGAGCTGATCGCGGGAGAAGGGGTAGAAGTCGTTGAATCCGAAGTACGCTTCGGTGAGCTCCGCGAAGTACTCGATCTCGTTGTTCATCGCGTAGTGGATGCGAGGCGTTCCGGAGATGTGATCGACGAGGTCGTAGGTGCCTGACGCTTTGGCTTGCTCGTAGGGCTTGGTGACGAGTGGGTTGTTGTATCCGAGCGTGGCGTGCTGGTACGCGTGGGCGAGCTCGTGGAGGATCATGCTGGGTTGTCCGGTGTTGACCCAGTTGACGAAGTTGGTGGTGTTGGCGATTTCGACGCCTGTCGCTTTGTCGGTGTTGTGTCCGTTGTCGGCGAGCCATTTGGGATCGGGGTGGTAGCAGGCGCAGGGGAAGCGGGGGTTGTTGTGCTCGATCCAGATGATGGTCTGCTGGAGCGTCGCGTGGGCGCTTGGTGGGGTTTGGGCGAGCGTTTGCTTGAGCTGTCGTCGGAGGAGATCAAGCGCGGGGGTGGTGGTCTCGGTGTGGTCCATCGCGGCTTGGGAGATGTGGACAGTGAACCCCTCGATGGTTTGGATCGTGTACTGGTCGGTGGTTTCGTGGATGAACGGTGGGGAGACTGATTCGAGCGTTGAGTTGGTCTTTGAATTGGTCGTTGGCTGCGTGGCGCACGACGCGAGTACGGCGGGCGCGAGCAGGAGGGATCGGGATAGACGGGTGAGGATGCGCATGGGGGTGTTTGTGGTGCTAGTCTAATGGATCATGACCGCTCGCGCCACCCCAACTGAAACACTAGATCTGAGTGTGATGATTCCGTGCCGGAACAATGTGCGGACGATGGGGCGCGTGCTTGAGTCGGTCCGCGGGTTGTGCTCGCAGCTTGTGGTGATTGATTCGGGTTCGACGGACGGGACATTGGAGCTTGTTGAGGCGTGTCGAGAATGGTGCGAGGTCGTTTTGGTGCAGACGCACTGGCGCGGGTTTGTGCGGACCAAGTCGATGGGGCTTGATGCGTGCAATCGCAAGTATGCGCTGTGGCTGGATTCGGATGAGCCGGTGACGAGTGAGATGGCGGCTTCGGTCCGGAGCGTGGTCGCGGACGGTGTCGATGCGGCAAGGGTTCAGCGTGTCGTGGAGTACAAGGGGAAGCTGCTGATGCACTCATGGCAGCCTGAGTGGCGGCTCCGGCTGGTCAGGATGGATCTGGTGCGCGATGGGCGGGCGCGATTCACAGGGATCGATCCGCACGATTATCTTGAGGTGGACAGCGGTGTCGAAGTACGAGCGCTCGATGGGGTGCTGGTGCATGACTCATTCGAGACCTTCAGCGAGCACCTCGGCAATCAGCTCCGGCTCTCGCGCACCAGCGCGCAATCGCTGCACGCGATGGGCAAGCGCGGGAGCGTGTGGAAGATCATGACCTCCCCGATCGGTGCGTTCTTTAAGCAAGCGATCGTCAAGGGTTCATGGCGCGACGGCTCCGCGGGCTGGCTCGCGGCAACCACGAGCGCGGCGGGGGCGCTGATGAAGCACGCGGTGCTGTATGAGCTGGGGCGTTCCGAGCAATGATCGGTTCTTAACTATGAGTCGCCTATCATACTTGCGTGCGTTGGCGAGGTGCTGGCGTGGTTGAAGGTGCCGAGGATTGGTTTTGACCAATCTGGTTCGGCGAGCGCCCTGATCGGGGCAGAATGGTTGATCAATGAGCGACAAGTATCGCGAGGGCGGTGGGTCCGGCAAGCGTGGGGGATCGAAGAAGGGCGGGCGTCGTGGGGGCGGCCGCAAGGGCGGGGGACGAGGTAAGCGAGAAAAAGATGCGCCGGAACCCAAGCGGGTTCGGACGGTCAGCGAGCCAGAGGGTGGTTGGTCGGAAGAGTCGTTCCGTTTGGATATGACCTTTGCGGATCTTGGGTTGGGTGATGACATCCTCAAAGCGATCGATGAGCTTGGGTTCAAGCATCCAACGAAGATCCAGGCGGAGCTTGTGCCGCTGGCGCTGACTGAGGTGGACATCCTCGGACAAGCGAAGACGGGAACGGGGAAAACAGCGAGCTTCGCGCTGCCGCTGCTTGAGATGATTGAGCCGGGTGATTCGATGAGCGCGATTATTCTGGCGCCGACGCGTGAGCTCGCGGTGCAGATCAAGCAGGACATCGAGGAGCTGGCGCCGCATACAGGATTGAGCGTGTGCGCGATTTACGGAGGACAATCGATCAATGTGCAAGCGGATCAGCTGCGGAAGCATCCTGAGATCATTGTGGGGACTCCTGGACGCGTGCTGGACATGATCGAGCGTGGGTTCTTGTCGCTTGAGCACATCGAGTTTGCGGTGCTCGACGAGGTGGATCGGATGCTGGACATTGGGTTCCGCGACGACATCCGCAAGATTCTTGGGAAGTGTCCGAAGGATCGTCAGACGATCTTCGTGTCCGCGACCTTCACACCTGAGATCGAGAAGCTGGCGCGGAAGTTCATGCAGGATCCGACGAAGCTTGAGGTTTCGGCGGGCGCGTTGACTGTAGAGCTGGTCAAGCAGGGGTATGTGACGGTTGAGCCTTGGGATAAGCGACGGATGCTGGCGCATTTGTTGACGCACGAGGAGCCGGCGCTGACGATTGTGTTCTGCCGGATGAAGCGGACGGTGGATTCGGTCGTGCGGTATCTAGAACGCAAAGAGATCCCGGCACACGCGATCCATGGCGACCTCTCACAGTCCAAACGCAACAATGTGATGAGCAAGTTCCGTTCAGGAGATCTGGCGGTGCTTGTCGCGAGCGATCTTGCATCGCGCGGGATTGATGTTGAGGGGATCACGCATGTGGTCAACTACGACCTCCCTGAAGATCCGGATATTTATGTGCATCGCATCGGACGGACAGCACGCGCGGGACGCAACGGGCACGCGTGGTCGCTTGTGACTCCGGCTCAGGGATCACTGTTGACTGAGATCGAGATGCTGGTGAATGCTGAGATCCCGAAGATGGACTATCCGGACTTTGAGCCGCGCGAGCGTCCGGAGGACTGGAAGGACGAGCCGACTGGTGGTCGACCGACCTATGAGGTCAAGGGCGTCAAAAAGGAAGCGAAGAACCGATTCGCGGAGGAGGCTCCTCCAGCGGAGAAGGAAATGAGCGATGCGGAGAAGGCGGAGAAGTTCCCGGGTGGGGTGGTTCCTGCAAAGCGTCCTCCTCGTGTGATGCGCGGGAAGACGCGGACGCGCGGGCGTTAATCGCGAGTGTTAGCTTGATGACTTGTTAGTCATTTGGAATTTTTGAAATGCACAATCCGTTCCAATGCGAGTTGGTCTTGTTCATTCATTGATGAGGAATGATCGAGAAGAAACTGAGCTGTTGCTCTATGTTCCGATTCGATGTTGCCAAAGTGGCCGAGTTCCACTTGCTCGGCGATGTCTGTCCAACTTGCTCGTGCCCAGACTCGAGCGATGTCTTCTCTCAAGCGTCTATCGATTTTGTGAAGATAGAGTGTGGCGATCCATTCAGATGGCCGTTGATTCTCAATAGCTTCACGAACAGCATCTAGACTCGGTACAGACTCGCGGTATCCAAGCTTCGGTGGTGGATTCCAGTGTGGTGGATAGTCGCTTTGAGATAATCCCGACATGATGGCGAATGCTGACGCGACCTGGTTCTGCTTCAGGAGGAGTTCTGCTTCTCGGCGATTGATCTGTTCGGGTTGGCTTATCAATAGTAGAGGCACAAACGCGATGATTGATATGATTGCAATGATCAGCATTCCTCTTGAGGAACTTGATTGTGATTGTGGTTGCTGATTTGTCCACTTTGGTTTAAGAGCTCCGATGGCGACTAGGGCGCCAATGATCCATACTGGAGCACTCACGAATGAAAGCACAGTGATATCAAAAGTGACCCTCGCGATAAGAGCATCGCGTTGCGAATGACGGATTCCGCCCATCACATCAATTACGGGTGTTGGGATCTGTGTTATGGCGATGTACGCTACTGCGTCAGCGAACAACATCACCAGGAAGAATGAAGAGACATATCCGATTCCATAGATCACTGAAATCACACGGGTCATTAGCACAACACGCCAAAGTGCGACTAGAGCTAAGGTCCAGAGGTTCACCTCGATAGCATCTACGGGGCTCATGAAGCGTTCGTAAGGGATTGCGTAAAGCCATGCGAGCGGCGCGGTCATCCAGAAGAGTCCCATGAACATGCACCAAGCTCTGAAGATTGGCGGTGGAACGCCGCTCTCCTGATCTCGTTTGAATAATGCCGCAAAATGCACGAGAAGAAAGAGTGTGGTGCCTGTTACTAGGGAAGCTGCGAGTGGACGGAGCGCATGCCATGGTTCATGAAGTAGATCTTCGCCGTCATACTCGCGAGCGAATCCTGCTGAAATCACAAACAGGATGCCTATCAATAGAGAGCTTCGGGAAGCTGCTACTTCGAGTATTGCCTGCCGCGATCCTATGAGGTATTGGGACAAGGTTGATGCTTTCAAGAAACACCTCCTGCCGAAACGATACGCATTCTGGAGAACATCTGTGCCTGCGAGTACGGCATATGGATCCGAGTGATTAAAAAAGACCGGAACTCGTCTAGAGTTTCGGTCTTCATTCGTTTGAGTAAGGTATGCGGTAGTTAGCTGTTGACGATCGCTTCTTCTCGGTTGATGGAGCCGATGATTGCTGGAGCGGTGCCGGTGTTGACATGGACCTTCGGTTCGCTTGTACGGTCCGCTGAGCGTGCGTGCTGGACCGTCTTGCTGTCGGTTGTCTCTGGTGCAGTTGCTTCGAGGCACTCACGCATGCGTCGTCCGGCTTTGAACTTCACAGTGCGTTTGGCAGGGACTGGGACGCGTTCGAGGGTCTTCGGGTTTTGCGCCATGCGTGGGGCGCGTTGCTTGACTTCAAAGACACCGAAATCGCGGAACTCGAGTCGGTTTCCTTCACCGATTTCATCGATGACTTGGTCAAGAAACTCTTGGATGATCTGCTTTGCGACGACGCGTTTGTGTCCGGTGCGTTGTGCGATTTGGTCAACCAGTGCTTTCTTGGTGATTGTCTTCATCGTTCAGTGTCTTTCTAGGTATTGAGCTGTCATCCGGCGTGTGTGCGGTCAGGTGTGCGGACGCCGGCGCGTCGTTTTGGTTGGTCCGCGGGAGGGCTTCGGGGAGGCCCTGATTCCCGATCGGAAGATGCCCCAAACGAATGGTTGCTGCGTGGTCCTGTGCGGAGGACGCGGCGTGATGCTCGGTGGGGACGCCGAGCGGCGTGCGGGTAATTGGGAATACTCGCATGGGCAGTATCGCAGACTAAATCGCTCAGGTCAACGGGGTAGGAATACTTCTTTGCGACATAAACCAAAAACGATCAAGCACTTGCAATTGCGTCTTTGGTCTGCTATGGCTGGGTATGGAATCCGCTTCAGGGCATCAAAGCGAGGGTGGTTCATCGGTCTCGATCGGTGGTGGTCGTGCTGTGGATTCGGGGAAGTTGCGTTTCAGCTTTGTGCGTTCTTCTGGTCCAGGTGGTCAGAATGTGAACAAGCGAGCGACGAAGGCTCAGCTGCGTGTGCGTGTTGAGGACCTTGGATTGCCGTTCGGCGCGGCGCGTCGACTGCGCAAGAACGCGGGGAGTTTGTTGACACAGGATGATGAGTTGTTGATCTCGTGCGATGATTCGCGCAGTCAGTCGCGCAACAAACAAGGATGTGTTGATCAGCTCCGCGCGATGGTGAATAGGGCGATGGTGGTCCCGAAGACTCGGAAGAAGACGAAGCCGACAAAGGGTTCTGTGGAGCGCCGCATTGATGCGAAGAAAAGACGAGGCGAGATCAAACGCAGCCGCCAATCGCGCGGGGAAGACTAGAGTTGACGATGCACGAACACGCGGAGCAACAATCTGGATCGAGTCGTGATCACTACGCGATCGGTATTGAATGCTCGAATCCTGGTGCGTGCATTGATGGACGAGGAGAGGTGGGGATCGCGAAGATCATTGGTGACGGATCACTCGAATGTATTGGTGTGCGAGCACTTCCGGAGTCCATGCGTGGCAGTGACGGGATGATGAGCGCGATCGATGAGCTGTGCACTGAGCTTGGGATCGAGCGCGATCAGATCAAGCGCGTGGTGGTGTCCATAGGTCCGGGTGGTTACACAGGACTCCGTGTCTCTGTGACGCTCGCGAAGGTTCTCGCGATGGCGCTGGGGTGCTCAGTGGTTGGGGTCCAAACGGCGGCGGTCGCGGCGGAGTTTGTTGACTCGGATGCGGTCATCGCACTGGCTTCGAAGAACGGCAAGGCGCACTGCACAAGCGTTGAGGGCGGGGCGCTGCGTGTGATCGGAGAAGTTGGTTCTGCTGAGATCGCTTGGATGAGCGGGGTTTTGGTTGGGGATCGGCATTTGCCTGATCCGATGCGTGAGGCAGCAATAGGAGCGGGGATGCGTATCGAGGAGCTGCGGCTGGGTGTAGAAGCGTGTTTCAGAGCGTCTGAGGGGTGCTCTGAGACCGATCCGGGGTCGTTGGCGGTGATGTACGCTCGAGAGCCGGACGCGGTCACACAGTGGCGTGCTCGGCACGGCTGAATGCGCACAAGAAAGTGCGGAATGTGGAAGCATATGTGTTATCGGTGTGAAGTTGGGGGGGTTGGGGGACGATGAGCGGGTGTACGCGTGTCCATGAGGGTGCGTGAAGCCGAGGTCATCGATGAGCAAGGACAGCACAGATTGGTCTACGAAGAAGGTCTTTACGACTGGAGAAGCGGCGCAGGTCTGCAAGGTTTCACAGCAGACGATTATCCGCTGCTTTGATTCTGGAAGACTCAACGGATTCCGAGTTCCCGGCTCGAAGTTCCGAAGGATCCCACGCGAAGAGTTGATGCGCTTTATGCGATCCAACGACATTCCATTGGAGGTTCTGGAGAGCTCGCTCAAGCGGATTCTCGTGGTTGATGATGACCAGCAGATCGCGTCTTTGATCCAAGATGTGTTCGGGGATGACGGGCGGTTTGAGGTGCGTGTGGCGCACAATGGATATGACGCGGGTATGGAGACAGAACGCTTCCAGCCTCACCTGATTTTGCTTGATTACATGCTCCCTGACATCAACGGCGATGTGGTGTGCAAGCGTGTGCGTGAGCGTGATTCGCTCGCTGATACTCGCGTGCTTTGCATATCTGGGGTGATCGAGTCCGAGGAGATCGAGGGATTATTGGATGCGGGGGCGGATGGTTTCCTGAAGAAGCCGTTTGATCTCGGAGAGCTGATGTCGCGTGTCGAGTCGTTGCTTGACATGAATCAACGGAGCGCGGGGTGAGCATGGGCGTTCAGGTCGACGATCAGCACGAGCAGCAGGTGAGCAGCCGACAGGTGGAAGCGATCCTTGCGGGGATCACTCGGCTTCCGACACTTCCTGCAGTCGCGGCGAAGTTGCTGTCGATGGGTGCTGATGAAGATGTTCGTCTGGACGAAGTGATCGAGTTGATTGAGGCGGATCCGGCGCTGAGTGCTCGGATGTTGTCGTTGTGCCGGAGTGCGGACACGGGGCTCGGGGACCGTATCACGACTGTTCGGCGTGCGGTGATTATGCTGGGTCTTGATGCGGTTCGCACGGCGGTGCTGAGCGTGCTGATCTTTGATCAGTTGCCTATTGAAGCGAGCGAGACGATCGAAGGGGAACTGGGGTTCGATATTGAGGGGTTCTGGACACGCGCGATCGCGGTCGCGTGCGTGAGCGAGCAGGTGGTCAAGAATACAAACTCGATGGGTGTCAAGGCTGACGAGGCGTACCTTGCTGGATTACTCCACGGTCTCGGAAAGCTCGCGTTGTACAATGTGCTCCCAAAGTCGTGGGAGAAAGCGCTCGCGATGGCGAAGAGCCATCACCTGTCGTTGAGCGGCGCTGAGCGCGCGACGATCGGATTGGATCACCACACGGCCGGGAAAAGACTGAGCGAGCATTGGGGGCTGCCTGAATCGATCCGTGATGTGGTGTGGTTGCATGGTCAACCCAGTGCGGGACTCCCGGAGCATTGCAACATGCAGTTGGTGCTCGTGGTCACGCTTGCGTGCTTGTGGTGCGAATCTCAGCATCTTGGTTGGTCAGGAGATTCCACGAGCGGGATCGATATGGATGAGATCGCATCCGAACTCGGCGTGGATCTGAGCATGCTTGATGCGCAATCAGGGGAGATTGTTGAGCGCGTGAGCGAGCGAGCGAAAATCCTTGGTGTGGGTGAGTTCAGCGCTCCTGAACTGCTGTTCTCGTCGCTCACAAGGGCGAACACAAAGCTCGCTTCGATCAATCAGGAACTCAGGGGCAAGCAGCAGATCGCGGATCGTTCGCACTCGCTGCTCGCGGCGGTGGATGTGTTCTACGACGCGATCGGTGGATCAGTGGATTCCGAACACATCGTGTGCGGGATGATTCAATCGGGCGCGAAACTCACTGGGATCAACCACGGCGTGGTGATCCTGCAGGATCGTCCCGGAGCTGTGTGGATGAAGTATCAAGTCATCGATGGCAAACTCGCGGGTGGCAACAACTCGGGACAGGTTGTTGTGGCGCCGAGAGTATCAGATCATGGCGAGGTCCGTCCGGGTCAAATCGCGGGATTGAGCGGCGATCAGGTGCTTGATCTTGCGAATCTCGATTGGTTCCGATCCATGATCCAATCGGTCCGTGAGATCGGAGTGGCATCGCTCATCGGCGTGGGAGATTGTGGAGAGAACGATGAACCACATGATTCGGTCTCTTGTCTGGTTGTGCTGGTCAAATCAACAAGTGATTCGGCGCCGGAGCTGAGTGCGAAGGGATTCCGTGTTGTACGCAGAGCATGGGCAAGAGCGCTCGAGAATGCTGTCAACTCACACGGCGCGAAAGTACTCGCTGAGGAACTCGCGAGTGCGAATCGTGAGCTTGCGTCGATGCAGCGCGAACGGACAAAGAACGAGTCGTTGCTGCGTTTGGGTCAGATGGCTGCGGGGGCCGCGCACGAGATGAATAATCCGCTTTCTGTGATCAACGGACGCTCGCAGCAGTTATTCGAGCGTTTGGGAACTCAGCGTGATCGGGACGCGGCGCAAGCGATAGCGCAAGCCGCGGATTCGTTGTCGAGCATGATCACCTCGATGCATCTGCTTGCGGAGCCGCCAGATCCGACGATTGCATCGACTGATCCGGTGCTCGTTGTGCGTCAAGCGATTGAGCTTGCGAAGAGCAAGGCGCATCGGAACGGGATCCGTGCAAAGGTGAAGCTGCACATTGATGGGATGCTCGAACCGATCGAGGTTGATCGGGAGTTGATGGCGAGTGCGATCAGTGAGCCGATCCTCAACAGTGTTTTATCAAATCCTTCGGGACTTGTGAATGTTTCGATTGAACCTGCGGGTGAGGATGGTCGAGTAATGGTACGGATCGTTGATTCTGGTCCCGGCTTGTCGCAGCGGGCACTGAATCATGCGTTCGATCCGTTCTTCTCAGAACTCAAAGCGGGACGGCGTCCGGGTTTGGGTCTGGCAAGATCTCGGAGTGTTATCGAGTTGCACGGCGGCGCGATCGACATTGCCAACACTACAGGAAAGGTTCCTGGGGCTCAGGTCCAGATTGTGCTTCGCGGGAAGCACAAAGCACGCAAGAACGCGGCATAAAGAAAGATAGTACTAGAGATCGAGAGAGTAGAGCACACGATGAACCACAGGGACACACCATCTGAACAGCCGAGAGGCAATGAAGCATTCAGCGATCAGTATGGTGGATCGGTTGAGCATGGTTCGTTCGATGGATCGGACTCGATGATGCTTGAGCCGGTCGGTTTGCGTGCACGCGTGCTCGCGGTTAGTCCTCGTCGATCTGTCCGCCGGCGCATCGCTTCGATGCTGCACGGGCGAGTGGAGTCGATCGAGTTCGTCGAGAGCGCGAGCGAGGCACTTGAGAATATCAATACTAGCGGGACGGATCTGGTCATCATCGAGCGTGCGCTTGCAAGCGGTGATGGGATCGAGCTGCTCGAGACGATAACGCATCATCATCCGATGATTGTGGGTGTGGTGCTGGGAGCGATTCACAGCACTGACGACGCGGTGCGTGCGATGCGTGCCGGCGCGTGTGATCTGATCCAGATGAGCAGCAAGGAAGCGGACACTGTCCGTCGGCTTGTTGGAGCCGCGGAGCGTGCGGAGCGTGTGCGTCGTCGCGATGCTCGCGTGGATCGACTCAAAAAGCTCTGCAGCAAACTCAACAACGCTCGCGAAGAAGTGACGGGACAGATCGGGGGACTGTGCACGGATCTGACCGATGCGTACAAAGATCTGAGTCAACAGTTTGGGGATGTGAAGATTAAGAGCGAGCTGGAGACGCTGCTGCGTCAGGAGCTTGACATTGAGTCGCTGCTTCGGACATTGCTTGAGTTCACGCTCTCGAAAATCGGCCCGACCAACGCAGCGATCTTTATGCCTACAAGCGGCGGGGATTACTCGGTTGGTGCGTATGTGAACTACGACATCGCGAAAGAGACGGCTGAGGTCATGCTCGATCAACTCGCGGATGCGATTCCTGAGAGCGTTGAACATCTTGAGGGTGTTCGTGCGATGTCGGGACGCGTCGAGCTCACTGAAATGCTCGGGACCAGCGCGTACTGGGTCGAGGATTCGACGATGCTGACGATCTCATGTCGAGAAGAGGATGAGTGTCTCGCGGTGCTCGCGTTGTTCCGTGATCGTTCACGCAGCTTCAGCGAAGAGGATGTGCGGATGCTTGGGATCATCGGATCGCTCTTCGGCGATCAGCTCGCACGCGTCATCCAGACCCACCATCGACACCTCCCGCGCGATCAGTGGGGGCTGAGCGGGGATTACGGCGTGGATGATGAGCCTGGTGATGACTACGGTTTCGATGACGGGTATGGGGATGACTACGGCGGATTCGCGGCTTGATCTTGAGTTCTTGCCAGACAGAACTGAAACTGATTATGTGAGATTCCTAAGAATACTCTGAACGGGTAAATGCTCCGTCAGGGTTTCGAATATCAGGTAGCGACACATCATGTCGCACAAGTGCGTTAGACTATCCTGTCGGGCAATGATTTGTCCTGCGGGAGTTTTTTTATGATGCACATTCTCTTTGGTGATCTCGCACCTTGGTTCTCTGCTCCGGCTCTGTTGGGGACTGGTGTGTTGTTTGTCCAACTGGTATTTGGAGAGATTGGGGGCGATGGCGCACTTGATCTGGATCTTGATGTCGACGGTCATGCGGATCATCCCGGAATGGAGTTCGGGATTCTGAGTTTGCAATCGATCTCCGCGTTCTTTCTCGGGTATGGATGGGTTGGATTAGCAGCGTATCGATTCTTAGATGTGGGATTCACAGGTGCCGCATTTATTGCTGTGCTTGCTGGGGTGGGGGTCGCGTGGCTTATGGTGTGGTTGCTTCGTACATTCTTAAAGCTTCAGAACAATACGAATGTCTCGATCCAACAGACTGTTGGGCTTGAAGGCGAGGTGTATGCGACGGTTCCTCCAGAAGGAACGGGTCGAGGGGAGATTATTTTGGTTATCAATCAGAGTCAGCACAACTACTTTGCAACTCAAGATGGGGTTGAACCAATCCAGACGCGATCTCGTGTGCGTGTACTGCGCGCGGATGCTGGGAGTAACACGATTGTTGTTGAAGCGATTTGATGTGTGTTTGCATTTGTATTTCGATAGGGATGAGTTACAGGAGGGACATTGATGAATATTGAATCGTTGGTCGCTACAGCGACAATATCGCAAGGAGAATCCACAAACAGCGGGTTGTTCATTCTCATCGTGGTAGGCGTTGTGCTGTTTGTTGGTGTCTTTGTGACACTGTTTCTTGCGAGTCGGTATCGTCGGTGCCCTTCAAACAGGATTCTTGTCATTTGGGGTACAGGTTCTAAGTCATCGGCGCAGTGTTTTCACGGCGGGGGTAAGTTTGTCTGGCCTGTGATTCAGGATTATGCGTACATGTCGCTTGAGCCGTTGGTGATTGAGATCCCATTGCAAGGGGCTCTCTCGCTGAACAATATTCGAGTGAATGTTCCTTCGACCTTTACGGTTGGAATCTCGAAGAGTCCAGTGTTGATGAATAACGCTGCGGAACGCTTGCTTGGATTGAATCAGAACGCGATCCAGGATCAAGCGCAGGACATCATTCTTGGTCAGCTTCGTCTTGTCATCGCGACACTTTCTATCGAGGAGATTAATAAGGATCGCGAGAAGTTCATGAGCCTCGTGAATGAAAATGTGGCGGAGGAGATCAACAAGATCGGTCTCTCACTCATCAATGTGAATATCCGCGATATCACCGATGAGTCGGGCTACATCGAAGCGATCGGTAAGCGTGCAGCTGCTGAGGCAATCAACCGCGCGAAGGTTGAAGTAGCACAGCAGGATCGTGAGGGAGCTGTTGGTGAAGCGGCGGCTGTTCGTGAACGAAATGTTCGTGTTGCGGAAGAACGTTCGCTCGCAGAACAAGGTCAGAAGAACGCGGAGCAGCAGCAGCGTATTGCAGTTGCAGAACTTGAAGCTCAGGCAGTCGTCGGAGAAGTCGAGTTTAAGCGTGATCAAGAGATCGCGGCGGCAGAACGACTCGCTGAAACGATCGCGGCACAGAAGCGTGCGGAGCAAGAGCAGCGAGTCCAAGTCGCGAGCGCCGAAGCGATTGCGGTTGAGGGAGAAAACAGTTCCTCCGCGAAAGTTGCTGAGTCGAATGCCGAGCTTGCTCAAATTCGAGCAGAAGCAAGCCGCCGGGCGGATGTCGCTGCGGCAGAAGCGAAACAGAAGATCTTCATCGCTCAACGTGAAGAGGAACTTGCTCGGCTCGCAAAGGAACAGCTCGCGCCTCAGGAGATCGAACTGAAGCGGATCGAAATCGAAGCGGAATCGGTTGCGGAAAGAGAGCGTAGGGAGGCGAGAGGTCATGCAGACGCGATCCTTGCGAAGTATGAGGCTGAAGCGAAGGGTACACAGCAGGTTCTTGAAGCGAAGGCGGAGGGATATCGTCAGCTCATCGAAGCGTGTGCCGAGAATCCGCAGGTCGCGCCGACGCTGTTGATGATCGAGCAGCTCCCAGAACTGATCGCGATGCAGGTCAAAGCGATTCAGAATCTCAAGATCGACAAGATCACCGTCTGGGACTCGGGCAGCGGATCTCGGGATGGTAGCGGAAATACAACAGCGAACTTCCTGAGCGGGATGATCGGATCATTGCCGCAGGTGCATGAGCTCGCGAAACAAGCAGGGATAGAGCTCCCGAGCGCTCTGGGTCATGTGGTTGATGCGGAGGATTCGAATCCAAAGCCGACGACGAGTGCTGAGTAAGCTGTTTATTGATCTAAGTACAGCACCCCGGAATGAGTTCCGGGGTGCTTTTTGTTAAGTCTACAGATTATGAAATGTGGGGATTAGACAACGAATCGGCCGGTCACTTCCGCGAGTGAGTCTGCGGTCTTTGCCAGTCCGTCACAGGAACTTGCGGAGAGTTCCGCTGCGGAGTTGACCTCACGGATCGATTCGGTGATGTCGGCAATGTCAGTGGAGACCTCTTTGACTCCGATGACGATTCTTTCAAGGTTTTGGGCGGCGCTGTTTGCGAGCTGTCCGTTTTGGATCGCTTGATCCACAGTGTTTCTCATCTGCTCGGCTGCGGATTTGGAGTTCTCGCTGAGCTTAGAGATCGCATCGTGGATCTCAGATGCGGCGGTCGAAGAACGATCCGCGAGTTTACGGACTTCATCGGCTACAACTGCGAACCCGCGGCCTTGCTCTCCGGCTCGCGCCGCTTCGATCGCTGCGTTGAGTGCGAGGAGGTTGGTCTGGTCAGCGATGTCAACGATGGTCTGAACAAGTTCAGCAATCGAGTTGCTCGCGATTACGAAGTTGTCTACAGCTTTTGCTGAATCTTCGATTTGGACCTGGATACCAGTGATGTTCTCAATAGTCTCAGCGATGACTTCTCCGCCTTCTTGCGCGGACAGAGAGGCGCTCTCGGCTCGTTCCATCGCGTCATCAGCGCGTTGACTGATGCTCTGAGTAATCCCTGAGGTCTCGACTGCGGCGCCCGCAATCTGAATCGATGCGGTTCGTGTTTCCTGCGTGGAGAGATCGATCTGTTCGATCGTGTGACGCATCGAGTGGAGGAATCCTTCAACGGCTGCAGCGACCTCGTCGAGTTCGGACGCGTTTTCAATCTGGATCTCTTGCGAGAGATCATTGGTTGATTCCATATGCGCGAGCTGTTGTCCGAGCTGCGCAGCTGCATTGGTGATACCGTCAGCGGTTTCATCGAGTTCTGCTTCACGATGTGCCGCGGATTTCATATCTACGAGAGCGGTGTGTGTCAGGTAGATGAGGAATCCGACCTCGGAGACGAGCCAGATTGCGTGCTCGATCCAGCGGAGTTTGCTTGCTGTTTCAATGCCGTACATCGATTGTGTCCAGAAGATCCCGCGGAAAGCGTGGTCGGCTGCCGCGACGACAGTCGCAGCGATCAAGACACGCCAGTCTCTGTAGAGCGAGAGGATTGCCATGGATGCGAAGTAGTGGAAGTGGTATTCGATGCGACCACCACCTACATGAACGAACAGGCCTCCCATGAACGCGAATGCGATCCCGGTAGCGAGTCGTGTGACGAGTTCGCCTGCTTTGAGTCGTGCGAGTACGAAGGGAAAGAGAGCGACGATTCCGCCTAGCACGATTGACGCAATCAAGTGCTTGTTTGGGCTCGAGGTAGCTCCGATCCAAGTCTTTGGAGAGATCGTGAACGCGAGGGCGACAAGGATCGCCCATTGAACAATCAGCGCGATCGAGAGGATCTTATCGGTTTTGATGCAGAGCGCATTGAACGCGGCCTTGAACCGCTCTGATGCGTTGATTTCAAGCGCAGAGATTGAAGGAGTACTCATGGTGTCGTGTCCCTATTACTGGTTGGGCAGGTGTTGGCTTCTGTGATTTCGCATATTTCTTGTTCTTCAGATGTGGGGCAGAGTGGGCATCCGAATACCGGTGCTTGTTCTGCGATTGGTTGTTCGCCTTGAAGGATGCTCTTGAGGGCAAACGACCCTGTGTTTGGTCCAGTGTGTGCTCGTGTAGGAGTGAGTCCGCCGGAGAACTTGAGAGTGCCGTCTTTTGCGTAGACAAGAGCGTGACCTGAGGTCATGGCTCCAAAGCGTTGTGCGATTGCTGAGCCGGGGTCGGCGATGCACTCCAGATTCGGGAGTGTGCTCAATCTTCGGGTGATGCTTGTGCGTGCGAACGCTTCATCTGGATGCGGCGCATCGTTTGGTCCTGGCACAAAGATGAGCGCGAGGATTTTCGGAGTCGCGTTTGTGTTTGAGAGCACGCCTTCGAGTTCGTCGATGGTCGAGCGAGTACAAGGACAGCGCGGATGGACTGCAAGCACGATGGTGTGGGAATCAGAGGCAAGCGCAAGCGATTGGTTATCGGGCCAAACGATTGGGACTTCTCCCGTCATCCCAGGCTCAGCGGCATAGTCTGCGAGGACAGCGAGCCCGGCACCGACGGCACCCAGCCAAGTCGCAATTCCCACAATAATCCATCGATTTTGAGCCATTTGGGTCTCCTGATGCCATTGCATCGGAGATTTTTGTGGCTCTCTAGAACAAGAGTTGAGTACCTCAAGTTGTTTAGGTATAAGCACTTTCCCTCGTTTGAGGGGGTGTATTAATCATCGAAGTAGGCACTCGCGTCATCGGGGAGATCTGCGAGGAATGCATCGCGGTCGATGGCTTCAACAGCCATGTCTTCGTCGAAGCGTCCAGAGACTTGATCTGGTGCGTGGAGTTGCTTCCCTGATGTGGACTTGGCACGTTTCTCGACGCGGCTGCGAGCGCGGAGGATGAGTTTGATCGGGACCTCTCCGAACGGGAGCAGCTCACGGATGCGATTCATGAGATAGCGTTCATAGTTGAGTGTGAAACGATCCGGATCATTCACGACGAGCACGAGTGTTGGTGGGTTGGTTTTGACCTGAGATGCAAAGTAGACGCGTGCTTCGGCGCCGAGTTTGTTGGATGGGCCGCGTGCTTCGATGATGGAGGAGATGGTTCGGTTGAGCTGACCTGTTCCTACGCGTGTGGACGCTTGCTCGAACATCTCCATCGCGATCTCGAGCGTTTCGGTGACATTGAGTCCTTCTTTGGCGCTGATGATCGCGATGGGTGCGAAGGACAATCCTTTGAGTTCTTTGCGGATGTAGTCTTCGTAGCGCTTCGGGGTGACTTTGCGTCCGGCTTGGTCGGAGCCGTCTTTTGCGATGTCCCATTTGTTGAGGACAATGACGACGGGTTTGTGCGAATCGACGATGAGCTTCCCGAGCTGTTCATCCACCTGCGAGATCTCGGTCGTCGCGTCGAGGAGGTACAGCACCACATCGGCGCGGGTGATGGCGCGCTTGGCGCGATCGAGCGCGTAGTACTCGATCTTGTCCTGGAACGACTTCTTTCGGCGTAGTCCGGCGGTGTCGATCGCGAGGATGGACTTGCCGTCGATTTCGATCTTGACGTCCACAGCGTCGCGTGTGGTCCCGGCGATTTCCGAGACGATGACGCGTGGTTCACCCGCGAGGGTGTTGACGAGCGTGGACTTCCCGGCGTTGCGTTTCCCGACGATCGCGACTTTCATGTCGACCTCGGGTTCTGGTTCGCCGTGGTATTCCGGGACGATGTCGAAGAGCTTGTCGAGCATGTCGCGGCGGAGGTATTTGGACTTGGAGGAGCAGATCAGCGGCTGACCGAATCCGAACGCGGCGAGTTCGTACGCGTGGGGTTCCCATCCCGAGTCGTCGCACTTGGTCGCGATGACGTGGACTGGGGTGAGCTCGGAGTTGGATGAGCCGTCCTTGCTCTGTTTTGTATCCCTGCGTCCGAGTTTTTGCTCGCGGAGCATCTGCGCGATCGCTTGGTCTTGTCCGGTGATCCCGGCTTGGCAATCGACGGCAAAGAGGATGACGTCCGCTGTGGACACGGCTTGGGCGATCTGCTGCTCGATGTCGTTGGTGAGCGTCGCGAGGTCGGCGCCGATCTCGTTGTAGCGAGCGCCGTCAGCGACGTAGACCCCGAATCCACCGGTATCGGTGAGCTCGATTTGCTTCGCGGTGCCTCGCTCGTTGGTGGGGTCTTTGGGGTCCGGAAGCTCGACGATGGTGGAGATCCGATCGCGCGTGACGCCCGGCGTTGGGTCAACGATGGCGATGCGCTCCTGAGCGATGAGGTTCAGGAGGGAGGACTTACCGACATTGGGTCGGCCGACGATGGCAACACGAGGGATGGGCATAGTCGAGGATCATAGACAGCCGCTTTGATTTGTCATTTCGGGAGCGACACAAACCAATGAAATTGAGGGGTTTGCGGGTATCTTTGTATCAAAGTCACGGCTTGCCGAAGACGGTCAAGCCGTGGCACCCGATTGAGTCAGAGCGCCGCGGCGAGTTGATCGATCAGCTCTTGGTGGGACTCGACGATCTGCGTCGCGCCGGCTTCGCGGAGCGTGTCGGCGGGGGTCAGGGTCGCGAGACCGATCACGCGCATGCTCGCGTTGCGTGCGGCCTCAACGCCGGAGACGGAATCTTCGACGACGATGGTGTCTTCTGGATCGTGTCCCATCACGCTCGCGGCGTGGAGGAACAGCGCGGGATCGGGTTTCCACTTGTTGATTTGGTAGGCGCTGAACATCGCGAACTGGGTCGGGTCCTTGGGATGCGGGAAGCGGTTGATGAGCTTGGAACCCGTCAGCGTGATCGTTGCTTTCTTGATCGGTGCGTTGGTCGCGACGCAGCGGTATTGGGGGGCGGAGTGGTGGTCATCGAGGAGGTCGAGGAGTTCGTGGATGCCTTCGATCGCCGGGACTGGATCGGACTGGAGCGCTTCGTACATGCGCGTGCGGTAGGTGTCGAGCAGATCGGGGACTTTGAATCCGAGCTGGTCCTCGACATCTTGATGGATGTCCTTGAGGTTGCGTCCCTTGAAGTGGGTGACGGAGTACTGCGCGTCGATTTCCCAACCCGCTTCGGAGACGGTCTGCGCGAGCACTCGGTTGGTGAGTGGTTCGGTATCTACGAGGACGCCGTCGCAGTCGAAGATGACGAGGTTGGCGTTGTGCATCAGGACGCGGCCGTCGCTTCGGGTGCGGGTTCGTTGGTGTCGGCACGCATGAAGAGGGCGTCGCCTTTGGTGATGGACTGTCCCGCTTTGATGGAGTGGGGGCCCATCCACTGAGCGAGCTCGGACAGCGGCGCGACGAGCGCGGAGTTTGGATCGCTCGGATCGGTCAGGTGCTCGCAGTTCCACGCGTCCCAGAGCTGCGCCATCTTCTGTGGCATTGCGGGGGACAGCAGCAGCGACGCGATGCGGAGCGCTTCGGCGCAAGAGTAGAGGATCGAACGCAGCGCGTGGGGCGCGTCGTCGAGGGTGTCGAGTTGTTTGGCGAGCGTGAAGGGAGCGCTGTAGGAGATGAACTCGTCGACCTCTCGGACGATCGAGCGCGCGGTGTCGAGCGCGGTTTCCAGATCGACTCGGTTGAGTGCTTCGAGGTACTTGGTGGTCGCTTCTGAGGTGAACTTCGCGAAGTCGAAGGTGCGATTGGGTTCGTCAACTGGTTTCCCGGCGTTCTCGAGTGCTTTGCGAGCTGTTTGCAGCGATGAGCCGTCGGGGAAACCGAACTGTCCGTTGCAGGTCGCGGGGACGGTGCCTTCGAAGTATTTCGCGACCATGTTCCCGACGCGGGACATGGAGTTCCCGATCGAGTTGGCGAGGTCGGCGTTGTAGACCTCGACGAATCGCGCGTGCGCGAAGTCGGCGTCGTTGGCGCCCAGCGGGCCTTGGGTGGTGAGGAACCAGCGCACGGCGTCGAGCGAGTATTTCTCGGCGTATGCCTGGAGGAGATCGATCTCGATGAAGTTCCCGAGCGACTTGGACATTTTCGTGCCCTCGGCGATCCAGTACGCGTGTGCGTAGACGGTTTTGGGTGGTTCTTTCCCGAGCGCGTGGAGCATCGCGGGCCAGATGATCGCGTGGAACCAGAGGATGTCCTTGGCCATCAGGTGCGTGACTTCGCCTTCCCAGTACTTGCGGCGATCGTCGGTGTCAACGGTTGTCAGGTAGTTGCACAGCGCTTCGATCCACACATAGATGCGGTGTGAATCGTCGGTGGGCATCTTGATCCCCCAGTCCGCGTCGTCTTCTTTGATCTTGCGCGAGACGGGGACCTTCATGAGTCCTTGCTTGAGTCTTCCGAGGACCTCGTTCTTGCGCGCGCTGGGGAGGATCTGGATGGTGTCGTTTGCGAACTGTTCTTCGAGCCAGGACTGGTAGTTGTCGAGTCGGAAGAAGTAGTTCTGCTCGACGCGCTTTTCGAGTGGTTTACCGGTGACGGGGGAGTTGTAGTTGTTTTCTTTCGCGACGATCTCGGTCAGGTATTCTTCTTGGGAGGGGTCGTACCAGCCCTCGTAGTCTCCGAGCTCGATGTCTCCCTGGTCGAGGAGTTGTTTGATGTACGCAGAGGCCTTGTCCTTGTGGCGGTCTTCGGTGGTGCGGACGAAGTCGTCGTTGGAGAAGTTCATGAACTCGAACGCGGCTTTGAAGCGGTCGGCATTAATGGTCGCCCACTCGTAGGGGGTCTTGTTGTTCTCCGCAGCGGTCTTGGAAACCTTCTCCGCGTGCTCGTCGGTGCCTGTGAGGAAGAAGACGTCGCGACCAACCAGACGCTGGGCGCGAGCGGCGACATCCGCGATCAGGGTCGTGTAGCAATGCCCGATATGCGGGCGATCGTTGACGTAGTAGATCGGGGTGGTGACGTAGTACGGCGTTTGATTGGATGCGTCGGATGTCGGGTTTGGGGTCATGGCCAGGGATTGTAGATCCAGTGCTCAAAGAAGCGACCAGAAATGAGGCGATGTTTTCTGAACGACCGGTTTGTAATGTTTGAGAAAATGTTCTATCGTTGTGGGCTTTGTGGGGAATAGTGTTGGGTGCTTGGTCATTGGTCTATCCATCGAGAGGCGGGCAAGTTGGAACGAAATAAGTTTGAACAGCTTGCTCTATCGCACCTCGATGCGGTGTACCGCATGGCGTTCCACCTGAGCCGGGACGCGGAAGCCGCGGATGAGTTGGTTCAGGAGGTCTATGTCCGGGCGTTCCGTCCCGGCACGATTGAGCGCTTCGAGGACAAGAGCGCTGATGACGACCCGACTTCGGGGACCGGAGGCATGCGATCGTGGTTGTTCGCGATCACGCACAATGTCTTCTACTCGAAGATCAAAAAGGACAAGCGGCGACCGATGGCGGTCGATGAGTTCTTTAACGAGTCGTCGGACGAGTTGATGCCCGATGAGGCGCCGCCGGTGTATGACCGCGCGTCGCTGGACTTCGAGCATGTCGATGAGAAGCTCAAGGAGGTTCTCTTCGGATTGAAAGAGGAGTACCGCGAGGTGCTGCTGATGTGGGCGGTCGATGGTCTGAAGTACCGTGAGATCGCAGAGATATTGGAAGTCCCGATCGGGACTGTGATGAGTCGGCTCCATCGCGCTCGTAAGGTGCTCAGTGATGCACTGATGGGCGATGAGCAAGCCGTGGAAGAACTTGGTTTGAGGGTGATGTCAGGCGGGTCCGCTGGTGATGCAGCGGATGATCGGACGGATGGGCGAAGCAACAATTCTGATGGTGCGTAACGATGAATGAAGACACTCACAACCCAGACATGATCCATGGATCGGACCTCTCCGCTGAGGAACTCTGCATCGCTTCAATGCTGCGTGCGTGTGCTGATGGCGAGCTGTGTCCAGAAGGATGCGAACGGCTCAAGAAATATCTCGCAGAGAATCCGGATGCCGCGGCGCGTGTCGAGTTCGAGAAACAACTCCGCGACTGCTGTGATCGTGTGATGAGCAAACCCAAGTGTCCAGACGCGCTTCGCGCCAAGATCCAAGGGCTCGCAGGAGTTGCGGCGGACGCATCGGCGGAGCACCAATCCTCGTCGTATATCGAGGCATCCAACGAGATGACGCGTCAGAAGAGTTTCTGGCAGCGCAGTCCTGTGATGAGCGCGATGGCGGCGGTGTTGATCCTCGCGGCGGGGGGATTGATCTGGCAGAGCTCGTCGCTGATCACCAAATCCAGCGGTATTGGGGTCTCTCAGACCTCTCCTGCGAGTTATGCCGAGCGCGTGGGCAACTTTGTCGCACAAGAGCATGAGCGATGCTCTGAAGAACAAGCGGCACAGAACAAGCTGGTCTACAACGAGATCGACGAATCGATCGCGTACTTCTCAGATCGATTCGAGCACTCAGTAACGATGCCTGCGTCGCTTGGGGAGCAGGAACAGATTCGCTTTTACGGCGGAGGGGATTGTCATCTTCCGGCAACCAGCGCTTCGGGACACATGCGATTCGATGCCGTGGGTCTTGAGGGACAGGTGGTCTCGCTGAGTCTGTTTATCGCACCGGATCCAGGATTTCTGGAGATGAGCGAGGGTACGACCTATGTGCTCGACTCGACGCAGTGCAAGGAACAGGGCGCGAATCTGTTCGCGTGGACACGCGATGGAGTGATGTATCTGCTGGTTTCAGAAGCCGGCGAGGATATGTGCGCCTCGGTGCGAGGCATGATGCAAGCTCCAGCTTCTCTCAAGCGTTTGTGAATCACTACGATAACTCTGAATAACTACTGCGGACGAAGGAAGCCACTGGATCTGGCTTTCCAGTTTGTTGTGATCATTTGCCGATGATGAGTGATCTGGAGTGACCGACTTTGATCGGGTTTTTGCTCTAATTCCGTGCTTTGAAGGCAATTGTGACCAGTTCGAGCGAACCGACTGACGGCGAACGCGAGTATGATTTGTGTACGAGGAAGGATCCATCCATGAGCATTGATCAACGCAGCATATTCAGCACTGGACGCGGGTTGGCCTCAGCGGTCTTGATCGGTACGCTGACACTCTGTAGCGGTCAGGCGCTGGCGCAGAACGCGTTGGGTGATGGCAAGGGATTGCAAGCGAATCCGAGACAGGGATCTGGAGGTCGCAACTATGAGCGTCCGAGTTTGGAGCGAGAGGTGCAGTTCCGCAACGCGATCGCGACAGGGAACGCGCCAGGTGGTCTCAGCTTTCGGGGTGATCTTGGATATCGAGCGGCTGGTGAGTTCTCTGCAGAGCTCGGATCAGACACGCTGTACACCTATCGCCGAGACACGCTGTATTCCGGACTCGCCGGGATGGGTATCCGAGGCACTGATGCGTTGCAGTACCAGTTCTCGATGACGACCGGCTCGCGCGTGACTCGCAACATGATGGGGAATCTCGCGGTGTCTCGTGACTACGGCGCGAGCTCCGCACAGTTCAGTGGTGGGATCGGCGCGTCTGATCCGATCGCGATCGATCCGCAGAGCCGATTCGCAGAGTCTCGATCGAATGTCAGCGGGACGCTTCGCTCAACTTCGACATACTCGGCGACTTCTGGTTTAGTCCCTGAGTTGATCTCGGTGTATGAATCGGGGATCCAGCGGGATCGCTACGGCGTGGTTGCGACGCCTTTGATGGGATTGGTCTCGACCCCAATGGATACTGGAGTTCGGATCCGTCGTCCGGGCGAAGCGGAATCGACACGCGTAGAGACTTCGTATACCAAGCTCGTGGAAGATTACAAGACGCGAGCTCGTGAGCTGCTCGAAGAAGCGGAAGCTGTCGAAGACCCTCAGGGGACTGAGAGAGATCCAACTGGGCTCGGGACTGAAGGCGAGGCCATCGAGAATCAGACCGAAGCTTGGATCAACGAGCAGATCGGGAAACTCCAGCGTCAGTTGCTCGGTCTCCCAGATCAGCCGCAGGAAATTGCGCCGATTGATTCTGGTGAGATTGAGACAGATCAAACTGACGAGAATGCTGTACAAATCAGAGATCCGCTCACGCCTCGCGCAAACGAGGAAGGCGCTCCTGAGATTGATTTTGATCGCGGAGAGGACCTAGGCGGGCGCACGCAGTATGAGATCGATCCCAAGACGCTTGAGCTGCTTCGCAAGAACGGCGAACGAGTGACTTACTTAGTCGACCCCAAAGCGGGTGTGTCGGATGTGTTTGTACAACACATGCGCGCGGGAGAGCGGTTGCTCAAGAACGGTCGATACTTCGATGCTGAGGAACGCTTCACCAATGCGCTTTCTGTGCGTCAAGGAAATGTCTCGGCGCAGCTCGGCAGATTGCACGCACAGATCGGTGCGGGTGTGGTGGTCAGTGCTTCGGTGAATCTCCAGACGCTGATGAGCGAGCATATCGAGCTGATCTCTGAGCGATACTCTGGTGATCTTCTCCCATCGCAGGAGCGTGTGAAGGATCTGATCCTGAACCTGCGCGAGAGAGCGGGGCTTGAGGGGCGGAGCCCGCTGATTGCTGAGGAGCCGCGGAGTGTGCGAGTCGCGTGTGCATTGCTGATGTCGTATCTGGGGTATCAGATCGATGATCGCACGCAGATGGAAGACGGGTTTGCGGTGATTCGCGAGATCGGCTCAGCATCGGATATCCGATTGGTTGAACTGCTCGACACGATCTGGAGCGCATCCATGGATGTTGAGGATGGAACACAGCCATGAGTTCTGACTCCGGCGCTGGGCGCGGCGGATCATTGCGAGACTACTGGACCGATGGATCGGTCTCCCGACTATGCGCGGCGCTCAGTCAGTTGTCTGGAGTTTCCGTACAGCTGCGCGACGAGCGCGGGATTGTTCTTGGTCCCGATGATGATGCGGAGTTTTTCGGTGGGAAGGTTGAACCGATCGACCCAAAGTCGCATGTGTTTCCAATCCGAATCAGTGGTGATACGGTGATCGGATCCGTCGTCGTGGGAGCGATTGAGGACGATGGATCAGGGAACTCACTCGTCGCGAGCGAAGCGGTTGTGCTTCAGATGGGCGAGCTCATCGCGTCGATGGCGACAGAGATGTGCAGCGATGTGTCGGAGCTGCGGATTCGCTACAAAGCGATCGAGGTGCTCTATCGGCTCAACGCGGTGCTGGTCGCGGGAGGCCGGGTCAGCGACACACTCAAACTCACGCTCGAAACAGCGCTGGAAGCATTCGGACTCGAAGCGGGCGCGATTATGCTGCTCCCTGAAGATTCCGAGGGGTTGGGACGCACAGATCTCGAAGACGAGCTCGAGCGGAGCGCTTCGGTTGGGTTGAGTGAGAAGTGGCTCAACTCGCCGCTGCCGTTGTCAGAGGGGCGTGAGATTGATCGTGCTTCGCTCGATGGAGAAGTCACAGTGATCGAGGACCTGCACAAGGACGACAGGATCCTTGCACGCGAGCAGGTCATCAACGAGGGATTGCGTTCATTCCTTGGAACAGGGATGGTGTTCGATGGTCGACCGATCGGTGTGATTCGTTTGTACTCGCGCACACAGCGGACCTTTACTGGCGCCGAGCGCAGGTTGGTGCGTTCGATTGGTCAGTCCGCTGCGATGGCGGTCGAGCAGGCGCGTCTGATCAAGATGAAAGCACGCGAACGGCGTACGCAGCGTGCACTCAAGATCGCGGGGACTGTTCAGCAACGGATGATGCCGGATCAGCTTCCTGTCGTTGAGCATTTGGATATCGCGGCAAGGTTCCGTCCCAGCTTTCAGATCGCGGGTGATTTTTACGATGTCTTCGAGGTGCGCGACAAGATCGGGATCATGGTGGGGGATGTGGTCGGTAAAGGGATCGTTGCGGGATTGCTCATGAGTGCTGTACGCGCGACACTGCGAGCGTACGCGGAGCTGAGTGATGATCTCTCGCGTGTCATGGCGCGGACGAACGAGGCAATCCATCGTGATACGACGGTATCAGAGTTCGCGACCATCTGGTATGGGGTGTTCGATCCGACCAACAATGAGCTGTGTTATGTGACGGCGGGGCATGAGCCACCGATGTTGTTGACGCGTGGTGATGATGGGATCTGGTCGCATGAGCTCCTTCGAGGAGAGGGTCTCGTCGCGGGGATCCAAGAAGACGAAGAATACACGATGCAACGCGTGGTGCTCAAGAAAGATCAGATCGTGGTTGCGTACACCGATGGCATGATGGACGCACTGGACTTTGCGGGTCAACGGTTCGGACGCAATCGACTGATCGAAGCGGTGATCAGCACATTGAACGAGGAACCCAACGCGGATGCGGAGCGTGTGATCGAGCGTATCTTCTGGCACATGCGTCAGTTCACCGGATTACAGCCGCAAGCGGATGATGAAACGGTTGTGGTGATGCGTGCTCAATGATCAATGAGAAAAGCGTCCGCTGCTCCCTTGCGGCGGACGCTTTGTGGTTTGTTCATTCGGATGATCAAGCGGCGTACGGGCCGTCGTCGTCATCGTCCATCGTCCACTGCGCGAAGCTGTAAGACTGGGTTTCTTCTTCCATGAGCTCGTTGAGCTGTTCCATCTTGGATTCAGCGTCTGCGAGTGCTTGTTGTGCAAAGTCGATCGAGTCCATCGTGTCCTCCTTGTTGTCTTTGCCGGCGGCGCGCCATGAGGGCACGCTTGTGAACGGCAATGGTGCAGGGGGATCCTCAATCGTGTCGGTCTCTCGGCAGAGTCTCAGATTCGGCATCACGGCCCTCCTTGGACTGGAATGAGTCCAGATGAGTCTGCATAACAGATCGTCATTCGGTTTCGCTCAATGAAGCACAAACCTGACAATCGAGATGCTTTGGCCCGAAGAATCGTGACAGATGATCCCATGAGTCGTGTTATCGGCACTTGGGAGCGGGGAGGATGAGCTTTGGGGGCGCTGATTTAAGCCGAGGGTTCGGTCGAATCAGTGGACGCTTGGTCTGTTTCGCTGGCGCTCTGGATTGGTTTGGACTCGCCGAGCTTGGGTTCGGTCCCCGCGAGGGCTCGCATGAGGTTCGCTTTGTGCTTGTAGATCACCACGAGTGCGAGCGCGATCGCGACGATGAAGAACGGCGTGCCGTAGTTCGGAACCATCTGGTCAATGTGGGATGCTGGAGTGTCGGCAAACTGTGACTGGGATCCGACTCGGCGCTCCTGCAGTGTCTCGTACTGATTGAATGCGTACCAGGTCCAGAGCGGGAGTGTCGCGGCGGCGAGCGAGGACGCGGGACCCACCATGCGCCAGAGCAAGAGCACGACCATGTACACCACAAATGCGCCGGCAGCGGGGATCGTCATCGCGGGCATGACTCCGATCATCGCTCCGAGTGCGGTTGCGACGCCTTTGCCTCCTTTGAATCCGAGCCAGGGACAGAAGATGTGTCCCAAGGGAGCGGCAAACATCACGGCGAGCCAGATCCAGGCATCGCTCGGTGCGATGTCCATGCGTCCGAGTGTGCTCAGCACAGATCCCGCGATGAGCGAGGGTGTGAGTCCCTTACTGAAATCGAGCGCGAAGCAGAGGAAGAAGTATGGTCGTCCGAGCACGCGTCCGAGGTTCGTGGCGCCGATGTTCCCTGAGCCGTGGTCTCGGAGATTGATTCCCTTAGCGCGAGCGATGAGGAATCCGAAGGGGATGGATCCCATCAGGAACGCGGCGGGGATGAGGAGATACGCGATCATTGCTCAAGCGTAGGGACTCGATAGAAGCTTGGCTTGGTCGTTGGCTATTGATCACGGGCATCCGCTTGAGAACGCGGAGAGGAACGCGGAGACGTCGAGAAAGTTGAACTGGCCGTCACCTGTGAAGTCGGCGATCGGGTTCTGGTTGCTGTACGCGGTGAGGTAGATGGAGACATCGACGAAGTTGAGTCGCCCGTTGTTGTTGAGATCCGCGGGGCATTGGCATGACGGGAGCAAGGCGAGTTGTTGCTCGAGCCATGAGAGGAGGTGGTCGTCGGTGACCCAGGTCGGGAGGTTGTGTCCCGCGCCGATGACCGGGAGCAGCTGCGATGGGACGCTCGTCGCTTGGAGCGCTCCGAGCAATCGGTTGCTCTGATTGAACGGCACGACGGGGTCTGAGTCTCCATGAGCGATGAAGAACGGCACATTGCTCGGCGCGTGCTCCGCGAGCAGCGCGGGAGATGCGGACACGGCGAGCGCGTTGAGCGAAACCCAAGGGTCATTGGGATCATCGATGTGGTCCCTGATCTCTCCGACCGAGATCCCGGTGGTTTCTGATCCGAGCAGCAACGATTCTCCCGAGTCAATCGCGTCGTGATCCACGATCGAACCCGGCGGGTCGGTGACGTCGGGATTCATGTTTAGCAGGTCTGTCGGACCAAAGTAATCCACAGCGATCTGGACATCGCTCGAGACATCGAGGTGGTCTCCGAGTGTTCCTTCGAGATAGGGGTCGCCGTTGCTTGTGCCGAGGATCGCGGAGAGGTGACCTCCCGCGGAGGTGCCCCAGCTGATGAAGGCGCAGGGGTTGACACCGAGCGTATCGGCGTTCGCACGCAGCCAGCGCACCGCGGCTTTGATATCGTGCGCCTGCGCGGGCCAAGAGACCGATTCGGATCCCCATTGTCCCGCTTGACTGGTGAGTCGGTAGTCGATGCTCGCGACAGCGAATCCTCGACTCCGAAGACGCAAGCTGTGTCCCGTGAACGCGCGGGAGTTGTTCTGCCAGCCCCCGCCGTGGATCCAGACGATCAGGGGCGCGTGGTTCGCTCCGTTGGTTGGTGGGTAGAAATCAAGGAGAATGGGTTGCCCGCCCACTTGTGCGTACTCGAACGTGAGCTGAGCGTGCGAACGCGGCGACAAGAACAGAAGCACAATCAACGCGATGAACTTTGGCGAAACTTTGAACAGGGACGTGTGCATGCGAGAACCTTACGTGGTATTGGTGAAAGACTCAGTTTGATTTGATCAGTTCAGGGGCATCCGACTGAATACTGACTCAGGTATGCGGAAACATCGAGGAAGTTGAGCGTGCCGTCGTTAGTGAAGTCGGCGACGGCGCTCATGCCGCTGTACGCGGCGATGAACATGCTCACATCAAGGAAGTTCAGTGATCCGCTCTGATCGAGATCAGCGTGGCTGCAGAACGCGGTGTTGAGGCGCGTCGCGGTGTCTTGCATGATCTCGGTGAGCTCGGGGTTGAGCAGGTCGCTGTTCCAGACTTCCATGTAGCGGACGCCGGACGCGAGGGCGAGGTCGATCTCGCCTTGGTATCCATCGTCGCTGAAGCGTTCGGGGGTGTTGGTGTAGCTGTTGGCGACTTGGACCTCGGAATGGCTCTGTTTCGATGCGTCCTGGAGGATCTCGAACATACCGGGGTACACGTTCTCCGCGTTGTGCACCATCCACCACGCCGCGAGCACACCGACTCGGCTGCCGTTCGTCGCACGCGCGTGGTTGTAGACTTCGATCGCGACCGCATCACTCCCGAGCACTGGATGGACCTCGTGGGCAAGCGCGTGGTTTGGGAACGCTTGAGCGAACGCGTCGATCGCGTTCTTCCATGAGTCGGCGTAGAGGGTGTCGGTGTATCCGATGTTCATCCAGTTGATCGTGTCAGTCGGGGAACGCGGGAGCTGCATCTCGAAGCCGTTGGCGCTGGAGTTGGTGATGTAGACGAGGGAGATGGTGTCCTCGTTTGCGTAGCGAGCGCCGAGCTGCTGGACGAACTGCGACCATCGGCTCTGGAAGGTCGTGTCCCAGGGGACGGGCATCTGTTCTGTTGAGTCATGGAACTGATAGCTGAACATCTGAACGCCGAGCGATTGGAGCCAGCTGGGAGCGACGAGTCCGTTGACCACAGCGAGTGAGATTTTTATGTTGTAACCCTGCGCCGCTTGGATCTGTCCGTCGATGAGAGACCAGTCGTATACGCCGGGGCTGGGTTCGATGTCTTCCCACGAGACGCGGACGAGCACGCCGTCCACATGCTCGAGCTCGGCAACCGCGGGGACAACGGAACCTGATCCCATCCCGGTGGTTGGGGGGCAGCTGCAATACAGCCCCATCGGCGTTTCAAACCCGCCAGCAAGGGCTGGGAGCGTGGACAGAGCGATGACGATACTTGACGAGAGACCCTTCATGCGTGTGCAACGAGCGGCGGGAGTGGGTATTGCTTCTTTACGGGCAGCCTGATGAATATTGACTCAGGTACTCGGAGATATCGAGGAAGTTGAGTCGGCCGTCGTTGTTGATGTCGGCGATGCAGTCCGGCGCTTGTGAACCTCGCACGGCGAAGATAACCTCGTCGCTCATTTGTTGATCGCCGTTGGATGCCATGACGCCGCAGGTGTAGGTATTGGTGTCGCTGAACATCGCGTCGTCGATGATGAGTTTGTTCGTGGTAGTGCCACTGATGCGTCCGTCGTCCGTGAGCGGGGTTCCGTCGCGGAACCACTGGAATGTAGACAATCCATCAGAAGAGTTCACCTCAAGTGTGCCGGTTGTTCCCAGATCAACGAGCTTTGAGATCGGATGCTGAACGATGGGGTCGACATCGAAGTTGATCGAGATGCCCATCGTGACCGCGTCCTCCAAGACTAGTGTGACCTGGTTGGTGGTGGTGTTGAAGATCGTGAGTGTTGGATCCATGAACAGCGCGGTTGATGAGGTCGCGGCGACCTGGTTCCCGATAGCCGCGACATCGACATACAACTGGACGAGCCCAAGGAAGAAGTCCTCTGATCCGAGGATGAGCTGTCCGCCCGCGAGTGGGGTGTTGTGCGAGACAACATAAACGGCTGAAGCTGAACCTGTCAGTCCGCTGCCTTCATTGACTTCGGTCCAGTAGATATCACCCGAGACAGGATTGATCCCAACACCGTACTGAATACCTCCCGACATCTCGCGCGGGATCAAGGTTGGTGGCGGCGAAGATACGCCTGAGAGGTCTCCCATCATGAGTTCACTCGACGAGATGATCGCGTAGAACCCTCGATCCGAATCAATATCCATGTCTGAAGGTTCAGGGACATTGTCTGCTTCGACGATCGGGGTTCCGGTGCCGTCGGAGTTGACGCTGAGGATCTCGTCGTTCTCCCACCAGTAGATGCGTCCTGTGTCCGGATCGACATGTACCTTCAATGCGTTCTCATCAAGTCCATTGCGCAATACGACCATTGATGTTTCATCAAGCGAGGGGTTGATCGAGATCAGGCGTGCGGATCCGGTCTCCTTTGCGATCATGACCACACGCTCGCGTGGGCGATCAAAGTCTGTGCCGGAGAATCCTTGGAAGTCTGGTGCGTCGATCGTATAAAGAGTAGCGAAACCGTCGATGCTTTGGGTGAAGACATAATCTGGGAAGATGTCTTGTCCAAAGATATCCGTGATGTAGTACGGCTGAGCGTGCGCCATCGAGGTGAAACACAGTACAAGCAGAGCAAACACGCGTCGGATCATCTCGTCTCTTCCTTCCTGATCGGGATCAATCCCAGTATACAGAAGAATGTATAAATCACGATGAGAAACCCCACTGTTCAGTGGTAATTCGGTTTGCGTGTATGCGTGTTGATCGGGTTAGCGGACGAAGCGTCGCGAGAGCACATCGAGGATGTTGCCAAACACGCAGTCTGGTTTCCCGGCCGCGTCTACGCGGAGGTAGCGTTGCTGCTCAGGATCGGACGCGATCAGGTCCTGGTATCCCTGACGGACCTTCGCGTGGAACGCGGCGCCCTTGGCTTCCATGCGATCGAGGAGCGGATTGAGGCGCGACGCGGCGGTGTCCTGATCGACATCGAAGATCAGGGTTGCGTCGGGGTGTGTGCCTTGCATCGCGATTTTGGCGGCTTCGTCGATCTCAGCGATCGGGATCCCTCCAGCGGTCCCCTGGTACGCGTAGGTGGAGGAGACGAAGCGGTCGGCGATGACGAGCTTGCCTTGCGTGAGCGCCGGCGCGATGACCTGCTCGCAGAGCTGGGCGCGGGACGCCATGTAGAGGAGCATCTCGCAGCGGAGGGACATGGTCTCGCGATCGAGGTGGTCGAGGAGCGCGTCGCGGATCTTCTCGCCGACCTCTGTTCCACCCGGCTCGCGGACTTCCGTGACCTCGATCCGGGCGCTGCGGACGGCTTTGAGAAACATCGCGAGCTGGGTGGATTTCCCAGAGCCGTCGGGACCATCGAAGACGAGGAACTTGCCTCGGAGGGCGCTGATTAGGGCATCCGGGAGTTCGTGTGGTGGGGTGGTCATGACTTCAACGGCTTGGAAGGTGGTTTGTACGCTCACGGCTCTGAGTGTAGCGTGGATTGTGCTCGGATGAGGCGCGATTGATACGGTTCTGGTCCGAGTTTTGGATCGATAAGCTTGAGGCGTGTGAGGTGGGCGCGTGCATTCTCTTTGTCTGCGTCGTTGCCGTGAGCGATGGTGGTTTCGATGATGAGTGTCCACGCGTGCCAGAAGTGTTTGGAGTCGTTGCTGTTGAGTGCGGATGCGAGTTGGGTGAGCCGCTCAAGAGCGCGGCTTGGTTGGTCGGCGCCGATCAGCGCTCGCGCATAGAGCAGTTCCAGCTCCGGATCTTCGGGATCGACGGAGTTGTGCACAAGACGTGAGAGTCGGATCGTCGCGGAGGTGGGATCGGTGTCCACTTCCAGCGCCGCGGCGGTCCGGTGCCAATGCGTGGATAACGGCGAACGGAGTCGATCGAGCACATCAGCGGTCTGGATTGCGTGCTGAAGCGGATTGAATGGACGCTCATTGAGCGCGTTCTCGTGGAGGATCTGTGCTCCCAGATCCGATTCACGCGTCGCAGGAGTGAGAGAGCGGATCAGGGACTCTTGTTCTTGTCCTGAGGTGAGTCCAATGAGCTGGAGTTTCCAGAGGTCGATTTCGATGCGATCGGGGTAAGTGCTGATCGCTTGTCGCAGTAGTGGGGTGATGAGCGGAGATTTGGATGCCGAAGCGGTGTCGATCGCTCCTGCGAGTGCGTCCGCGGCGCCAGGATGAGCCGGGAATCGATCTGCGAGTTTGGATGCGGCTTGGATGAGCACGCTGTGTGAGTCGCGTGTGTTGAGGGCGCGAGCGCCCAAACACGCGAGCCAAAGCGAGTCCTCGGTGAGTTTCTGATCTTCGGATCGCGCGAGCGTAAGGAGCGTTTCGATCGCGTATTGCTTGTCGTCGGTGTTGGTGCTCGTGAGCCGAGCACGCGCGTCGATGAATCGGACGAGTTGTGGGAGCAGATTGATCTTGTTGGTATTGGTTTGATCAAGCCGAAGCTCGTTGACCATCGACGCGATCGAGCGGTCGATGAGCGGCTCAAGGTGTGGGAGCAGCGCCCGCAGATCAAGAAGCGGGTCAAACGCGCTGAGAGGGTCGCTTTGGAGCATCGACCACGAGCGCGTTTGTGCGTGCAGTAGCGTCCACGCAGGATCGGTCGTGAATGGGGAGGTGTCGAGCAGCTGGGAATCGGGTTCCTCGTGCATCGACAGCGCGAGCACTGCACTCGCGGCGGTGAGGTCTGAAATGTTGAGTTGATCACGTTCGCTCAGCAGTGCTTTGAGAGATTGGACGCTCTGCTGAGGATCGCTTCCTGATCTCAGCATTGCGAGGATGATGCGCCGGCGTGCATCGAGTTCTGGTGAAACAAACACGGACTCGTCCAGCGTTGTGCGGATGGTGTTCATCAAATCAACGCTGTTGAACTGAGTGCTCCCAAGCAAGTTCGCTTCAGCGATGAGCAGTGCGGCGCGTGGGTCTTCTGGGTCCGCGCCGGAGAGCATCTGGTGGATGCGCCGCAGTGCTTCGTTGATCATGGATTGATCATCGTTGAGTGTGTGTGCGTAGAGCGATCGGTAGTACGCGCCGGATGCTTTGAGTCCGACGATCTGATCTTCGGCGCCGCTCAAACGCGCATCAGCATTGGTTGGAGGTGGAGGGAGGGGCTCAGGATCGGGATTCGCGAGTTGGTTGTAGGTGATGACTTGGTGATCGTTGAGTCCATCGCCGTGGAAGACTCCGATGGTGCGCATGATCCCTGTGGGGTCTTCATCGAGGAGTTGAATGGTCTTGATGACGACGGGACGCGTCCCTTTGACAGGATCGAGCGGATTGAGTTCGTCGAGTCGTTGGCGGACATGCTTGAGTCCTCCTGCCCATGGCGCTTCGGTGCGCTGGATCCCGCGCGAGATGAGCAGGATCATGTCGGGTTCAAGCTCGATCGCGGCCGCGAGTCCATCGACGGGGTTGGACTGTCCACGCGCCGGCATCTTGGAGAGCCAATCCGCGACGGCTTGTTTGTTCTCGCGGGTGGCTCGTGGGAGCTTGTTGCGTGAAGTTTGCAAGTTCGGGATTGCGTAGTCAGAGCCTTCGAGTTTACGGAACGCGATCACTTGGAAGCGTTGGGTTGGGCTTAGACGATCGATGGACTGGAGCAGGCGTTCACGGATGTAGCTCAGCGAAGTGAGTGTTGCACCGGAGGTGTCCACGACATACACGATCGAACGCGCGGCTCCTGTCGAGACTCCAGCAAAGCTGATGGGTGTTGGCGCTGATGAAGGTTCGGCGGAGAGGGCGGAGGATTGTTTAGAGAGCTGATCAAGTGTCGCGGCGCTCATCGCTTGGGATGCGACTGGCGTGGTGTCCGAGAGCGCTCGAGCGCTTCGATCCAGCACACTCGGCTCTGACTGAACAGGCTGGTCGTTTGATTGATTCGCATCAGATGAGGAGTTGGATGATTCAGACTGCTCCTGCTGCTTCGATGGTGGGGTGCTCTGGATTGGCGCAGAGAACTCGATCTCCGCGAGCGGGAGTTTGGTCGCTTTCTCGTTGGACTGCGCGAGCGACGCGGCTCGTGATCCTACAACGACAAGCAGCGCGATGAGCGAGGTGTGCACAACGATGGACACGCCGGGAGGGAGGGCCCACCTCAGAATGGATGTGTTTCGAGGCACGGATCTATTCTAGTGATTTGTAATCGATTTGGTTCGACCGATGTACATCGTCATGCCTTTATGGCGTCGGATTACTCGGCGGTGGGGGTGTGCGATCAAACGAGCTTCGATCCGCTGCTGGAGCGGGAGGGTCCTGCTTGATCTTTGGTTGCTTGCGTTCCGGAGTTCCCGCGACATACGGATCACGGCGTCCAGGTCGGAAGATCAGACGATCCATCGAGAGGGGTCCAGCGCCGAGCAAGAACACACTCAACGACATCATGATGATCGCGAACTGCCAGAGCAATGTTGAATACGAAGCAGGATTCCAAGGATCTTCGGCGTGCGGGATGAATCCGAGAATCGCGTCGCTGGACTGGAGAGCAGCGGGACCGATATTGGTGGTCCAGATCGCGACGAGCATCACGATCGCGACGGAAAGGGCGCTGAGTCGTGTGAAGAGTCCTATGAGGAGAAAGAGCCCGGCAGCGAGTTCGGTGATCGCGGTTGCCCAAGCGGCATACACGGGCATCTTCCCGCTTCCCATCCAAGAAGGCATGGTCGGGGTAATCGGTTGTGAGTCTTCAGTCAAGCCGGGTGAGGTCGCGTGGTCGAGCAGGAGTGTGATCTTGTAGACATTCTTGATGCGGACAGGATCGGGATAGTCTGATCCCACAGCTGGCGCGGTGGACTGAACAACATGCACGAACTGTGGTTGTTGCGTGTTGAATGCTCTAAGCTCGGGTGCGTCTACTTCTGTGCTTTCTTGTGTTGCCTCTGGATCTGCTTCAGTGGGGGTTTGGGGCGGTTGTGATTCCAGATCATCGATCTGCTCTTGAACATCAGAATCGGATTCAGGAAGCGGATTCACTGGTTCATCTGGAAGGTCGGATTCGGTGTCTTGGTCGGCAGGGGAATCAGGGAGGAAGCTGACTCCGAGATTCGCGAGACGAGCGGCGTTGTCGCCTTGTGTGGTTGTGGTTCCGATGATCTTTCCGGTCCCGGCCCAGAGGAAGGTGATCGCGAGGACGATACGCAGGAGCAGCGAGGGGAGGGTCAGAGCAATATGGTCTCGATAGCGCATGGTCGGATTCCCGAAAGCGTGTGGATCTTGTCTGCTGATGGGCGCACGATGCACATCGCGTGTGTACCATCACTTTACATTGGTGTATCGGCAAGTTGTTCGGAACTTGACCTACATTCGTGCGGTAAAGTGTGCGGAATGGTGGGTTTGGGTCTAAAAACAAGGCTGAACACAAATGAGCCGCGGGTGTGGCGGAACTGGTAGACGCGCCAGATTTAGGTTCTGGTGGGCATAGCCCGTGCAGGTTCGATTCCTGTCACCCGCATTGATTCAAAAGAGCCCCCGGCAATCGCTGGGGGCTCTTTGATTGTGCTACACGATATTGGACTGTTTATGGACAGCTCTGTCCGTAGCTCGCGAGGAACGCGGAGATGTCGAGGAAGTTGAACTGACCTTCGCCCGTGATATCCGCGATCGGGTCCATGTCGGCATAGAGGCCGAGGAAGATAGAGACATCGAGGAAGTTGAGACCTCCTGAGAAGTCGAAGTCGGTATCACAGACTGCGCCGACGCGGATTTCGTTCTCGAAGTATCCGACCTTGTAACTCAGTCGAGGATCACCGGTTGCTGGTGCGATGAGCGTGTCGAATGTTCCTGTCACACCACCATCTGCAGTGACGATTGTCGCGACCCATGAGACTTCTGGATCGAATCCTTCGATGAGTGATAGATCGAGTGTGCCGTCGGCGTGGAAGGTTGAGCCGGAGTCGATGATGTCGTTGACTCCGAAGTCCGAGACTTCGACTTCGTACACACTCGAGTCCGAGAGGGTGATGGGTTGGCTTGCTTCGATCTCACCGACGGAGAGTCCCGGCGCGATGGTGCCGTTCATGTTGAGCGGCGCGTTGATCTGACCACGACCTGTGATCGTTTGATCTGCTCCGATGGTGAGTCCGGCACCAGTGATCTGAGATCTGTTTGTTGTCCCGGTAAGACGGATCTCGCCCATGCCATCGATTGTTGCTGGAGCGGCTGAGGTGACTGCGGTGACGAACCCACTGTTCGTTGGGTTGATGTTGATCGTGTTGTGGTTGGTGACGGTGCCGACGATCGCGAGGTTGACACCTGGGTTGATTGTGACTGGTGAAAGATTGGTCATGTCCTGGAAGGTGGAGATTCCGGTGTTGAGTGTTGTGGACCCTCCGAAGAGTGCGTCCATTGTGCCGCCGTTGATCGTGGCGCTGCTGAGTGTGACCAATCCGTCGTTGTTGAGGATCTGACCCCCTCCGGTTTGATCGATCTCAATGCTTGAGATCTGAAGTCCTTCAGCTGGATTCACTTGGATCAGGGTGTTATTGATCTTGTTATTCGATTGGAGCGTCAGTGTTCCTGAGCCTGTTTCGATGAGACCGTTGTTGATCAGAGACGCGTTGATCTGACCGATGCCTTGCACGGTGTGTGATGCGCCGATGGTGACCGTTTCACCCATTGCGGTATTGAGTTGTGAGCGATTTGTCGTCCCCATGAGTCGTGTTGTTCCGGTTCCTCCGAGCGTGGTTGAGTCGTTGAATACGAGAGCGGTCACAAAGCCGGCGTTTGATGGGTTGATGGTGATCATGTCGTTACTCAGCAGACCATTGGTGATCCCGACTGTGGTTCCGGGGTTCACATTCAGTGGAGCGTTGAGTGTCAGCTGATCGAAGTTGGTAACACCTGATGATTGGGTGACTGCACCGCTTGCGGCGTTGATTGTGCCGTTGTTGATGTTTGCGGAGGAAAGCGTCAGTGTTCCGTCGCCGACATTGATCTGCGCGGCAGGGTCTTGATCGAGTGTGATTGTAGAGATGGTGATGTTCGCTCCAGGTTGTATGGAGATGGTGTTGTTGTTCACCTTGTCATTAGTCAGCAAGCTCAGTGTTTGCCCATTGGTGTCAGCGTCGATCGTTCCGTTGTTGATCAGAGATGCATGAATCTGCCCGAATCCTCGGATGGCGTGTCCTGATGCGAGACCGAGTGTTTCTCCGGCTCCAGTGGTGATCTGTGATCTGGTTCCTGTGCCACGCATCAATGTTTGTCCAGATCCAGACAGGACTGTGGAGACTGGGAACTGGAGGGAGGTTATGAATCCCGCATTTGATGGGTTGATGGTGAGATCGTCGTTGTTGATGAGTGTGTTGGTTGCAACTAGAGCTACGCCGGGGTTGATATTGAGGGGCGAGTTGAGCACGACGCTGTCAAAGTTGTTTGTTCCTGCGGTGAGGTTTGTAGCGCCTGTTGTCGCGTTGATGATCCCGTCATTGATGGTGGAAGAGCTGATGTTCAGGGTGCCGTTGTCGATATTGAACTGTCCTCCACCGGTTTGGTTGATGGTGATGCTCGAGATATTCATGATCGCGTTGTTGGTAATCTCGAAGATGCTGTTGTTGACTTTGTTATTGGTGCTCAACAACAAGACCTGTCCGGCTACATCAGCACTCACTACACCGTTGTTGATTAGTGGGGCTTGGATGGTACCTATCCCGCGGATCGTGTGCGTTGATGCTTGTGTGAGTGTGTGAGACGGATCAGAGGTTCGGAGGATCGATCTGGTTCCTACTCCATCGAGCGCGAGTGTGCCCGTGCCGTTGAGTGTCGATATGTTCTGGAACTCCGCAACAGTCACAAAGCCCGCGTTGGATGGATTGATGCTCAGGTTTGCGTCGTTCGTCATCGTGTTGATGACTTGGAGCGTCACGCCGGGATTGACATTCCCGTTTCCGATTGCGTGTACATTGTTGAACGAGTTGACGCCTCCTGTGAATGCCCAGTTGAATCCAGGCATGGACTGGATCGTTCCGTCCGCGATGCTGATCGTTGACATGTTCAGTTGGCCATCGTCAACGCTGATTTCCCCGCTCACACCTTGTCCGATTGCGACATTGTTCATGAACATTGTTGCGTTGTTCACGACTTCTATACGATTGTTGTTTGTCCAGGTGCCGCTCAGAACATCGAGTGTTTGTCCGCTGATGTTGGCGCTGACGGTGCCGTCGTTGAGGAAGTCCCCGACGATGCGTCCGAAGCCGTTCACGGTGTGATCGGTTCCGTGTGAAACGGTGGCGCCTGCTCCTGAGACCAATGAAGCACGAGTGCTGAACCCATTGAGTGTGAGAGCACCGGTGCCGGTGAGCGCTGCGGAGTTATTGAATGTGACGCTGGTCGTGAACCCACCGCTGGTGTTGTTGACAAAGACAGTGCCGTTATTGACCATGCCGCCTTGGAGTCCGAGTCCAGTCCCGGCATTCATGCTGAGTGTGCATCCAGTGTCTTGGATATCAACAGAACCCAATCCTGTCGCAGAGACATTGAGGGTGGTGGTGTAAGTCCCTCCGATGTTGAACTCCGCAGTTTCTGTGCTCATGCTTGGCACAGTCATCGGCGACCAGTTCGTTGGGACATTCCAGAGTCCACCGGCGGGATTGACCCAGTCGATGTTCTGTCCGAGCGCTGTGCCTGCGAGTAAAAAGACGGCGAGTGTTGATTTGGTCATTGGGGTATTCACGATGATCTCTCCATGAGCCTTGATTGCTCTTCATCAGTTCAGTGTGCGATGGGTCAATGTCCGATTTCGACCAGACCCATTGTATAGGGTTTTTTGCTCAGTCCAAGAAAAAACCCGCGATGTCGCGGGTTTGGGGGGTTTGGGGGTTTAGGTAAGTTCAGTTGCTGATTATGGGCAGCTCTGCCCGTAGCTCGCGAGGAACGCGGAGATATCGAGGAAGTTGAAGTTGCCGTCGTTGTTGATATCCGCGATCGGATTCATATCGCCGTAGAGACTGAGGAAGATCGAGACATCAAGGAAGTTGAGACCTCCGGAGAAGTCAAAGTCGGTATCGCAGACCGCGCCGACGCGTATCTCGTTGTCGAAGTACCCGATCTTATAGCTCAAGCGTGGATCAGCAGGCAGTGGCGCGATGAGCGTATCGAATGTTCCTGTGACCCCAGCGTCGGCGGTGACGATGGTGACGACCCACGATTCGGTTGGAGTGAACCCATCGATAAGCGAGAGGTCGAGCGTGCCGTCGGCGTGGAAGCTCGATGTTGAGTCGATGAGGTCATTGATCGTGAGTCCAGCGACTTCAACCTCGAGGACGCTGGTATCTCCGAGCGTGATCGGGCTGGTTGCATTGAGAATCCCTGCGGAGAGTCCCGGTGCGATGGTGCCGTCGTTGACGAGCGGAGTCGCGATGCGTCCGATCCCAGTGATGGTGTGGTTCGCGCTGTTGGTGAAGACCTCCATACCGGTCACACTGGTGATCTGGGCGCGCGTGGTCAATCCGCTGAGGTTCAGCTCGCCCGGTCCTTCAATGGTCAGGTCGTTCTGGATTTCCAGTGATGTGACCGCGGCTCCGTTGGTTGGGTTGAGATCGAGTACCGAGTTGTTTGTATGCGTGCCGCTGAGTTCAAGTGTCTGTCCCGGTTCAACGACGACCGATGCGTTGTTGGTGACGCTGATGAGTCGGCTCGATCCGCCTTGGACATTGAATGCGCCAGATCCAGTGGATTCGAGGGATCCTCCGATGATGGTGGTGTTCTGGAGCTCTACTTCACCCTCATTCGCTTCGATCTCTGCTCCCGATGCTTGTAGCACATCCGATCCAGTCGTGATTTCAAGTATTGCCCCATTGCTTGAACGGATAGTGTTGTTGTTCTGGATCGATGCGGTAATCAGGAGTTCTTGTCCCGCGGCATCTGCATCGATCAGTCCGTCGTTGATGACCGGCGTGATGATCCGTCCAAAGCCATGGATCGTGTGATCGGCGCTGTTTGTGACCAATACGCCGGCTTCTGCAGTGAGTTGAGATCGTGTAGAGAAGCCGTTGAGCGTGAGCATCCCTGTTCCATTGAAGGCGCCGGAGTTTGTAAAGTGGATATTTGTTTGAGCGGCGCCGTTTGTGGGATTGACAATGATCTCGCTGTTGTTGAGGATCGAGTTGTTGATCTCGATGGTGTCTCCTGCTTGGACTTGGAACTCACCGAGGTTGGTGACACCGTCGAGTCGTGAGATTGAGTTGCAGGTGTGCACCCCTGTGCTGCTGGTGAGTGTCCCGCCGAGAATCGTAACGGCGTTGTAGATAATGTTGCTCGTAGTTGCCGCGAGGGTTCCACCTCCGGTCTGGTCGAGCGTGAAGCTGTTGAGTTCGATCGTCCCACCGTCTGCGGACATCACGCTGTTGTTTGTTTTGTCGAGCGCGACGACGAGCATGTTCTGTCCGGCGATGTCGGACGAGATCGTCCCGTTGTTAACAATTGACCCAAAGACTCGACCAAATCCTGCGATGGTGTGATCGGTGTCATTGGTGATGATCCCGCCTCCAGCTGTGGTGATCTGGGCGCGTGTTGTGAAGCCGTTGAGTCGGACCAGACCTGATCCCGTAAGCATGACATTGTTGTCCGCGTCCAGAGTGGTTGCCGCGGCTCCGTTGGTTGGGTTCACCAAGATCTCGCCGTTGTTGGTGATTGTGTCCGAAAGGTTGAGGGTTCTCCCAGCTGGAATATGCACATTCCCGTTTACTGAAAGATCGTCGAACACAGGCGCGTTGTTGGAAACAACTGTACCGCCGTTGATTCCTTCGACTGTTCCTCCCGTAATGGTCGCGTCAAGAATGTTGACAGTTGCTCCTTCAGCACGGATCACTCCAGAGGCGCTCTGGTTGATGAGCAGTGTGTCGAAGTTGAGCTGGAGAATACCGTCGTTGTTTGCACCGATGACGCTGTTGTTGGTGACATTACCAAAGCGGAAGTCGAGTGTGTTGAATGGATTGTTCGCTACGATGGTGCCGTTGTTGATAAAGTCTCCAAAGATCTGGCCAAATCCCTCGATGGTATGGCTCGCGCCGTTGGTCAGCGTGGCGCCGCTGTCAACAACGAGACGAGCGCGCGTCGAGAATCCGTTGAGCAGGATGGATCCAGATCCGAGGATGCTGGCGCTGTCTCTCCAGAAGAGTGAGGTCTGTGCGGCGCCGGCGCTGGTGTTTACGATATAGGTACCGTCGTTGTCCAGGTTGCCGTAGATTTCGTGCTGACGGCTGACATTGAGCGAGATTGTTGCGTTTGGATTGTCATTGGTGATGTCGTCGGTTGAGTAGTTTCCTCCGACAGTGATGGTGTATGTCCCGTTATTGGGGATGAACGCGTCGTTGGTCATGTTGATCGGCGCTGTTGCCGGCGTCCAGTTGGTGGGGACGGACCAGAACCCATCGGTCGTCAGGTTCCATGTGGATGTTTGCGCGAGTCCTGCTGAAGTCGTCAGCGCAAGCGCGGATACGGCGGTGATTGTCTTGGTGTGCATTGCTCTCTCCCTCGAATGCGGTTGGTATGTCGGGAATACTCCCAATACGACCGGTAATAATAGGGGATTTCCCTTGCAGACTCAAGAATTAAACTCGGTGTCTAAAAAAACCAGCACCGATCGGTGCTGGCTGTGGTGGAGCTCTGTTGTGTTATCGGTCTTATGGGCAGCCGTTGGCAAACGCCGTCAGGAATGCAGAAACATCAAGGAAGTTGAAGCTGCCTTCGCCTGTGAAGTCCGCGGATGGATCCTGATTCCCGAACGCTGTGAGGAATGCGGAGACATCGAGGAAGTTCAAGCTGCCTTCACCAGTGAAGTCCGCTGGACATGGGTTGCTTGCGTTCTCGCAGGAGACGAGTTCGATCTGCACCGCGTCGACGCCGGCTTCAACAACCGAACCAACACCAGTGTCTCCGGCGCGGAATCGGATGCGGACCTGACTCGAAGGGTTGGTGAAGATCTGGGACAGATCGAACGAGTACTCGTTCCATCCGCCTCCGGCTGCTGGATCACCTGGTCCGATGGTATCGAGGGATTGCCAGTTACCGCCGTTGTTGTTGGAGATGTCCACGAACATGGTGTCGTCGACTTCTCCGACATTGTTGGAGTACCAGAGTGCGTAGGTGAGCATCGGGATGCCTTCACCGGTCGCGTCCATCGCAGGAGAGGTGAGTGTGGTGGTCCCGCCGTCAACATCGGAGTTGCCTTCGACATTGTCTGTGAGGTAGCAGCGCCCTGATCCGTCGTAGTCAGATGCTGGATCTCCGCGTCCGCCGCTGCCTGCTGGGATGCCGCGTTCCCACGCTCCGTCAGAGACGGATCCAGTGACGGACCAACCTTGATTCGTTTCAAAGTTGTCCGCGAAGACTTCAGTGAAGTCGGAGGCAACGCTCGCGGAGAAGAATCCGCTCGGCGCGTTCGCTGGTAGACGCTTGGTGGTGTCGCCGTCACTTGCTTCGAAGTAGTACTCGAGCGTTTCTCCGCAATCGATCATTGGTGATGCAGCGCTGTAAGTGCCGTCACCGTTGTCGCTCATCGCGATGGGTGTGAATCCGGATCCTGTGTCGGCGAACATGGTCACGCCGTTGATCGAAGCGCCTTCGCGCGTGATCGCGTTAACGCTGATGGAGTTTCCGCCTGCCGGTTCAACGGAGCTCGGCATATCGTCGCGCTGCTGGAGTGCGAAGCCGTCGAGGTCCGCATCGAGGCGCACGAGGAACAGTCCGCGTTCGATGTCGGAGATCGCGATGGTTCCTGATGGGAAGAAGGGGTAGTTCGACCACGCGCCGTTGAAGCTCGCGGCATCAGATCCAGGATATGTATCGAAGTACGCGACCTCGACTGGATTGGTTGGGTCCAGACCATCGAAGACACGCAAACCAGAGCGGTAGTTCGCCTGATAGATCACATAGTCACGTGTGTACAGGTTGTGATCGATCGCGGCTTTGCCGGTCGTGAAAGTCCCGACAAAGAACGGATTCGCTGGATCTTCGACATTGATCACACGCGTTGTGGTGACGGAGACCGTTGATCCTTCATCCAGCTCGTCATTGAGGTAGAGGTATCTGCGATCTGTGGAGAGCCAAGCTTGGTGGGAGTATCCGGCATTGGGATAGAAGAGTGTCGCGATGGTCACGGGGTTGTTCGGATTCGTGACATCCGCGATGCGGAGTCCTGTTTCAGAAAATCCCCCTGAGAAACCTGCGCACAGGAACGCGAGTTCTCGTCCAGCGTATTCACCGTCTTGCCAGGTCACGACCTGCGCGTCGTGGACATACATCTCGGTCCATCCCCCATCGATCGATGGGAGTTCTGGATTGGAGAGGTCAATATGAATGAGTCCGCCGTTCCCAATGTTGGCGCCTGCCAACCATAGAGTGCCTGTTTCTTCGTTGGTGACAATGTTGTGGGTCTTTGTGTATCCACCGGTCGTCCAGTTTCGGACGAGAGTGACATTCCCTGAGTCGATGTTGGACATATCCATGACCTGGATACCGGAGCCGCCTTCGGACACGCCGTACGCGTACTCTCCGACGACTTTGACATCGTGCCAGTCCGATCCTGGTCCGACGACGGTGTCGACGATAACAGGACTCGTTGGGTTGGTGATCTCAACGAATGCGTATCCGCCGTAGAGACCCATGATGACATACTCGCGTCCTGAGGGGGAGACATATCCCCAGCAGTCGTTGCCGAAGGTGGAGTTGACGCCGCTGAAGTTGTTGAGCGGGATCTGTGCGAGGAAGGTCATGTTCTGGGAGTCGAACAATCCGCGTTGCACATTCTCAGAGTCCGCGGTCCAGATCGGTCCGATGACAGCGGATTGCTTGTCGAGCAGTTTGCGATAGTCATCATCGTGAGCGATCGCGGTCGAAGTGAGACCACATGAGAGCGCGAGCGAGAGAGACAATGATCGCCGAGATGGCTTGAAACGCATCGGTTTTCCTTTCTGAGCGGCACGACCCAGAACTGATCGGCGCACAAAGATACTGCAGAGTCCTCGAATGAGGCGATATTCTATTCGACAGATCGACATACCCGGTTGCTTTTTTCGCTCAATTCGGGGTTTCATTGCGATCTTTGTTCGTTTTTATCGTACCGAAACGGGTTGGAGAAGTACACATGAAAAGGTCTCGACAACTGATCCATTCCATACTCGCGAGTTTGCTCGCGGTTGGGTGTGGACATTCGGTCTATGCGCAGGCTGACCCATCGGATTCTGGTTCTGCGGGAACGACTCAGCCCGTCCGAAAGATCCTGCTCGTTGATGAGCAGATACACCCAGAAGTGCTGATCCGTTGGGAAACAAGTGATGGTGTACGGCAGCTTTCAGGAAGCCTTGCCTATACCGCACCAGTGGGTGGGGAACTGCTCGATGGTGCTCAGGAAGACGAGAATGTGCTCGCATACATGACGGTCGGAGGCACTCGGATTGAGACTGGCGCGGGACATCCGCGCGGTTTGGTGTTTCGGCTAGGACTCACCAAGCGAGAGAACGCGTTGCCGTTCTTCGAAGAGATCAAACCAGGTGGATTCATCGAGATGCATGTGTCTGGGGTCGTTGTTTCTGAACCCGTGCAGTATCACGAGGGAACAGGGATGATGCACCTGAAGTACGCGCTGGGTGATCTGATCGCGTGCTCGCTCCCAGGGACGGCTCGTAATCAGTACCTGCTCTCGGATCCGAAGGACACTCTCGGCGGACGCGTCGTCGCGGGACTCAACGCGACTCCGGGCGCGTTGTCTGGAACAAACGAACAGTCCGGCTCGTTTGAGTTTCACTTTGATGAGGAGAATCCAACGACACTTGGATTCACGGTTCGTATTCCCTACGGATTGCTGCGTCATCTCCAGGATCCTTGGCAATCCACACTCCCCAATACCTTCTTTGAACCGATCCACTTGCACGCTGAAGCTGAGGTGATCCCTGTGTGGGCAGAGCCGTTCGATCGGGAGTGGATACTTGAATCAAATGAACCCGCTCAATCAGATCAGGATGGATCAGAGTCGAGCGACGATTGATCCGCGTTGTGGTACAGTGTTCGCATGACACTCAACGAGCATGATCAGCGAGCGCTGAACGCCGCGTATGAACAAGCGATGAAGTCAAAGAACGAGGGCGGGATCCCGATCGGATCGGCGCTGATGGATCGCGACGGAACGATTGTCGCGGTGGGTCATAACGAGCGTGTGCAGAGCGGAGATCCCACGGCGCACGCGGAGACAGTCTGTATTCGCAACGCCGGGAGAAGACGCGATTGGCACGAGCTGACACTCGCATCGACGCTGTCGCCTTGCGCCATGTGCACAGGGACGGCGGTCCTTCATCGCATCCCGCGTGTGATCATCGGAGAGCACGAAACTTTCATGGGGCGCGAGGATTGGCTCAAAGGGGAAGGTGTTGAGGTTGTGCTCGCTGATGACGAGCGTTGCATCGAGCTGATGCGATTGTTTATCGCAGAGCGACCTGAGTTGTGGGATGAAGACATCGGCGTGCCGCCGAGTGAGCGTTAAACAGTGCCGTACATTCTGTCCCCGGCATCTCCGAGTCCTGGGACGATGTAGCCTTTCTCGTTGAGATGGTCGTCGAGAGCAGCGGCGTAGATCGTGACATCCGGATGATCCTGCTGCAAGCGTTCCACGCCTTCAGGTGCCGCGACAAGACAGATCATGCGTAGGTCCGATGCGCCGGCGTCCTTGAGCATGCTAATAGCGGCGGAGGCGCTCCCTCCTGTAGCGAGCATCGGATCAACAAGGATCACAGGACCTGCAGAGAGATCCTTTGGGAGTTTGTTGAGATACGCAACCGGTTCAAGCGTGGATTCGTCACGAGCCATTCCGAGGTGTCCGACTCTTGCTTCCGGCATGACCTCGAGGATGCCATCGATCATCCCTAGTCCGGCGCGGAGAACAGGAACAATGGTGATGGTTCCTGCGAGATGATGCGCTGTGGTGGTGGTGATCGGGGTCTTGATCTCAACAGGATTGGTTTTGAATGAGCGGGTCACTTCGTAGACCATGAGTCCCGCGATCTGTGAGAGCACAGCTCTAAACGGCCTGTGCGTTGTGGTCTGATCGCGGATCGTGGTCATCTTGTGCGCGATGAGCGGATGATCAAAGACAATCACGCGTTCGTTGGTGCTCGACTGGTTGTTGGTCATGCATGAAGTGTACGGCGTTTGAGTGTGTTGGGTATAGAAAAACCCCGAGGCCAGCTGGGACCTCGGGGTCGAGATGTTCAAGTTGTCATCCCGGTTGATCCGGGCTGAACTCGATTATGGGCAGCCCTTCGCGAATGCTGCGAGGTATGCCGAGACATCGAGGAAGTTGAACGAACCTTCGCCGGTGAAGTCAGCAGCGCTGTCGCCTGCACTGAATGCAGCGAGGAACGCGGAGACATCGAGGAAGTTCAGGTCACCTTCGCCGGTGAAGTCTGCAGGACATGCAGGTGCGCCGGTTGGGACGAGACCTTGGATGACGAGGGTTTGGTCACCCTTGAAGGAACCGATGGTGGTGTCGCCCATGGTTGGTGGGGAATCGGTTTCGAACCAGAAGTTGTACATGGTGCCCCAGCGGACTGCGTTGCCCCAGACATTCTGAGCGTTGGTCTCAGTGTTCCAGGTGACGCTTGATCCGCCTTCGACTGGTGCCCAATCAGAGCCGCTGATGTTGCCGTCGACGACATCGTAGTAATCCACGTCGTTGAAGCCGTGGTTCGAGGTCGCGGTGTCAACAGGAACGGAGAACGATGCTGCAGCGAGATCGGAGTTTTGGTTGTAGACGCCGTAGTCGTAGCGCCATGTGCCGTTTCCGAGATCGGTTGCTTTGGAAGCGACGATCATACGACCTTCGCCTGGCCACTCGGCTTCGTTGATCACGACATCATTGTCGTGCGTCTGCCATGCGTAGATCGCAGGGATCTCGCGGAATGTCTGACCAGTTGTGCTTGCGTTGAAGGTGTTCTGGTTGATGGTCATGCGCTTGTAGGACGCGTTGTTGAAGTTGGTGCCGTTTGCGAAGTCGTCCTTGTTGGTGTAGACACCTTCGCAGTAGAAGGTCGCGGTATCGTCATCAATGTCCGACTGCTGAACCTTGATGCGCTTGAAGATGTTGTTCCCGCTCTGGTTGATACCGGTGTATGGGTAAACATATTCAGCGGTGAATGGGTTGACTTCCGAGCGAGGACCGAGGTCGCCCTGGGTGCCGTTGAGTCCTGCACCGTATGGGTCGGAACATCCTGGGCCGAGTGCCTGGAAGGTGCCGCCGCCTTGACATGGCTGACAGACCGAGCCTTGGAGGGAAGCGAATGAGTGCTTCAGGTGGGACAGGCCGAGCTGTGTCAAGCGTTCTGTTTCGTTGTCGTATTTCCAGATGGTGACACCGATCACAGGGTGATTCGGGGAGTTGTCGATCCAGTCAGCGTTGGAAGTACCGATGTTACATGCAGTGGTACCAACTGAGTACGCACGGATTCCATTGGAAACGCCGTAGTTGTTCACGCCGTCGAGCGAGCCACAGATAACGTCTGGGGTTGCGACAGCGGTACCGGTGCATGCAGCCAACACGGCCGCGAGAGCGATGCGATTCATTTCTTTTCCTCCAGTGGGGATTATGTGGTTGGTATTCAGCTTTAGAGTACAGGAAACACGAGACAATTGGTAGGGTAATTCAATGGGAAATCCGAGAAAAATACCCGAACAAATTCCGATCTTGTGGATTATGGACACCCTTGCGCGAAGGCACTGAGGTAGGCGCTGATATCAAGGAAGTTGTATGACCCGTTCTCATCCCAGTCAGCGACTGGATCTTGAGCGCTGAATGCAGTCAGGAACGAGCTGATATCGAGGAAGTTCAGTGAGCCGTCCACGAGGATATCCGCATCGCACACTCCCAAAGTGAGATCGCAGTTCGCATCATTCTGGAGGTATGAGAGGATCCGATTCTGGACGCGTTCATCGAATCGGAGATCAATGTTTGAAAGTCCGCCGGGGCAGAGGTGGCAGTAGGACATGATCGTCGCATCGAGTCGATCTGAGCAGTCGCCGTTCCCGCAGCCATCGATGACTGGGTTGTAGTCGTCGTGCGTGTGTCCTGTCCCGAAGTTGTGTCCCATCTCGTGCGCTGCGACAATGACATCCCAGTTGTTGTGTGAGTTGTCTTGGAGTGGGTTCGGGAAGAAACCTTCGAGGTTGGCGCTGACGCCGATCCCCCAGAAGTCACTGCAAGCTCCAGGCAGATACGCGACTCCGCCTCCGAGGCTGCGAGCGCTGAGTCCTTGCACGACTGCACGATCGATGTTCACTTCGTCACCCGAGTTGAACTCCGCTTGAACATCTTCAAGGAATTCAATGATGTCGCTCCCTCCGTACGGATCGTTGTTCGATGCGTATGTACGCAAGAACGGCACGCTCAGGGTCATGTTGAGATCGCGGTAATAAATCGTCGAGATCGCAGCGAGCAGAGTCGATGCGTATGACGCGGACGCCGTGGTGTTGCCTCCGAAGAGCGAGTTTGTGAACTCGTAGTCTGTTTCGACCGCAACCCTTGCGTCGCGTTGAGGTGGGGTCCCTTGAGGCAAGAAGTCGCCGCCTGTGCTTGTGAAGTCTTCTGCTGGGAGTCGACCCGATGGGCTGAATATTGGATTATTCATATCCACGGCACAGTTCAGACCAGCAGGTTCGAGTCCGAGTTGCTCTGATGGAGTGATTACCAGATCAGCTGCGGTCTTTGCTTGCCCATCAAAGCGACCTGTCGAGATCACATGACTCTGATTTGCAACCTCAATGAATCCCGAGGTCCCATGCTGAGTGATGGAGATGTACGCGATCTGAGAATCGTCCTCGGCGAGGTGACCACGCAGGTGGATGTCAGAAGACAAATCGATCGCGTGCTCGTTGCCCTTCGAGTCGACAGAGACGATCCGGGCATCTGGTGTGAATGGTGAGAAGCGTGTGAGTTCCAGTTCGGCGCGTGTGCCGTCTTGCAGAGTCACGCTCAGTTCAACGATGTCCCCGATGTGGACCTGTTGGAATGAATCAACACTCGTGAGTGCCGCGGGGCTTGCTTGAATGGAGAACGCGTGGGCGTGGGGAGCCGCAAGTGCTGAAAGGTTTAGAGCGGATGTTGCCGCAATAGCGAGAAGGGTCGACGAACGCATGGAAGGGTACTCCGTAATCGGTTTGGATCCGGCAACAGCAGCTCGGTCACGATGAGCGCGTTCACGCACACATCAGCCTCCTGGCTGTCCGAATCGGTTTTGAGATGTCGAAAACACACAACGCGGGGAGAGTTCCCCAGTTTGACAGTATCCGATTCGGGGCAGAATCGGCGTTGGTTCCAGTCTATTGGGTCTTTTTCACTTGTGTGAACAGAATAAAAAACCCGCAGTTCGAGACTGCGGGTCTAGTTTCAAAGATGATCTCTGTGTTTACTCGTCTTCGTCGTCATCGACGAGTGGTCCCATGGTTTCTGGTTCCGGCTCGGGTCGTGCTTTGCATGTCAGCAAGATCACAGCACCAGCGATCGCAGAAATCGCAGACGCGACGAGGATCGCGAGTTTCGCGTGCTCGAGGTGTGTGATGTTATTCGCATACGCGAGGTTTGCGATGAAGATTGCCATGGTGAATCCGATCCCGCCGAGGCATCCGGCGCCGAGGATATGGCGCCACGACACGCCGCGAGGGAGCGAGGCGATACCCATTAAGTACGCGATGTAGCAGAGCGCGATGATTCCGAGCGGTTTACCGATGACCAAGCCGAGGATAATCCCGATGGCGGCTGGATCGGAAAGGTTCTCAGAAATCCCGCCGTGGATCGGGATCCCTGCGTTCGCAAGCGCGAAGACAGGGATGATGACGAACGCGGCCCAAGGATGGAGCACATGCTCGATGCGATGGAGCGGTGGCATGACCAGGCGCGAGTTGTACATGATCGCGTTCACTGCGGCGCGGCGTTCCGATGATTCGGTCACATCGTACTCCGGATCATCGTGCGCGTTTGCGAACACATCGAGCGCCTTGCGCGTCGAGAAGACATAGTTGACCGCGTTGACGCGTGCGTGCGCTGGGATGGTCAACGCGAGCAGCACGCCCGCGATGGTCGCGTGGACTCCTGACATGTACACGAAGTACCACAACGGGAGTCCCATCACGAGATAGAGCGTTATCCAGCGCACACGCAGGACATTCATGAACATCAGGACCGCGACGATGGAGCCGGCGTATCCGAGATATGCGAGCTCGAGATTCTCTGTATAGAACACCGCGATCACGACGAGCGCGCCAAGGTCATCGACGATTGCGAGACTGGTGAGGAATACTTTGAGTGAGTTCGGGATGCGCGATCCGAGCATCGCAAGGATACCGACTGCGAACGCGATGTCGGTCGCCATCGGGATACCCCAACCACCGATGGTTTCTTTTCCAAAGTTGAACGCGACGAAGATCAGTGCCGGACCGATCATCCCGCCGAGAGCACCAAAGATCGGGAGTGCGGCTCGCTTAGGTGATGCGAGCTCGCCGACGAGGATCTCGCGTTTGATTTCCAGTCCGACGACGAGGAAGAAGATCGCCATGAGCAGATCGTTGATCCACAGCGCCGAGGAGTGCTGTTGATACCACATGGGTTCTTCGGTCACCGGAATCCAGCCATGTCCGCCGTGTCCATCGTGCCCATCGTCGGCGTGAGCGTCCTTGCCTTCGGCTACCATGGAGTGGTCTTCAACAGCTTCTTCGATCTCGTTAGCGGCGTGTTCAATCGCGGACTCGCCGTGGTCTTCGCTGTGATCAGTTGTGTGTAGGTCCGCTTCGCCGTGATGCGCTCCAGAGTCAGTATGATCCGGCTCGATTGAGACAGCGATGGTGGTCTTGGTCTTGTAGAAGATGTCGTTGTAGGTATCGGCGTACTTGGAGTTTGCCCAGATCATCGCGATCGCGGTCATGAGCAGCAGGACGATCCCGCCGGAGCTGGAGAGCTTCGCGAATCTTGTGAATGGTCGCGCGAGGCGTTCACCCGGCTCAGGGTTCAAGCCGTGTGCAGCGGTAGGTACATGATGGTCGTCGGACATGACAGGGACTCCTGTGTGAACGCGGATTGTGTTGCCCCCCAGTTCAAGGGGCGATTTATGCCATTGTGTCCACCTTCTATCGGGCTTTACGCGTGGGGCTGTTTATTTCGATGCGAGAAGTACGTGTCAAAAAGCACCCGCTGACATCAACAGCAAGGTTCCATCAAAAGGTCTGGCGAATTCTGCGCACTTAGTGCTGGAAGGGATACAACCCAGAGAGGTCCAGAATAGTAGTGAGCTCATCAAGGATTTGGACACACCGATCCGCGAGTTGCGGATCGAGAAGATCACTTTGCGTGAGCTCGTCTGGATAAGTCCGTTCCACAAACTCTACCAATCGAGCGTGGAGATCATTGGTCATGATGACCCCTTGATGGACGGCACTGAGTTCAGTGTCAGACAAGGGCACACGCAGTCGCAAGCATGCCGGACCTCCGCCGTTGCGCATCGACTCTCGGACATCAAGGTAGTGGACGGCGTTGATCGGATTGCTTGTCGTCTCGATCATCCGATCAATGAAAGCACTGACGCGAGGATTCTCGCTGGACTCGAGCGGCGCGATGAGGGCCATGGAGTTGTCTGGGAGCGTGACGATCTGTGAGTTAAACAGATAGCTTTTGACCGCGTCTTCGAGCGAGAAGTCTGTGTCGTGTGCTTCGATGGTGGTGAGCGGCTTTCCGAGTGGTGATGCAAGATCAGTGAGCATCGAGCGCGAGGTCGCGAACGCTTGCTCGTGGTATAGGAACACGGACTCGTTCCCCGTCGCGATGACATCGTTGTGGAATACTCCCGCGTCGATCGCGTCGGGATGCTGTCGCGCGAAGATCACACGAGAAGGATCGAGCTGGTGTGTGCGTGCGATCGCTTCGCACGCGGCTCGAGTTTGTCGTGATGGATAGTTGCGAGCGCTGTTGGTTGGATCGTGAACATCCACGCCGTAGACGAAGAGCTCGATGCCTGGTTGGTCGTGCGCAGATGCGAAGCGGATGTGGTTCGCGGCTCCCTCGTCGGCGAAGCGAGCCTGGTCTGGGAGCGGATCGTGGACGACGAAGTGGGAATCATCTTTGAAAATCATCCGCAGTGCGCGTGTTGTGGTGGGATGCTCAAGTGAGCGATGGAGATTGGAGACAAGGTTCGCCGGAGTGAGGTGGACTTTGTGGTCCTTGGTGTCGGGACTCGGAGAAACAGTGGCGGCGTTCGCGGCCCACATACTGCTTGCACTCCACGCCGCGGCGAGGAGCGTGGGATCGGTGTCGTTTGCTTGAGCGAGCACATGTGCATCAGATCCCTCGAATCCGATGCGCCGGAGGAAGCTGAGATCTGGACGCTGTTGAGGGGGGAGCACGCCTTGGGTGAGACCCAAGTCCATCAGTGCCTTCATTTTGGAGAGTCCCTGCAATGCGGCGGCTTTGGGTTTGGAGACACCACCGGCATTGGAGAGCGAGGCGATGTTGCCGGCGGAGAGTCCAGCGTAGTTGTGGGTCGGTCCGATCAGACCATCAAAGTTGACTTCCTGAAAATTACTCGGCATGAAGACAGCGTAGGTCTAAGGGACACAGAACAAGGCTCAATAGGATCATTCAGACACGGGAATGCGTGATTTGAGCACATTGAGCGGGATTCGGCGCGCTCAATCAGACGAGGCTTAGCATAATGAAACGGTGTTGCGTTATCGGACATTCCTTGGTTGAATGATGGTGGATGGACTTGACAAATGCTCAGATCGCGCGTTCCGTGTCGGCTCAGGCTATCTATATATAGATCGCGATCTGGCTGAACTTGGTTGGAGAAGCGGGTCCTGATTTGAGCAATCTGTGAGCAGATGGTCCCAACGAGAGGCGTTCATGGCCAAGAAGACGGCATCCAAGAAGACGACCAAGAAAGCCGCGAAAAAGACGGCGAAGAAGACGACCAAGAAGACCACGAAAAAGGTCTCCAAGGCGGCTTCGAAAAAGACCACTAAAAAGGCGGCGGGTCGGAAGTTCGGAAGCAACTACAAAGCAGGCGCTGCAAAGGGCAAGTCCCTCGTGATCGTGGAATCTCCTGCGAAAGCGAAGACGATCAACAAATACCTTGGTGATGAGTATGTCGTGCTCGCATCAGTGGGGCATGTACGCGATCTTCCATCCAAAAACCCAAAGGGTGTCAAGGATCCAGTTCCCGGCGTGAAGCTCGACAAGCGTTTCCAGCCGAGTTACGAAGTACTCAGCGGCAAAGAGCAGGTCGTTAAGGACCTCAAACGAGCCGCGAAGGATGCGCGGTCCACTGGCGGACAGGTCTGGTTCGCGACCGACCTCGATCGCGAGGGGGAAGCGATCGCGTGGCATGTGGCGCAAGAGCTTGGTATCGATTCCAAAGAAGCGCAGCGTGTGATGTTCTCCTCGATCACCAAAGCGGAGATCGAGCGTGCGTTCCACAATCCACACGCGATCGACGAAGAGCGCGTCAACGCGCAGCAGGCGCGCCGGATTTTGGATCGCATTGTTGGGTATCAGGTTTCGCCGCTGCTTTGGAAGAAGGTCGCTCGTGGTCTGAGCGCGGGGCGCGTGCAATCCGTCGCGGTGCGATTGGTCGTGGAGCGTGAGCGTGCGATCGAAGCGTTTGTTCCTGATGAATACTGGACAGTGACAGGGAACTTTGCGCTCGATGCGGATCAAGCCGCGAAGCTTGGGCCGCAGTGGACCAAGTTCATCAACGAGGTCGACGAGAAGGGTAAAGGTCCGAGCATCAAGGTGCAGAATGGTTGGCTCGCGCAGAACAACACCGTCCGCGCTCAGCTCGTCGAGTTTGATGGGAAGAAGTTTGATCCGCGGATTCTCTCGTCCAAGATTGTCCCAGAGCTTGAGGTACTCACACACGACACGATCGAGCAGCGACGTGAAGAGGTGAACCAAGCGTTCTCGGATTCTGGATCGCACGATCTGAGTGGCGAGATTGAGAAGGTTGTCGATGCGTGCGGCTTGAAGGACATCCAAAGCGAAGTCAAAGAGGACAGCGAGGGAGTAGGACCAGCGCGTTGGGTGCGGAACATCTCTGGGACCTGCGGCGCAAAGACAAAGTACACGATCGAGTCGATCGAGACCAAGCGGACCAAGTCGCGTGCAGCTCCGCCGTTCATTACCTCGACAATGCAGCAAGCAGCGTCGAGCCGACTCGGATTCGGGGCTCAGCGCACTATGCGAGCCGCGCAGGGGTTGTACGAAGGTGTGAACATCCCAGGCGAAGGACCAACAGGTCTGATCACCTACATGCGTACCGACTCGACACATATTGATGGTTCAGCGCTCAACGCTGTGCGTGGACACATCAAGAAAACCTACGGCGACAAGTACCTCCCTGAAAAACCCAACTTCTTCAAGACGACCAACAAGGACGCACAGGAAGCGCACGAAGCGATCCGTCCGACGGATGTCACTCGTCATCCCGACTCGCTCCCGAGCTCGCTCAAACCTGATCAGCTCAAGCTGTACCGATTGATCTGGGAGCGATTTGTCGCATGTCAGATGGTCCCGGCGCAGTGGGATGCGACGAGCGTCATGATCCGAGGGGGCGAAGGAAACAAGGCGCTGTTCAAAGCGAATGGGCGCACGCTCGCGTTCGATGGTCACTACCGAGTTTCGGGAGTTCCGACGAGCGGCGACGAGCTCAATCTTCCCAAGCTCGAAGAGAAGCAGCCCATGTATCCGTTTGCGATCGAGCCGGCGCAGAAGTTCACTGCACCTCCGGGACGATTCTCAGAAGCGAGCTTGATCAAGACGCTCGAATCCGAGGGGATCGGACGACCATCGACATACGCGAGCATCATCCAGACGATCCAAGATCGCAAGTATGTCGAGCAGATCCAGCGTGCATTCTGGGCGACGGACCTGGGGATGGTTGTTACGGACAAGCTCGTCGAGGGGTTCCCGATCCTGATGGATCTGGGATACACACGCGACATGGAGGGCAAGCTCGACGCGATCGAGGAGGAGCACCTCGACTGGATCGAGATGCTCGAGGGCTTTTATGAGCGGTTCTCCAAAAGCTTGGAACGCGCTCACGAAGAGATGACGCACGCGAAAGCGGAGACGCGTCCGGCTCCTGAAGAATACCGATGCGAGCAATGCGGATCGTCGCTCGTGTACCGATTCGGGAAGAACGGGCGATTCTTGAGCTGTGCAACCTATCCCGACTGCAACTGGGCGTGTCCGTGCGATCGACAGGGCCGACCTCAGATGGCGGAGTTTGTGGATGTGAAGTGTCCCAAGACCGGTCGTCCGATGATCCGCAAGACCGGTCGATTCGGGCCGTTCTTGACGACCCCGCTTGAAGAAGGCGAGACCAACGACGACGGCATGATCCTGAACATCGACAAAAAGGGGTATGTCAACGCGCCGAGTGTGCCTCCACTGGAAACGGAGCTGGAGTGTCCAACTTGTCAGAGCCCGCTCAATCTCCGCAATGGCGCACGAGGTCCTTGGCTCGGATGCTCGCGATTCCCGAAGTGTCGAGGACGCGGGAAGTGGACGGCGCTGGAAGAACACGAACGCGCGGATCTGGAAGCGAAGCTCTCGAAGCACGAAGCGGCGCATCCAGTCCCCATTATCAAGCGGATGGACGGCACGCCGTTGACCGATAGCAAAGGCAAGCCGGTTGAGAACGCTCCGACTGTTGAAGAGCTTGTCTTGCTTGAGGATCCTCGCGAAGCGAAAGCTTGATTCTAAAGATCACCCAGCGAGCAGCGTCATCGGCGTACCATGTCATCGATGAGCAGCTTCCTGATGAGCACCAACACCAAGCAGTTCGTCCGCAAGATCGGGCGCTGGGTGCACGACCATCCTGACGGCTGGTTGAATCTGATCGGGGCCGTGATCGGTGTGCTCACTGCGATCATCGCGATCGGATTCGCGTGGACGCTGAGCAACATCGAGCATCTGACCGAAGACCTGCAGTCCATGATCCAAGGGGAGAATGGCACTCGGCTGTGGCTGATCCCGCTCGTTCCGATGATGGGCGCGTTCATCACAGGCGTATTGGTCTTCCGGTTTGCGCCCAAAGCCGCGGGTCACGGCGTGCCTCATGTGCTCGACGCGATTGTTCGCAAAGGTGGAAAGATCCCGGTTGTGAACGGTGTGGTTAAGGTCATCGCATCGATCTGTACAGTCGGTTCTGGAGGGTCGGCAGGGGCTGAAGGCCCGATTGTTCAAGCGGGATCAGTCATTGGTTCAGTGATCGCGCAGCGCCTTGGGATTGAGAGAAGGCACATCCCAACACTTGTGGGATGCGGAGCCGCGGCCGGGATATCGAGCATTTTCCATGCGCCGATCGCTGGTGTGTTCTTTGCGCTTGAAATCCTGCTCCGTGACTTCTCACTCAAAGCATTCTCTCCAATCGTGATGGCATCGGTCTTCGCGATGGCGTTCACTCAGGTTGTGCTCCCAGCCGAGGACGCAATCTTCGCGTTTGAACTCGTGGGGTATCTGTTTACCGCGGCGGAACTCCCGAGCTATCTGGTGCTCGGGATTCTGTGCGCCGGAGCGTCATGGTTGTTTGTTGAGTCGCTGGAAGTGGGTGAGGGATTCTTTGCTCGAATCAGGGTCCATCCGATACTGCTCCCGATGCTCGGAGCGCTGGTACTTGGACTGCTGGGCATGATCGGTCAGCGTGCGTGCACCTCGCTCGATACAAGCTCACTGGTACCAACGGACTCCCCTGTTCCGGTCTTCTTCGGCAATGGGTATGCGATGATCCAGTCGCTGCTTAATCCATCGCACTACACCGCCGCGGATGTGACATGGACCGCGGTCATCACGCTTGGGTTGCTTGTGATCGCGAAGATCGTCGCGACCTGTGCAACGCTCGGGTCGGGTGGCTCAGGCGGTGTGTTCGCGCCGTCGCTCTTTGTGGGCGCGACGGTTGGGGGTGCCTTTGGATTGCTCCTTGACATGCTGGGTCTGATCCCAGTCGGCGGATCTCCAGCAAGCTACGCGCTCGTCGGGATGGCGGCGGTCGTCGCGGGGACCACCTTTGCGCCGATGACCGCAATCCTGATGCTCTTTGAGCTCACGCACGAACCTCGCGTGCTGGCGCCGATTATGCTCGCGGCGATCATCTCCACGATGTTCTCGCGGATGCTGATGTCTGACTCGATCTACACCGCGAAGCTGCGGAGGGCGGGGGTGCGAATCGGAACCAGCCGGGACCTCGGGATCCTGCGTCATGTGCCGCTCGCGAGTGTGAAGTATGATTCGCTCCCGAGCGAGCCGGTCTACGCGTCTGATCCGCTCAGCAAGCTCATCACGCTCCACGCGCACCACAACATCCCCGATTTCCCAGTGATCGATCACGAGGGGTGCTACATCGGGATGGTGACCGGGCGCGACATGCGCTCGGCGTTGATCGATCGTGAAGCGATCCCGCTGCTGCTCGTTGCGGAGCTGATGCGGACCGATATCCCGACTGTGTCTGCTGGAGAGCATCTGGACACAGTGCTCGACAAGTTCAGCAAGTCCGATGTGTCGAGTTTGTGTGTTGTGGATCAGTTCGGACAGATGAATCCGGTGGGTCTGGTCACACGCGAGCAGGTGATGAGGCGTCACAACGATGTCCTCGACGAGGCGTGATGGAACCGATCAGTGAGAGGAACGGATCGATTCTCATGAAAGAGTTCCTCTTTGGGAAGACTGATTGGAAGTCGATTCGGATCATTGTGATCATCGCAATTGTTGTCATCGTCATTCTGGGTTTGATCCCGATCAGAAGTCACAGCAGCTACCACACGCCGATTTGGAGATCAACTGTACAAGTGAGATCGATGGTGCAGGGAGCGATTCTCTTTGCAACAAACCAGGATGACAAGATGCCATCTGCGGACCAGTGGCCCCAAGAGTTGATTAATCTTGGAATTATCGAATCCGAGCTTCTTGTATCTCCTTTACATCCCGATGCTCAAGATCCATACACCTACGTTCCTAGTGATTATCAAATGTTCGAGGGTGATTTCGTGAATCGGATAGTCATTTACGAAAATCCTGATCACTATCAAGAAGGAGTAGTTGTGGGGTTTGCTGATGCCCGCGCGGAGGTTATTCCTCATGATCAGTTTGAGCAGATGCTTGCGGATCAGATCGCTGAGGAAGCATCCCGTCCTTGATCGTGAAACCAGATTCACGCTTTCCCATACACTGTGGTATGAACACAGGAACTGCTATCGCTCTGGTCTCGCTCGCTTCGGTTTCATGGGTCGCTCACGCGGAGGATCCGATCCAGGACGCGGTGCATAAACATATCGAGCCGTTGGTCGAGACCAAGATGGTCCCGGGCGCCGTGGTGGGGGTGTATCAGGACGGCAAGGAGTCGTACTACACGCTCGGGACGCTCGCGTTTGGTGGTGAGGAGTCGCCGACATTTGATACGCTCTATGAGATCGGATCGATCTCGAAGGTCATGACCGGCGTGCTCTTTGCGGACGCGATCCGCAGGGGTGAGGTGACCAAGCACACGCTCATCGATGAGCTGCTCCCTGAGGGGGTTGACGCGAAGGACTATGAGGGAACGGAGGTCGAGCTTTGGCACCTGACGACGCACTCGTCGGGTTGGCCGACGGCTCCGGCGAATCTGCGTCCTACTGATCCTGATAAGCCGTTCATGGGATACACGCAGGAGATGCTGTTTGAATACATCTCGAAGGTCAAACCCAAGCGAGCGCCGGGGACGGAGTTCGAGTACTCAAACCTCGCTGTCGGACTGCTCGGGGATCTGGTCGCGGCCAACGCCGGGATGGGGTACGAGGAGGCGGTGATCGAGCGCGTGTTTGATCCGATGGGGGTCGAGGGGTTCCAGATTGTGCTCGATGATGAGCAATCGAAGATGCTCGCGCCCGCGACTTCGAGCGGCCGATCCTCGAAGCCTTGGGGGGATATCGGTCCGATGAATCCAGCGGGGATGTGGGTCGCGTCCGCGCCGTCGCTGCTGGGGTTTGCGATCGCGAATCTGAGCGATGAGGAGGGCGGGATCTATGACTCGCTCGAGCTCTCGCGTGAGTCGATGTTTGATAGCGGGTTTGGTTCCGTCTGCTTCGGATGGTTGCTGGCACGCGATGGCTCGACCTACTGGCACAACGGCATGACGGGCGGGTACTCTTCGTACTTTGCGGTCAATCGCGATCTGGACCTCGCGGTCGTCGTGTTGACCAACGGCACCACATTCTTCACCACCAGCGCCGGCGAGAAGCTCGTTCAACAACTCGGCGGGCTCAATCCCGATCCCGTCGAGATCGAGGTGAGCGAGGGGGTGGATGCGGAGTACGCCAAGCGCGTGATCGGTGAGTACAAGGGGCAGTACTTCACGATGTTCATCACGAGCGAAGCGGGGAAGCTCTTCGCGCGGATCACTGGTCAGCAGGCGCTGGTCGTTGCGCCGACGGATGAGGACGATCGATTCCGATACGAGATGGTCGATGCGGAAATCGAGTTTGCGTTTGAGGATGAGACTGCAACAACGGTGACGCTGCATCAGAACGGACAAGAGTTCGTGTGTACTCGTGTAGATGAGTGATCACTCGCCGAGCGTTTTCTTTCTTCGCAATACGTGGTGGTAGTGCTGCGCGAATCGGTGGGATTCGTCGCGGACCTGCTGGAGCAGGCGCAGTCCTGGATTGTTGCGTCCGAGCTTGATCGGCTCGTCCTGTCCTTGCTTGTAGATCAGCTCTTCTTTCTTTGCGATCGAGATCACCATCGGGGGTTTGACTTCGAGCTGCTCGAACGCTTCGAGCGCCGCGTGGAGTTGTCCGATCCCGCCGTCGATCAGGATGACATCGGGATAGAGCTCTTGTCCGGCGCCCGCGTCGCGGAACCTGCGTGAGATGACCTCGCGCATGGACTGGAAGTCATCGTTGGCGCGACCTCCTGGGAGGTTCGTGAAGGACTTGATTCGGAAGCGCCGGTATTCCTGTTTGAATGGTCTGCCGTCGATGAAGCAGACCTTGGACGCGACGGTCTCCCCGCCTTGGAGGTGCGCGATGTCGAACCCCTCGACGCAGCGGATCGTGGTGTTCATGTCCAAAGCACGCGCGAGGGATTGGCACCCCTTGATCGGATCGATGTACCCGATCTCCGCTTCGGGTTGCCACTTGTCGCTCGTCGAGGCGCGGTTGTCGATCTTGATCATCGCGTTGATCTGATCCCGCAGCGTCGCGGCTCGCTCAAAGTCCATCCGCTCGGACGCTTCGGCCATCTCCGACTGCAGCTCCCTGATCATCGTCGAGCGCTTGGTCTTGAGGAAGCGCACGAATCGGGTGATATCCTCGCGGTAGCGCTCTTTGGTGATCGATTCGTTGCACGGCGCGGTGCACTTCCCGATCGATGCGAGCAGGCAGGGACGGAAGTGTTTGTTCTTGGGATCACCCTCGATGATGTCGAGCGAGCAGGTGCGGAACTTGAACACGGACTGGAGCGCATCGACAGCGGTGCGGAGCGCGCCGGGAGAAGTGAACGGGCCGAGGATGCTCGCGTTGGTGTAGTGGGGGTCCTTGGTGCCGTCGGGTTTGATCCCAGTGGGGTTCCGCGAAACGAACACGCGCGGGTAGTCCTCGTTGTTGGTCACGACGAGGTAGGGATAGGTCCGGTCGTCCTTTTGGGCGGCGTTGAAGCGGGGTTTGATGTCCTTGATGAGACGGTTCTCAGCGAGGAGCGCTTCCCACGCGGTATCGGTTTTGAAGACCTCGAAGGTGTGGACCTCGTCGAGCATCTTGTTCTTGCGAGGACCCAGATCGGTCGAGGGGAGGAAGTACGACGAGACACGATCGCGAAGCTTGGTCGCTTTCCCGACATAGAGCACGATGCCCTTGTGGTCTTTCATCAGGTAGACGCCGGGCGCGAGGGGCAGGTCCCGCGCCATCGCGTGCAGGCGCTTGATGCGTGTGTTGTGGTCCTCGCTCCCCCACTCCGGGATATCCTGCGCAAAGTCGTCAGGCTTGAACGGGATGGGGTCGTCGGTGGGTTCCACGAGGGATGGTATTCATCACCCGATGGGGGGATCGATCATGTGCAGGATTGGGTTGTCCTGAATCGGATCGGAGCCTTGCGCTGTCCAGAGCACAGTCCAGCAGAGTTCAAATGGAGGCCAAGCGACATCGGTGAACAATGCAGGCCAGGCACCGTCTGTTCGGACACTGATGTCGTCCTCAATAGAATTGAATCCCAGTGTGTCCTCATCGATGCAGCGGAGATGGAGTTGGTCCTCTCCGATGCGGAATCCGAAGCAGATCTGATCAGTGCTGATGAGTGCTCGTTTGTACGCGACGACTCCGGTGACTTGATCCCAGCGGAGTGACCAGTTGGGGTAGCTGTTGACGGAGAGTGTGAATCCGTCGTTGGTGCGGATGATCTTCCGCTCCTTTGGTGCGGCGGTTTGGGAGAAGAGTCTGCTCAAAACAGACAGGATCGATCTCCGAGGAGCTCGATCCTGAGATTGTTCGGGATGTGTCGTCATGCTTTATTCGTAGATATAGTCCGGGCCGCGCCACTGCTGCCACTTCTTGAGGCGGAAGCGCCAGAAGCTCTCTTCGAAGTTCGCTTGTGCTTCTGGGGACCACATGTGGAACGCTTCGAGCTGACGCGCTTCGCTCGCGATGCGGCGGAGCTCGTCCTCGGCTTCCTGGACAGTCAGCGGATCCGCTTCACCTGAACGCACGGCGGCGTTGACCAGATCGATGTAGAGCTGGTTGAGGTGGGCGTAGTCCTCGAGGGTGTCCTCGGAGAGGGACTGGTCGTTGAGACGTCCCGCTTCGGCACGGAGGATCGTGTCGATCGCACGCGCTTGGTGACGCTGACCAGTGGTCCGCTCTACGCGGCAGCCCGAAGAGAATGCGAGCACGAGGGCGCTGGCAACGATCACGATTGGGGTCAAACGAATGTTCATGGAGTCTCCATCGGTTCTCGGACTGGATCGCTTGAGCGAATCCCTCAGGAAATGGACTTTAGGGCCGGATTATGAAAGAGCAAGCCGGCACATCATCTCTACGCCCAATGGGATGGATTGATCGTTGAAATCAAAACTAGGTGTGTGGAGTCCTGGGAACGGCGTTTGCTGGTCATGAGCGAGTCCCAGGAAGAAGAAGCAGGAGGGGACCTTCTGAGCGTAGAACGAGAAGTCCTCGCCGCCGAGGGTCGGCTCCTCGACGAGCTTGGTCTGCTCGCATCCGCCCGCAGATTGGGCGATTTCAAAGACATGCTCCGTCTGCTGAGGGTCGTTCTGGGTGACGGGGTAGCCCGGGAACCACTCGATGCTCGCTGAGCATCCCAGAGCGGCGGCTGTGGACTCGATCAGCTTGGTGAATCGGGCCTTGGTGTCCGATCGCGTGGTGTCTGAGAGGGTCCGCAGGGTCCCTTGCAAGATCGCGGCTCCTGGGATGATGTTGAACGCTGTCCCGGCGTGGATCGTCGTGATCGAGAGGACGACGGAATCCGTCGGTTTGGTGGATCTGGAGACGATGGACTGGGCGCTGCTGACGATCTGAGCCGCGGCGACGATGGGGTCGTTCCCGAGGTGTGGGTACGCGGCGTGGGCCTGCGTTCCATTGACGGTGATCGTGAAGGTATCGGTCGCGGCGAGCAGCGGGCCGGGGCGTGTGGAGATGGTCCCGAGTGTTTCGTCGGGCCAGCCGTGGAGACCGAACATTTTGGTGATCGGGGGTCCAATGAGTCCGTCGAGGGCGCCATCGCGGATGAGTTTCTCAGCACCCGCGCCGCCTTCTTCTGCGGGCTGGAAGACGAAAGTGATCGGGTTGGGTCGGTGCTCCATCGAGGACAGAACCTTCGCGGCTCCGAGCAGGATCGCGGTGTGCCCGTCATGGCCGCACGCGTGCATCGTGCCCTCGTGGGTGGACTTGTGGGGGAGGTCGGAGATCTCGGTGATCGGCAGCGCGTCGATGTCCGCTCGCAGTCCGATGCAGGGGCCGGGATTGTCCGTAGTCGCGGGGAGATGCGCGACGACGCCAGTCCCTGTGTTGGGGTCCTTGCCTCCGATGTTCGCTTTGAACTCGATTCCGAGGTCGCTCAGGTGCTGCTGGATGACATTTGAGGTGCGGGATTCCTTGAACTTGATCTCGGGATGCGCGTGCAGGTCGCGCCGGATCGCGATGGTGTCATCGAGCGAGCTTGTGATGAGGTCGTTGAGATTGGCGAGGTCGGTGGGGGTCGTGGTCATGCACAAGTGTAGTGGGCGCGATCACGCGGCGCGCTTGAGCGTGTCGAGACTGTTATTCTCTTCCATGAACATCCGAGCGGCTTGCTCGATGTCGATCCGATCAAGCTTGTGGGTGCACTGGGACTCACTCCGGATCTGGTTGAAGACGGATTGGGTCTGATCGAACGCGTCGACCACATCGGGATCGAAGTGGGTGCCTCTGCCCTCGTGGATGATGCTCATCGCTTTCTCATGGCTCATCGCGTCCTTGTACACGCGAGCGGTGGTCAGCGCGTCGTAGACATCAGCGAGCGCCACAATACGCGCTGCGATGGAGATGTCTTCACCTGCGATCTGGAAGGGGTATCCGGAGCCGTCGAATTTTTCGTGGTGCTGGAGCGCGATCTCGATCCCCATATCAAGGAACTCGTCGGCGCCGAAGTTGTTACGGATGGAAAGCAGTGTCTCGCCTCCGATGAGGGTGTGCTTTTCCATGATCGCGCGTTCGTCGTCCGTGAGCCGTCCCGGCTTGAGCAGCACATTGTCGGGGATCCCGACCTTCCCGATGTCGTGGAGCGAGGACGCGAGGACCAAGCGATCGATCCATTCATCCGTGATGATCGGATGCGTCGGTTGGAGCTGTGTCGCGATGACGCGTGCGTAGTGACCGATGCGGTCGAGGTGGTCGCCCGTGTCTGTGTCGCGGTAGTCAGCGAGCTTTGCGAGTCCGTGGATCAGCGCGTTGCGACGAGCGAGCCCGTTACTGACTTGACGATGGACCTCGTCTTCGAGCTGTTGGTTCGTTTGCTCGAGCGCGTCCTTGTAGCGACGAGATGCAAGATAGAACACCATCGCGGTGAGCGTGACCACAGACAACGCTGTCGAGAGTTCTAGGATGAAGAGACGATCGACCAGTGCTTGAGGGAGTTGGAAGTTTTGCTGGACCCAAGTGTCTGTGAGCAGGACCGATCCGAGGAGTAAGCCGGACTGCGCGATCAGCACCGCGGTCATAAACGCACGGCGGGTTCGTGGTCGGAAGGCAATCTCTATGGATGGTTTTGTAGACACTCGTTCTTCATCGGGCGCACTGCATTCTCGATGCAGTGCTTGCAAATGAATCCTGCGAAATCAGAATCAAGTCGCAACAGTTGCGCGGGTCGATCCCTTCTTTCGGTCCGATTTGCAGGGAGTTCCAAGCACTATCGGGTCAAGATCCGCTCGCACGCATCAAGAGCGGGGGGGATCATCTTCAGAGCGTCCGAGAAGTTTGGGTAGACCGCTTGGTTCTCAACCATGTTTGGATCGCCGTCGACGAGCGATGGGGGGGCGACCGATTTGGCAAGCTCGCTGAGCGCCGGATTCACAGGGATGTTCCGCGAAGTGGACTCAGCGAGGAGCCGTTCTACGCGAGGGGAGATCAGGAACTGCGCGAGTCGGATGCCGTTGATGTTCCCGCCGTTGATGTGCGTGAGCGCGACGGTGTTGGGGAGCAGCGTGGGTCCGAGCGATCGCATCGTGCTGGTGATCATTGGTGGATCGAAGGACTCGTACACACAGTCCACGGCCCATCCGTTGCGCTGTCCGCTCCAGACATCGTCGGTATCGGTGAGTCCGACATCGATCTCTCCCATCGCGACGGCGCGGACGACGGTCGCGTTGCCGTCGTAGAGACGGATGTTGTTATTCTTGAGCATCGTGAGCCAACGCTCGAACTCTGGGAGTCCCCAGCGGGACGCGAGGATGCCCATGTGCCCGCGCGTGGTCCCAAACTCAGGACGCGCCATCCCGATGCGCCCCTTCCAGTGGGGTTGTGCGAAGTCCCGCATCGAGGTGGGTGGGGATTCGACACGATCGCTCGCGTAGACGATCACACGCGCCCGCGTTGCGAATCCGGCCCAGGTTCCATCGTCGGCGACCAAGCCGCTGGGCCAATCCTCTGGAACCCACGCGGCGGTGGTGTCCTTCGCGAGGATGTTGTTGTTCGCGAGATCGATGGTCCCGAAGGGTTCGGAGGACCACCAGACGTCTGCTTGGGGGTCATTCGCTTCCGCTTTGAGTCGAGCGACGAGTCCAGTGGTTTTGGTCGCTTCGGTGTCGCCGACGAGTCGGACCGCGATGCCTGTTTCTTTGGTGAAGTCTTCGACGACCAGCTTCGCGAACTCGTCGTCGGCAGAGGTGTACAGCACAACAGGCGGGCGGTCATCGCGGACAGGCACATAAAAGATCTGCGATGGAGAGAGTGCGTACCCAATCGCGAGCAGTGCGAGGATACCGAATGCGATTGGGATGACTTTCTTCATGCCAACAGTCTACGGCGATCAGTCGTCGTTCGAATCCGCGGGCTCCGCGGGTTGGTCGGTCTTGCCTGTCTTGTCATCACCTTTCGCTTCCTTCGCGGCTTTGTCGAGGCGTCCGAAGTAGCTCTGGACCGCGGACTCGTACTCACGCGGGATGCGCTTGGTCTCGATCGCTTCCGATGCTTCGGTCGTCGCGCTCTGGATCGCGTCGGAGAACGCGGCGGTGGACTCGCCTTTGATCTGTGATCCTTGGACCATCGTCGATGCGATCACCGGACCCTCGGAGGTGGTGCGGACGTCGGCGTGTTCTTTCTTGATGGTAAAGTCCGCGCCCTGCTCGTCAGGTGACATACCGAGCCCCTTGCCGGGACCTCCTGAACCGGCACCCTGCTGGGACGACTCGCCTTGCGCGAACTGTCCGGTGCTCGGCCATTGCCCCTGCTGTCCGCCGCCTTGTCCTGGATTGCTGCCCGGATTGGAGCATTGAGCGAGCTGGTCGAGCTGTTGCTGAGCTTGACTCATCGCCGACTCGAGCGACTGCATTTCTTGCTGCATGTTCTCGAGGTCCGAAAGCTGCGCGTTCATCGCATCGGATCCCGAGGCGGCTTGCTGGGGATCGCCGTTCTGCATGCCTTGGGCCATCTGTCCCATCGCTTGGGACATCGCGCCGGCGGCATCGGATGCTTTCTGCTGTGCTTGGGCCGCTTGGGAGAGCTGCTGTGCCTGTTCTTCTGAGAGTCCCGCGTCTTCGAGCGCTTTCTTGAGTGCCTCGGGATCGGTCGCGAGCTGCTTCGCTTGCTGCTCGCTGATCCCCGCGGCTTTGAGCTGTTCCTGAAGCTGCTGGGAGTTCTGCGCCATCTGCTCCATCTGTTGCTTGAGGTTCTCGAGTTGCTGTCCGAGCTGCTTCTGTTGCTCCTCGGACATGTCGCCGGAGTGCATCTGCTCAGCGAGCTTTTCGAGCTGTTGCTTCGCTTCCTCGAAGTCCCCTCGCGCCATCGCACGCGCCATCTCGGACGCGGCGTTTTCTTCTGTGGAGTTGAGCGACTTCATCGCGTCCTTGATCGCGTCGAAGGTCGCGCCGTCCTCGTTGTTGCGTTTCTCTTCGAGCTTGTCGGAGATGCTGGTGAGGTTCTTGATCGCGCTGCGGAGCGATTCCTCGGCGCTGATGTACTCGTTCGCTTCGGGTTTGAGCAGGTCCTCGAACGCCTCGTCGTCCCCCTCATCAAACTCGAGCTTGGTCTGCTCGAGGATTTTCTTCATCGCTTCCTGCGATTCCTGAACAGTCGTCTGGACCTGCTGGATCTGGGCTTGCTCGGCTTCCTTCTCTTGCTGCTTCGCGTACAACCCTGTGAGGTCTTTCACTGGGAGCCACCACACGATCAGCAGCGCCGCAGCGGCAACCAGCGGCGTGGGCCAAACACGCGGGGCTTTGACTGGGAGCGCCGACGCGAGGTTGATCCTGCCCACTTTGTCGTTGGCGTCCGAGACCACGGCTTTGGACCATCCATCGGTTTGGTTTTCGATCAATAGCGCGGTCGAGAGCGACTCGCGGAGTCCCGCGTGCTCATCGACAATCATCGCGGCTTTGGATTTGGATGGTCGTGCGATGAATGCCCAAAGAAGTCCAATCACAATCGCGCTCAGGGGCGCGACGATGAACACGATCCCCCAGGGGACCTCGAAGACCGGCGCGACTTTTTGTGTGCCGCGAGCGAAAACCATCAGCACGAAGACCGCCGCGAGGCAGATCGAGATCGTGCGGATCGAGTTGATCAGCATGAGCCGACGGGTGGCGCGAGCGATGGTGGTGTGGATCTGGGTCATGTGTTGATCTCAGTGATACCTTGCTATTCATCGGCCCTCTGAACCAGCGATGGCACAGAAAGCGGAATCCTTCATAAGGATTGTACGGGAATGAGGGGCTGTGGTTGCTGCGATTGGGAGCTTGTGACGATACAGTGACGGGGTTGAAACAGCATTTATGGTCCATTTTGGTCGGTTTTGTGAAGGGTTCGTACATCACGCGCGATCAGTGCGACGCCGCGTTTGAGCGGATGCATGAGCGGGACCCAATCGGGGATCGGATTCATCTGGTCTTTGCGTGCATCGCGATGCTTGGACTCGCGGGACCGGTGAGTGCCGTGGACATCGCCGTGCTGCCGTTGGTGGTGTTCTTTTTCGTGCGTGTGCTCAACACGTTCCCAGTCTGGATTCATGGCTTCGGTCAGCCCGTGGTTCTGGTCGGACTCATGCTCGCGGCGTGGATGGTGGTGAGTCTGCTCTGGTCTCCCGATCCAGCGGCGGGACTAGAACACATCAGTGAACTGCGATGGCTGGTGTTCGTCGGATTCGCGTTCCCAGTGATCGAGCATCGCAAGGTCCTGATCGCGTGCTTGTGCGTCGGATTCCTCATCGCGAACGCTGTGCAGGTTGTCGATGCATTCGATGGATTCGGAAACGCGTGGCTTGCGGAGCGATTGGATCACTATCCCAATCGGATCTCAGGTTGGTGGGAACCAGCCGTCGGCGGATCGGTGCTCGTTGCAGCGCTTGGGTTGCATCTTCCCGCGGCATTGATGGGGAGAGGGAAAGGGCGAGTGTTTGGTTTGCTTGGGACATTGATCACCATCGCCGCGATCATCGCGACGGGGACACGCGGCGCCTGGATCGCAGGATTGATCTTGATTGTGCTTGCGGCACTAATCGCGTGGAGAGTGCAACGGCTGCGAGCACGCACGCTGCTCATTGGTTTAGCGATGGTCTGTGTTGGGATCGTCGCATTAGTCCTTATCAAAGGTGATACGATCAGCGAGCGCATTCATGAAGCACGCGAAGAGATCACGCTCGCGATGGATGGGGAGTACAACACATCAACTGGCGCTCGACTCTCGATGGCTACCCAAGCGGTCAGGATGGGTGCAGAGAATCCAATGGGCGGGGTTGGGGCTGGTGGATTCCGTGATTGGATGGTCGAGCAAACTCCGGCGTACTACGACGATCAGGCGCACGCGCATTGCACGCCGCTCCAACTCTTCGGAGAGCTGGGTATTCCTGGAGTCCTGTTTGGGTTGTTGTTGATTTGCGTTCTCTTGGTCAACGCGTGGAGATCGGTTCCCAGTAGTGAGCGTGGTTCATACTTAATGGGACCGTTCTTTGGAGTGCTGGGATTGGTGCTGGTGAGTGCGTTTGATTCGGTTCTCATGAATGTGAATTCCGCCGCGATTCTGGGGGCTCTCGCGATGTTATCCCCGGCGTACTACCCCGGGATGGACGATGATCAGGGTGGGGCGGTTGAAGCGCCCTAGAATCCGCTCGGGACACTATCTCGAAGGGCAGCACTACTTTCCATGTCGTTGAATGAGCACCAGCCGATGAGCGGCGCAGGGAAGACCCTGCTGAGCAAGATCCAGGATCGATCCGCGCGTGTCGGGATTGTTGGTCTGGGATATGTCGGACTGCCATTGGTGCAAGCCGTGCACGACGCGGGGTATGGGGTTATTGGGTTTGATGTCGATGACACGAAGATCCAGAAGCTCAATCGGGGTGAGTCGTATCTTAAACATCTGGGCGATGTCCTGACTCAAACCCTCGCGGCTTCGGATCGCTTTGTCGCAAGCAGCGATGAACAAATCCTGGCGCACGCGGACATTGTGATCCTGTGTGTGCCAACCCCAATCACGAAACAGCGTGAACCAGATCTGCGATATGTGCTTGGGAGTGGTCAGTCCATCGGACGCGTGCTGCGTGAAGGACAGTTGGTGATTCTCGAATCCACGACTTATCCCGGCACCACGCGTGACCTGCTTGTTCCTGTACTCCAGCAAGGCGCGATGGAGCGCGGATTGGATCTGCAGCCCGGCGATCACTTCTTCGTCGGATATTCACCTGAGCGTGAAGATCCTGGTCGTTCTGGGATGGTGACTTCCAAAATTCCAAAGATTGTTGGGGGTGTCGATCCGTATTCTAGTCTGATCACGACTGAGTTTTATCGATCATGCATTGAGCATGTGCATCCAGTCAGCAGCGCCGAAGTGGGGGAGGCGTCCAAACTCCTTGAGAATGTGTATCGAGCGGTGAACATCGCTCTTGTGAATGAACTCAAGGTGGTCTTTGAGCGGATGGGGATCGACATCTGGGAGGTGATCGAAGCCGCGAAGACCAAGCCGTTTGGTTTCCAAGCGTTTTATCCTGGACCCGGACTTGGGGGTCACTGCATCCCGATCGATCCGTATTACCTTTCATGGAAGGCGCGTCAGGTTGGTCACGAGACGCGGTTCATCGAGCTCGCTGGAGAGATCAATCGCGTGATGCCTCGGTTGGTGGTCAATCACGCGCTCGAGGGGTTGCGTGATGAGGGCAAGGAGCTCCGCGGTGCGATGGTGATGGTGATCGGCGTTGCGTATAAGCCGGATGTGGACGACATCCGCGAATCTCCAGCCGCGGAGATCATCAAGCAGCTGCTGATGCGTGGTGCTCGCGTGAAGTACCACGATCCACACATCCCGTCATTCCCTTCGATGCGTCATTACGACATCAAGCTGGATTCTGTGCCACTCAACGAGCAGGAGCTTGCTTCAGCGGATTGCGTGATGATCGTGACGGATCATAAACGGATCGACTGGGATCTCATCGGGCGCAAGGCGTCACTTGTGGTTGATTCCCGGAACGCGATGGAGAGCTATCGGAAAGAGCACAAAGAAAACGCGGACGCTTGGAGCGCCCGCGTGATCAAAGCTTGATGTTTTTTCTGATCAGCCGTCAATGAGTTCTTTGATGTCTTCTGGGAGCGCGAGGTCTTCATCGCTGACTTCGCCGTTGACTTCGATGCTTGTGAACTCCATGACCTGCTGGATTGGTCCGGAGCTGGATACTGTTTTGTACGGCATCATGATCCCGTTCACTTCGCGATAGTCGAGGGTGTAGGTGGTTGCGGGCATCTTCATGCCTCCTGGACCAGCCGTAGTGGTTTCTGATTTGACGAGGTATCCCGACTCGTCGCTGTACCAGCGGCTTGAGACTTCGCCGTCTTCGATATCAACGAGTTCGAGTTTGTGTGCTTTGACTTCGGTTCCGTCTGGGAAGGTAACAGATTCCTCGCCAACATAGCTGACGCTCTGGTAGTACTGATCCCAGTGGAGGTCAGCGTAGAGATCCATCTCGCGGAACATCTGCTTTGCTTCTTCGCCTTCGAGGATGCGTGGACCGCTCATCATGTCGTTGGACCATGCGACATCGTCTGAGACGCCGGATTCGAAAGCACCCATTCCTGGGAGTTCAACTAGGGCGCGGAATCCACGCTTTGGAGCGATGAGCACATTCATCGTTGCGGTGATGCTCTGTGCTGGGATGCTCATTGTGCCTTCGAGACGGATCGATTCGACCCATTCGTCCTCGGCGTTCTCGCTCATGGTCACTTCGACTGAGCGATCCCAGATCTTCTTCGCTTTCGCGTCCATGCTCGGCTTCTCAGCCTTCTCAGCGTGTGCATGCTCAGGACCTGCGAGCGTGGTTGAAGTCAGGGTCATCGGAAGTGCGGTCAACGCGAGCAACGCGATCTTCAGGGTCTTTGAATTGTTCATTGTGTGTACTCCTCGGCGAGTGTTGTTCTTGGGGATGGATCCATCATGAGCATCATGACGGGTTAATCATTATTCGCGATCCAGGCTTCCGCGGCTTCGAGGACCTCATCGTGTCCGTTTAGCAGCGCCTGACGCGTGTATTGGATCTCGTAATCAGGAATGGCACCCACACCTTCAAGGGTGTAGCCCCCTCCTGTGGTGTAGGACGCGAACGCGTATTGGAAGCCGTCGCCGTTGGGGAGGCGCTCGACAGTGGATGGGAGGACGAGTCCAGCAGTGCGCTGTCCGAAGACCTTGGCGCGTCCGATGTCTTTGAGTCCCGCCGCGAGGATCTCGGCATTGGAGATACTCATTTCATCGGTGAGCACGGCGACTTTCCCTTTGAAGTTGTTCTTTCTTGGATTGAGAATAAGGGGGATATCAAATGGACCACGGACCTGGTCACGCATCCGCATGGTGCCCATCGTGAGACCCTTCTCGTCAATGAGCCAGTTGATCATCCCGGGCGCCATGAGGATGATGCCTCCGAAGTTGCCTCGCATATCGATGATGATCCCTGGCGCATCCATGTGGTCCTTGACGAACTGCTGGTACGCCGGGAGGACCTTGCCTGGATTCATGAACATGTTGAGTCGGTAGTAGCCCACGCCGTTGCTGAGTGTTGCTGTTTCAAACTCGATCGGATTCTCAGGGAGTGCGCCGATCCCTGCCATCTCTCCTGGCGCTTTGTCGAGTGTGATGGTGACCTCTCGTGTCTCATCCAGGTCGTCACTGAAGGTCATACGGATCTTGTCGCCTGCTTCGCCTTGGATGCGTGAGTACGCGATCAGTCCGGCTTGGGTTTCTGGTCGATTGATGCCGCCCATTTCATTGACGACTTTGACGAGCGACTGCATCTCGCGTCCTTTAATGGATTCAACGATCCAGCCGGTTTTCACACCTGCACGATCCGCAGCGGAGCCGGGCTTCACTTTGGTCACGAGGAACTGATCGTCGATCAGACGAATGTTCATCCCCGCTTGTCCTGGACCTGACTCTCCGGTGTATTCGTCAGTGTCATCGGAATCATCTGTTGATTCCGCTTGGTCATCAACAATCTCAGCGGATTCCTCTTCGAGTTGTGTGTAGGCGCTGCTCGGGATGATCCCGAAGTGGGACTGCTCGAGCCGTTCGAGGAGCTGATTCATCGCGATGCGTGCTTCGTCGTCGTTCTGAGCGTTTTCGACTTTGGGAAGCAGATCGGCGCGTGCTTGGTCCCAGTCCACGCCGTTGAGGTCAGGGTCCCAGTGGTTCTCTTTGACGCTGTTCCAGATGTATTCAAAAGATTCAACATGCTCAGCACGCCGGGAATCGCTCATCTGCTCCATCAACTGAGCGGAACTCTCGCTCGCTTGGGTAGATTGGTCTGTTGCACATGCTTGCAATCCCAGCGCTGATCCAAGGATCAGGCTGGCGAGCGTGAGTGAAGCGGCGTTTTTGGTTGGATAGCTCAAAGATATGGACAATGGAGACTCCTTGACGACACGAGTGGGCAAGTTCTATGGACACAACGCGTTGAAGTTTCAGCAAATCAAGCCAGAAAATGCGATATTCGGGGCATTATGGCAGATAGCTAGAACACCAACTTGTCCATCATATCCCTCGTTTTGGGCTGTATTGGTCCGAGTAATCTCCTCTATTTGACAGGAATTCTTCGCGTTCGATGATGCGAGGATTTCTGGGTTCCGATATGAAGATCATGACTCAAAACACTCTTATCGAAGCGGAACTCGAAGATTCAATCCACACTGACGAGGTCTCTGAAGATCAGACCCGCTTTGTCGTCATTGAACTGAACCAGAACATGTACGGCATCTCAACTGATGTCACTGTGGAGCTGATGGATACTTCCAGCACACAGATCACTCGTGTGTCTCACGCGCCAGATTATGTTCAGGGTGTGATCAATCATCGCGGGACCATTATCCCGGCGATTGACATGCGCTCGTTGCTCGGATTCAAATCCAATCGAGAGGGTGTCCGCTCACTCGAGAACATGCTTGCTCAACGCGAGCAAGATCATATGAACTGGCTCAACGAACTCAAAGCATGTGCAGAGACAGGGGACAGCTTTACGAAATCAACCGATCCGGCGCAATGTTCGTTCGGTCAGTGGTACGATCAGCTTCGCGAGGATGAGTCGCAGCTCATGGAGCTGACACAAGGGAACACTGCCGCGATTACAATCATTGATCAGTTCGATGCGCCTCATCGAGCGATCCACGGTATTGCGAACGAAGTGCTGCATCTGATTGAGCATGATCGGAAGGATGAAGCGAAAGCACTCATCAATGAGACTTGGGATGCCGAGCTTTCTCAGATGCAGAAGCTGTTTGCATCGTTGGTGGACACGCTGCGTCCTGTCCTCAGCAGCATGATGGTGATCACAGAGTTCGAGGGGAAGAAACTGGGACTGATCGTCGACGCGGTTCATTCGGTCTTTGACTGTGATGAATCACAGATCGAGCCACTCCCGGATTCAACCGCGAACGCGGAGTTCTTGCAAGGTCTCGTGCATCAGCCTGATGGGTCGTACATCCTGATCTCCAATATGGAGCAGGTGTTTGCGAGCACAAAGTCTGAGTGAGTCTGCGAAACGATTCATGCATCCGCGGGATCGCGTGGCTTAGTCCAATCGATGTCAGTGTCTTTGTGCAGCACTCCAGCGGACTGCTTGATGCAGCGTTTGCATGCGATGGAGTTCTCGTGCATTGGTGATCTCCAGTGCGCCTCATCGCGTCCATGCTCGAGACAGAGTACGCAGGTCTCATCAGGTGAGACTCCCGATCCAAGTTTGAGATGGATGATCTCTGTGTATGCGATTGAGAGGCAGTTGGCGCAGATGAGCGAGCCTCGATGTCCCTCGACCATCGCGCGATCCTCCGACCACGGCTGATGGCAGAAGTCACACAGAAACCGCTCATTCCCTGAAGCGTCGTTGTTGTGCATCAGGTGTCTCTCTCGTCGTGCTCGATCAGTTGATGACGAGCGAGCGATCGATACAGCGGTGATGAGTCAATCAGTTCATCATGCGTCCCTGTCGCGACAATCGATCCTTGGTCCATCACAACGATTCGGTCGGCGCCGAGGACAGTCGAGAGGCGGTGCGCCACGATAAGCGTAGTGCGATCTGTACAGAAAGTTGAGAGCACATCTCCGATGAGTCGTTCGGATTCAGCATCGACCATCGATGTCGCTTCGTCGAGGATCAGGATCGCGGGATCGCGAAGGATCGCTCGCGCGATCGCGATGCGCTGGCGCTGCCCTCCAGACAAGGTGAGTCCCTGCTCGCCGACTGGGGTGTCGTACCCCTCTTCGAGTGCGTCGATGAACGACGCGGCGCGGGCTTGCTCCGCGGCGAGCTTGATCTGCTCGAAGCTCACCGATGGGTTGCCGTACGCGATGTTCTCGCGGATCGTGCCTTTGAAGAGGACGACTTCTTGAGTGACCACGCCGATCTGTCGTCTGAGCGAGCGGACTCTAACGCGTGTGGTGTCGATGCCGTCGATGAGCACGCGTCCCTCGTTGGGATCGAACAATCGTGGCACGAGCGAGAGGAGGGTGGTCTTGCCGCAGCCGTTGGGTCCGACGAACGCGACGGTCTCGCCCGCGTTGATTTTGAGCGAGACATCCGCGATTGCTCGCGAGCTGGCACCAGGATAGAGGAACGAGACATTGTCAAACGCGAGCGTTTGGGAGTGACGAGCGAGCTTGGGCATCCGGACATCGTGTCCGGGCTCCGGATCAGCGCCGAGCAATCGCTTGAGTCGATCAGCGGCGGCGCCAGATTGCTGGATGTCATTCACCAAGCCGGTAATCGGTTTAATCGAAGCGCCAGCGATCGCAAGCGCGACCAGCACGGTCATGAACTCGGATTTATCAAGATGACCATCGATGATGAGCTTCACAGCGACGAGCGTGAGCGCGCCGAGCGTGAAGACGGTGATCATCTCGACCAGAGGTCCCGCCATCGCGCGTGCGGTGCGGACCTTGAGCTGCTGCTTGAGGACTTCTTTGTTGATTCTTCCGAAGCGCCCCGCTTCGTAACGTTCGGTGGTGTGGACCTTGACGACGCGCATCCCCTGGAGTGCTTCGGTCGCGGCGCGGTAGAGTCCGGCTCGGCTCGAAAGCGCCCGTTCAGACGCTCGGCGGATCCGCTTGCCGAGCTTGCGGATGACCGTCGCGAGGATCGGCATCAGCAGCAGAGCGACCAGCGCGAGCTGCCAGTTGGTGATCAGCGCCACGATCAGCGCGACCAGACCTTTCGTGATCTGCGCCACGGCTTTAGAGAGCAGCGCGACGAATCCCGCCGCGAGTGCTTCGGTGTCGTTGACGATCCGCGAGATCGCATCGGTCGGTCCCTCGGACACGATCGTCTTGAGCGGGAGATGGATCACGCGTCCGAACGCTCGGCGGCGGATCAGCGCGACCGATCGGTGGACGACGGTGAGCGCGAGGTACTGGTGGAGGAAGTTGGCCGCGGCTCCGAAGATGGTGAGCACACCCAGCGAGATCATGATCCACATCACCGCGTCGAAGGGACCCTCTGGGAGCGCGTCGATGGTGGACTGTGAGACGAGCCCCTTCGACCATCCGGTGGCGGTGTACTCCTCAACGAGTTGCGGGAGTCCGCGATGTCCGGGTTCGAGGATCGTGTCGAGCACGGGCTGCATCGCGATGATGCCTGCGCCCATGCCTCCCGCGGAGATCATCGCGAAGATGAGCCCGAAAATCAGGTGGGTGCGCCAGCGCAACATCTGTTTGGCAAAGTGCCAGAAGGCGTCCATAGTCATTGGTGATTATTCGTGCGCCGATGGGCTTTGAACAGTGGGGGCGGAGGAAGTCCCCAATGCCGCGATTTCAGGTGATTCGAGCGCCGGATTCTTGCGTGGGAGATCAAGACGGCCGGTCCAAAGCACACGGAATGTGTGGACGATGTCGTCGAGGATCATCAGCAAGCAAGGGAGCAGCAGCAGGATGATAAAGGTCGCGCTGATGAGTCCGCACGCGATGGTGATCGCCATCGGTATGAGGAACTGCGCCTGGAAGCTCTGCTCGAGCATCATCGGGAGCAATCCAAGCACTGTGGTGATCGTGGTGAGCATGATCGCACGGAAGCGTGCCTTTCCAGTCAAGTATCCAGCATCAAAGACGCTGAGCCCCTCGCGTCGTCTTGCATTGAAGAACTCCATGAAGATCAGCGAGTCATTCACAACGATCCCCGCGAGTGCGACGAAACCGATCATCGAGAGGAAGGTCAACGAATAGCCGAGGATGAGGTGTCCCCAGATCATACCGACGAGCGCAAACGGGATTGCGGTCATCACGATCAACGGCTGCGTGAAACTCCCGAACAACCACGCGAGGATGACATAGATCAATCCACTCGCGACAAGCATCCCGATCGGGAGCGAGGACATGGAGTCTTGGAAGTCTTTTTGCCGTCCTCGTTCGATCAGATCTACGCCGTGCATCGAAGCGAGTCGCTCAAGAATCAAGGGTTTGAGTTCTCCCGCGAGTTTATCGGGATTCCCGAGCGCTCGATCGACATCCGCTTGGATGGATACGGCTCGCTGTCGATCGATTCTACGGATCGTTGCGTAGGACTGAGACTCCTCGATGATCGCGACTTCTCCGAGTGGGACTGGAGTGCCTTGCGGAGTGAATACATACTGGCGCTCGATCGCGTTCATGGATCGGCGCGAAGACTCAGGGAGCGTCACGCGGACATCGACATCTTCGCGATCACCCGCGAAGGTGTACGCTTCAATCCCGAAGACCATCGCTTGGATCTGACGACCTAGGTCAGCACGCGTGAATCCCATCTCGCTGGCGCCGTCGCGGAGTGTGAATCGGACTTCTTGCAGTCCTCGATCGAGATCATCGGAGATGCCGTAGACCGCATCGAACTCGCTCATTGTGCGTTTGATCATCGCAACCGCTTCATCGAGCAGCTCAGGATGATCCGACGCAACGGTGTAGTTAAGATCGGTCCCTCCTGGACCTCCCGACATCCCGGCCATGCGGATGCTCTTCGCGTCTGGGATCGGACCAACAAGATCACGGATGCGTTCGATGAGAACGGATGAGCTGACATCGCGATCTTCGGCGGGATACAGCTCAAGGATCAACTGTCCGATGTGCGGCGCCGATGAATCGCCTCCAGCGCCCTCGAGATCACCAACAGCGCCTGCTTGCGCAAAGGTTGTCTGGATCTCAGGTTGATCCATGCACACGGCTTCAAATCGACGCACGATCTCGTCTGTGCGCGTGACCGGCGTACCGATCGGCATCGCGATCGTGATGTTCACCGTCTCTG